TCACCTTAAAATGAGTCATTATGAGTGGCCATGTATGAACGCTCACGGCCTCTCCGTACGCCTCAGCAACTGACTCTTTAAATAACCTACAAGAGCAATAATTTTTAAACATAGACATTGTCATGACCCGGTCACTCCCGTAACACGGCAGACAACCTGAGTCAAGTTCAGCTCCTTTTTTTCCCTCGCCTCCGCCTTGTAAATCTTGAAACAGAGGCAAGAGAAAGCTTGCCCTGCTACCAACACGAAACCGCGTATTTCCTCGTTGTCGGGGCCTTGAAAGAACCCGTCCCGTCCCGCCAATCAGACGCTAGACGTCGTACCGAATCCGACCGGCTGGAAGATGGATGCTTTGCTTGGCTGCGTGTAGGGCGAAGCGCGTGCCGCATCCACTCTGAATGTTGCGTTAAACTTCTTTTCTCCCTTTTCGGTTGGTTTCGAAATCTTCCAAAAGGAAGGGGTCTCGGACTTTTCATCCTTGTTCAAAGCTACGGCCAGCCCAATGACAACTCATACTTAAAAGCTCGGCTGTCAGCACCAAGGATTCCTTCATTGCAGTGAGGATGATTGATTGACATGAAAGAGATCAAGGGCCAAGGACCAATCACAGACTGATTACCTGTTCGAGGTACACACCCCCTGCTAGCGTATCGGGGTCTTCGAGCAGCCCGACAACCCGCCATGAGACCCCGAAGCCTGTCAACCCGTCCCGCTAGTCAGCGCCCGGGGAGGGATGTTTGTCGATGGGGACACTCTAAAAATGTGTCACCCGATCGTGTGTGTTGTCTTTTGCCATGTGTGAGGGCATCATGACATGTTCACCCGCCTATCCGGGTATTGTAAGCAAAAGTACAACTCATAGCCTGAGTGAAATCACAACTCGCGTGCATCATCACAATTCCATTCTGCCAAAAAAGAATGCCCATATCAACCTGCCCCTCCCCAAGTAAAATGTGCAAGAATCACACTGGTCCATCCGCCCGACAACATCATGGCACGCCATCATCATCGGGGTAATCGAGATCCGATCATGGCATGGGCATGGTACAACCAGCAAGGTGCCACGTCTGGTCCGTCCATCCATTCATCTTCACCAGCCAAGAGAGCCTCGAAACTCTGCTTCGTCTTCAAGAGAACGTAACCTGAACCAAATACCAGGCAACACTCTTTTGAGTGCAGGCACCTGAATTAAAAGGGTCAACAATCAACAAAGCTAGCAAGGTTCACTTCCATCGACGCACGCCGTGACAATCTCATTGCCGCGTATCGCCAAGCTAAATGCAACCGCGAAACCGAAAGCGATCTCGAGAGTGAAATGAAAGAAACCCTCAATCTCACTGCTTGATGCAAAGTCTCCACTGCCCCCAGCAAACGGCCCCCCTTTCACTTCTCCACAAGGCAGAGAGCACCAGCAGGGAATAAGCTCCCAGTGGATGATCTACGCAAAAATGCCAGACACACGACCCAGGCGGTAGCAAAGTCCGCTCCGCAACTCCGCCAACGCCTCGTCGTCAATCACTCTCGAGAGGATGAGATGGAACACGTGGAGCTCAGGGGATCATAGCCTACTGCCGAGCAAATTCTCCCATTCCGTTTGCTGAGCTCGTAGAGGGTGCGCCAAGTCGGGCAGATTGCTTCCGGATGCAAGCCTGCCGATCCTACCACCCAAGGTTGGTCGTGAAAAGACCGAGCAGACATCCTCACCTCGTTCTTCTGCCTGGTGTTTCCGGTGAGCAGCGGTTGTTACCCAGGCTCCAATTTGTCCGGGCGGGTAGACCTTCCGATTAAAGCCCGGCATTCGTCCGGGTCCAGGGGTCCACGGTCCGGAATACGGACGATGCTTGGACCGAATCCGACGGAGTTGAGCTGACGTCTACTGCAGATATCCAGAGGGGGCAGACTAATCTATTGCGTGTTTGCTTATGGGAATGGCACAACGACTTGGGATGTTTCCATAGGGCCAATAACTCATCACAACCAATGACGAGTCTGCTTCAGATACTCGGAAGCGTACATCATGTATGCAGTAGCCCAGCATAACTATCTACCCGTCCATGAATATCATTCGCTACTACATGGGTAGGTTAGTTGGTTTCTAAATTGGTAATGGAAGGAAACCTACATAATGCGTTATAGTTGTTTGTATGTGCCTGTCCGTTAAGCAAACCCGTTATGGTGCGCAATGAGTGACTGAGCGCAAAGACTTACCCGGATCTATTTTTAAGAACTAGCAAGGTTTTCATTCCACCCAATGGGTCGTTTTCCAACGATGTACTCCAGAATATGGTCCATATGTCAGAGGTTGTGCCTAAGCGCAGCGATTAGATCTCATCGAGATGTAGGGTAGTTCGTCATCCTCAACCCAGCACTCGGTAATACCAAGTCAACGCGGGTAACAGTTCGGTACAGGACTCGTAAAAGTGAATTTTAGGGGGCTTAGATGCATTGAATTTTCTAATTCATTGTGCTTTGCTTTCTGTTGGTTCGAAGTTGGGCGTGATACATGAGTCTCGATGGTCATCTGCTAATGTTCGCGTGGCCATCTAGACATCTGAGTGATTGTTAGGTTGTGTATTAATCATAAATCCGAACACAAAACTTTCTCAAGCAAATAGTATATCACGCATAAAGTATCGCAGGCATGAGATCCCGAGGGCCGCTTGGTCCCGAATAGTTCCCGATCACGTATCCAGCTATTGTCTTGAACAACATCAACTAGATCATGTAGAGGAGATCGACAATACACCGCCTTTAACGGTACATAAGCATAATCATACATGATCTCGCATATCAAATGTCAAGCCCTCCTGCGTGGTGGAACTGTGGCTTCAGCCCATGTGGTAACTACGTCAATGGCTAGACAACTGCAGAATCAAATCTCTGCGATTGAATTGAACGGCTGTGCGCTATCTCACGAATTTCAGCTCTCACGGGATATCTCTATTTTACAAAAAGTTGATTCCCACGCCAACCTGCAGTCCCTTTGTTGATACCTCGCCCCTCCTCAGCGCCAGCGGTAGGCTAAAGTTCAGCTCGAATCGCGCAACAGGGTGGGCATACACAAGACCCACGCCGGCCGCCAGACTTGGTACTCCGTTGAAGAGCTCGCCGACGGCATTGAGCATGCCGTCTCGTACGGCAGATGGCCTGAGTGTTTGGGTGGCAGCTCCGCTGGAAGACTTGTTGGGGTTCTTGAGAGCAACCAGACGACCTCCGTTGGCGAAGAGCTGGAAGCGCAGACCTGAGTCGGGGCCCTTGTATGGCACGGGGAGGAGCATGTTGACGCTGCCAGCGGCAAAGACATCACCGCCGACAGAGTCTGCACCATCACGGGGTCCGAGACCACCAAGCTTGAAACCTCGCACGTCTGTTGGTCCGCCAAGCTGGAAGCGGTCGTTGATACGGCTGAGGCCAAGCTTGCCTCCAAAATCATAGCCAAGTGGAAGAGGGCATAGCAGACCTAGTCTGAGCCCACCTCCGATTGAAATGCCAGTACGGTCCTTGATACCTGGCAGAGGAACAGGGATGGCACCGCCAACCTCGACCTCACCCTTGGAGAAAGCGACGTCACCAACAAGGGGTCCAAAACCGGCCACCTCAAGTCCAGTTCGGACCATGTAGCCGTCCTGGGGAAGTTGGGGGTTGTCGCGTCTTTCTCGGTAGAAGCTGTGCTTGATAGAGGCCTTGATAGAGTCGCCGGCGTCGGCGCGGACAGTCGGGCTGGCACCTTCGCCCAGGCCGGTTATCTGCCTCCATACATGAGAATACTCGACAGATTGAGTATCTCGCTCAGAGTTAAGCCACGAGAATCGCACGGTTCCGCCCTTGAGCACCTCCTCATGTGAGGCCCAGGGCTTCTCGGCTGCTGACGCAACACCCTCGAGTGATATCCTCAAATCGGGGTTACTGGCGACGGGCATGCTAAGGTTGGCACTGTATGCGGATCGAGTGCGTGTACCAGCCTTTGCATTGAGGGTCAACATCTCGGCGCCGCCGAACATGTTGCGCCATAGCAAGGAGCCGTACGCGGAACCCTCGCCATTTCCAACATCCGTGCCGGTCTGAAGCTTGAACCGAGAGAGCTCCTTGACTCGGATATCAACGTTGACGTCTGTAGGTGAGGTGGATGGGTCGGTCTGTTGGGCAGAAGTGAGGAACAGTTCGGGCTGAGGCTGAAAGATCTCTGGCTTGCAGTTAGTTTGGTGTTGCAGCGGGTGGTCGGAGGGAACCCACGCAATGCGTCAAGCTTGTTGCTCGCAATTCGAAGCTTATTTATAACCTCGCCAACCGTGGAAGTAGCATTTTGGTCGTCTCGGACAAGGGGTTGGAAGAGAGGGTCGAGGAAATCGGTGCGTGTGTTGACGGCGCCATGCACACGAATCTCGTTGACGGTCATGGGAGCCAAATTTTGGTCAGCGACCTAGACAATGTCAGCAAGAGAGTAGCCGTATAATCCTCAAGGTCCATACAATCTGGGCCATGCGTCGCTGCTTGGCCTCCTCCTGTTCTCGCTGAAACTCGGGCTTCGACTCGGCCTCGTGAAGCAATGAGCCAGTATCGGTATGGAGCTTGTTCAAGGGGTCCCCGGACTGCAGCTGGTTAGCCATACACTCCTCCCAGCTTCAATGCCATGATGGACTCACGAGGCCCCCGCTCGAGCTAGGGATTGCAGCCATTGTCGCTGGCTCAACGACTCGAGTTGCTGCTTGTGATAGCCGTCACGATGTCGTTTCTAAATTGTCGGACGACACTGGACCCCAGCTCGTCTCGGTACGGACCGGCTAGGGCGTGGGTACGTACACTTCACCGTACAGAACTTAAGTGGGCTGGAGCTAGGTCCTCAGACCTGGGTACCTAACTGTGGCGTTCGTTCTGTGGCGCACTAACACCGTCATAGCATGTGATCCACAGCCACATTTCCAGCCTAGCGCCCATCCGGGGTTTGGTCATCGGCCGCCCTCCCTGCGCATTCCCTCTTTGTTCAACTCAAGTCATTCATCCCCAAAACCCGTCAGCGAACAGTGTGGATCGTTCAGCGAGAGCATCTGCTACAAAGGATCTCTCTTTTCACTCCTTAAGAGCCGTCGGAGTCGCTCTTCCTTTCCTTTCTACTTTCAATAACCTTTCCTGCTTGTCTTATCTCTCACGCGACCTGCAATCTGTTCATTTCTTAATCTCTAGTCTGACCTTGTCAATCTCGCCGCCATGGCTAGTAAGGCTGCAAACAAGCGTGTATGTCTTGACCGTCATTTTCAGGAAAATGGGATTTGCTGACTTGATACAGTTGACACGCGAATACAAAGCCATCTCCGAGAACCCACCGCCTTACATCACTGCTCATCCTTCAGAGTCGAACATCCTTGAGTGCGTCGTCACCGCCGATTTACATCAAACCACTTGCTAACTTGTCTGCCTAGATGGCACTACATCATCACTGGTCCTGAGGATACACCCTATCATGGGGGACAATACTGGGGTACTCTGATGTTCCCTCCGAACTATCCGTTTGCGCCGCCCGCTATTCGAATGCACACTCCTTCAGGCCGATTCCAACCTTCGACGCGACTATGCTTGTCCATCTCCGACTTTCACCCCAAATCTTTTAATCCCGCATGGGAGGTCTCGACAATCCTAATCGGATTGCTGTCTTTCATGACGAGCGAAGAGATGACGACAGGTTCCGTTTCCAGCACTGCGGCCGAACGACGATATCTCGCAGCGCGGTCGCGTTGGTGGAACTCGACTGGCAATGGCTCTAACGCTAAGAGCAATCCCGCCAACAAGGGCAACGTCAAGGCCGGCGATGGTGGTGCCAAATTCCGAGCTGAGTGGCCTGAGGTGGATACCGAGAACTGGGAGTGGATGAAGAAGAACAAGGTCGACCCTCTTACGGGCAACCGATTAGACGCCGACAACAACGGATCATGCCGACCTCAGCTGGGCATCTCTGGTACTAGCGGACACCAGGCCCAAGCTGTTGTGGACGTGGTCAACCAGCAGCGAGATGCCGGAACAGGGTGGATATACCGGAACAAGCTCCTCGTAGCTGGAGCAGCCATCTTCATCTACGTCCTCATCGCCCGACTTGTGAGGGGCGATGCGTAATAGCGGTGTAACCAGAGTGATTGGTGCACTGGGTTCCCCGCGTTTGAACCCAACTCATTGATTTTCGTTTGATTGCTGGCGGGTTGGCGGGCGCAAGGCGGTTTTTCAAGCCAGATATCAAAGGACTCGCGTCTTGCGGATGGCGTTTTTGGGGCACGCTGAGAATAATTTGTTCAAATTCGATGGAGTTTGGCAAACGATGGATACCTGGACATGTAGATGTATCAGGTAGACTCAACTAATAGACTTGGACTTTGTGGTTATGTGAGTGACTGAGGTTTATGTGATGTGTGAGATTTGATGTCATTCCACTCTGGCTTTTCGCCTCCTTTACGGTGAGGAGTGCTTGCACTAGAACAATGCAAATAGCCATGAGCCTGGCGTGTCTAGAGTGTACTATGATTGTAGAAACAAACAAAGAATGTCAGTATCCGTGCTGAACTCAACACCACAAAGAAAGTCGGCTTGTCCAAACATCAAACATCCATCGGGATGCCGGAAGCCGAAATTCAACCGGCACATCATTGAAGTTTGTTTGGTCCCGTCGTTTGGCGCTAGACTCAGTGTTGCGGCGCACTAACTTATAGAGCTTAGCGGAGGCCATTTACGCGGGGGGTTTCAAGAAAAATTGTGACGAAAGCCCCAATTTTTTGTCACCTTGCGACTTGTTCTCCAGTGCTGGAAGCCGTTGGAAGGACTAGACCTCCAACCCCGACATCATCATCACCCCTTGTTGGTGAAGGCAACTTGTTCTCATTTCTTTTGCTCATCCCTCGGCATCTCCTCCTCTTGTAGCTGTCCGCTCCTTGGGCTTCATCCTCATCTCTTCTACTTGACTCTCCTTCCCTTCACCATCCTCCCTCGAATCTTGTCCCGCTCCTGGTTGAGCTTCCGCTCTCCGCACCGCACAAAGCAGCTTTAACTCGGACCCTCATTTCCACTGCATCGCCAGCTCGCCTTGTCCGATCCACGGCCTCCACCTTTGAGCCCAGATCCAGCACCAGGGCGGTCTACGCGACGACGACTGTCCCCCATGCCTCTTTCTCGAGATCCCTAAAGTTTCCCTCCCTCCCTCGAATCCTTCATCCAGGTCTGGCGCGGGCTGGCTCGAATCGCCTGCCCCCCTCCCTGTTCGTCGATATCCTTCCCCCGCCGAACCGTCAACGACCGAGCCAGATGAGATGGCGCCCCTCAACGGCACCGTGAAGACTCGCCGACCTGGAGGGAGCAAGCTTGCTCACTCCTCCAAGCCTGTCGTCCCTGCTATTCCTCTGCCCCATGTGAAGCGCCAGGCTGCCACCGCTGCTGCGCGTGCCAGTGCTGCCTCCCTGCCTCTGGTCTCTGCTGCCTCCTCCAGCCCGACCGAGAAGACCGTTGCTGCTCAGTCACCCGAAACGAAGCTTACGAATGGCGCTGCAACTGCCCAGGCACACAAGGACACCACTGCACCAGCTGCTGCGAGCCCAACCCCAAGCCCTGCTTCCAGCGCTGCGAAGCCTGTCAAAGAGGCCACCGAAAAACAGGCAGACGATCTCCCAAAGACCCTGAATGGTGCTACGGATGTGACTAGCCACCAAGACACTTCTGGTACGTGCCATGGAAATATTACCTTTACTCAAGACAACAGGAACATTTTGCTTACCCATCTTGTGACAGCTGCCGAAGTCGCATCCGTCTCGGAAAAGGCATCTACCAGCGGTGACCAGGAGAACGACCACAAAGCTCAACCCATCTCGGACCATGTTGATCAGCCCACCTCCGCCCCCCAAGTCGATCCTCGCGCCCAAGCCTCCGACAAGCACGCCCCCGCCGATGCAATTGGAAAGGTCAACGGAGTCACAGCCGCCGATGAACCTAGATATCGGCCTGGTGAGGCATCCCGAATGATATACAAAGTTCAAGACACTTATGCCACAAACACAGACAACCAGCCTCTCCCGAAGCTTCACAGCAAGTCTCGTCCTCCACCCGCCGTCCCACCGTCCCGATACCAGATGCCTCCTTCTTTCCAACCTGCCAACAGGGCCCTGGGACCAGCTACGAACGGTGACATGCATCGTGGCCCCCGGCACCCGATCAGCGGGCCGCCCATGCATCAGCCACATCCCAGCAACGGTAGCATCCATTTCGGCACCTTCCATGGCTCTACCAGCTCTTCACCCGCACCTCTTTCCGGTGGCATTGCGCCTCCCCCTGGCATGCCGATTCCAGATGGTCGACCTCCATACATGGGCCCAGGTGCTAACGGTTTCCCTCCCATGATGCCATATGGCTCTGAGCAGGTTCCGGTTACTACCTTTGACAGCTATGGAAGGCCCTCCATGGCCTATGGACCCATGGATTCGTTCCCTCCATTTGGTAACAACTTTGGCCCATCGACTCCTCACAGCTACCATGATTCGCAGGCATCAGGCCCCCCTGATGATAACAGCATGTACAACCAGTATCCTGGGCCGGCTAGGAACGGCGTGACTGGACCTGATGGCTCTCACTCCCCGAGCCATCCCGGAAGAATGTTTGGTGGTCTCGAGTATCCCAGAATGATGATGAACGCTGGCCCTCCTCCACCCCTTATGTCCCCGGTTGACGATGCGGATGGCCTCATTGGTCATCTTCAGCAGCAGTTTGGGTCTCCTGAATTTGCTGACTGCGTCCTGGAGCTCAAATACCCCGAGGATCGAGCCCCGCCTGTTCGCATCCCCGGTCATCGACTGGTGTTTTCCCGAAGCGCCGAGCTTGCAAACGCCATGACGAAGAAGGCGGCTCAGCGTACACGCGATAGCCCACCTCTCCTTGAAATCACTCTCGAAACTAAGAGCAAGTGGATTCGATCGGATTCCTTCTATATCGCCGTCCAGCGTCTGTATGGCATGCCGCTGTTTACTATCCCGCCTCCCCCCGCTGGTCTGAAGCAGGGGGCTATTTCGGATGCTGGTTCGATCATGGAACGGTTCGAGTTCGCCCTCTCTTACGCTGCTGCTGGCCACCTCCTTCACTGGGACCCTGTTACTCGACGTGGCTGCGAGATCGCTATGCAGTTGCTTTCCTGGCAGACCCTCGAGCGCGCCTTGGAATTTGCTCTGGAGCAGCATCGGGATGAGGGTTCGCACCAAGTTTTCAAGTACGGTGATGGATCTAGAGCGCTTCTGAACGAGACGGTTTCTTTCATCATCAGCAACCTCACTCCTAACTTCGCCCTCGACACTTCAGTTCCTGACCCCGACAACTACTCTCGCCTGCCAGTTCACCCCGCGCCTCCCGCAACCAGCCCAGCCCAGACATCTGTATCGCCTCCTATCGCTCGAGGATCTTCGGTCCATCTGGGTAAGGGCCGCCGATCTCAGCAAATCGCTGGCATCCAGTTTGGGGACCTGTCCTTGACTGATGGCAAGATCTCGCCTGCTTCGGATACTTCAATGGCATCGCAGCAGCAGCGATCTCCGTTCACCGCGGTGCTCTCTCGTGTCCTCCTCAACGTTCCTTTTGCGACTCTCAAGATGATTCTTGAAACCGCATCTTCCAACAAGGCGAGTGGGTGGCCTAATGCGGAGCTCGTGTACCGCATCGTCAAGGATGCAGTCGCTGAGCGGGAACGACGTCGACTCAACGCTATCGCATCCGTTAAAGCAGGACTGGTTCCCGGCTGGGAGGTGATCTGGAAACAGCTGTCTAGCCCTGAGCCCCGATACTTTGGCTTGTGGACCGCTCTGGGTTGGCAGGAGGAGGTTCTTCCTTACGGACCTTCTGATAGCCCAGCCCTCAGCCGCAGCTGGACTCCTCTCTTCATGGAATCACAGAAAGCCCAAGCTGCGTATCCTTGAGTACGCTAGATGAACAAGGGCTTGCAATTTGACTCGCAATGTTGTGGGTTTTGTGGATATGGCATCAGAAATCACATCATGATTGCATTTTGACCACACGTCGCATTTTGAGCCCTTTGGAGCTCCTGCGCATTGGTCTATTCACATTCTTTCCTCATGAAAAAGAATCTTTAATGGGAACTGCTGCATAGTGGCATTTTTTGGGGTTTGGTTGGAGGGACTTGCGATCCTCTGCCCTGTGCAGAAGGCGAGGTTGGTGAATTGGAGACAAGACACCAAGGCCGCTGGATGGATTGAAGGCCGCTTCGAGATTCAGGGGTCGTGCGTAATGCGGGCAGTTGGTAGACGACGTGGAAGCATGTCCACGGGGGCGATGAGGTTGACCCGAAGACTGGAAAGTGATGAGACCGAGATCACCAGAAAACAAAACGGAACAAGATAACTCTTATTCCTAAACATGGTCTGCTATCGTAGGCACGATGCAGAGGATGGATATGATACCGCTTGTGGGGAGGATGAAGGGGAAGTTGGGTTGATGGATGGCGTTGGTGGGACGGCGCGGCGGAATTGGAGCCAGGTGTGCTTTGTTTGACCGGATTATTAAAAGGCAGGGATGGACAAAAAAGAAGAAGCAAAAAAGCACTTAATGATTCTTGAGGGTATTAGGATTTGGAGGCTCAATCTGATGATGCCAGGTTTGATGATGAATGAGTGATTGACCCAGGAATTGGACTGGAAATCATGAATGACATTGGCTGGAGTATGCTTTTCGATTCTGCTGGTGGAGGCAGTAGTAGGTAGCATCTTCAAGACTGATTTGATACCCTGACTGCTTGAGTACAATGAGGCCAGTAACACTGTAATGAGGCATAACAAGGCCTGCAACAAGGCCTATTGTTGTCTTTGCAGAAAATTGCATGAATGAAAGGCAGCCAAGGTCAGATGAGTGGTCTGAGGTGTGGATGAGGTGATGTTTGTTTGGTGCACTTGAATGCAAGCTGTTGTGGTTGGTGTTGAGAGAATGCAGCTTATGCGGCCAGCCTCCTGGTGCAACCTCTGCTGGAATGGTGGGAAATTGGTACGAGACTATGATCGGGGGAATGGTCTCGTTTAGGAAAAGTAATGGAAACTCGACATTGGCATCTTTTTGTTCATGTGATTCTCGGATGTATGGTTCATGGTGGGATGAAACCTTGGAATACAACCCATCTCTGATATCATGGAGCTCAAGAGTGCGTCTGTGGTACATAGGGGCGGGGAACCCCTGTAGGGACCAAGAGCCCATTAAAGCAGTTTTCACTCTTTCAATTCGTCAGGGCGAATTAATTGGGATCCAGTGCCAGGGTCCCCATCTCTTTTTGATGTGCAGATGCTAAAAAGCGGGTGGACTCCGTGATAAGCCAAGCAGCCGAGGCTCTCCACTTTTGGCCGTGGCCCTCATTTCCAAGGTCCCCCGTCCTTGATGATCCATCCATTTCATCCCTCCCTCTCCTTCGTGTTATCATTCTTTCCTTTTTCTTGCTGACGCGACTGTTTTGTACACATCGTGCGAAGTTTGCGATTCAAATCTTTGCGATAGAGACGAGCTTGTGCAACTGAGCGTCTCCGATTCTACCGGATGCCTCCATCAGTTGCTCGAATGCGCCACAGGAGCTCAGCTCGTGCAACCGCAACACCTGCGCCATAAGACCAACTCGAAACACCAACACGATTGACCCGCGATTTTCGACTTTCATCCACAGAAACCGCTTCCATCACAATGGCATCGCCCTCTCCATCGGGCGACGCCTCGAGCTCGCGCTCCTCGAGGTCTTCGGCTGGTACCACAGATCCCGTGCTCCGCAACGCCCTGCGCTACACCATCTCGGCGCGCGAGTACGCCTCCCTGCACAAGTACATCCTCTCGCGATCCCGAGTGCTCCGACGCGCGACTCCAAACCCTAGCCGTGTGGAGAAGGCGCTTCAACCGCCCAAGGGGAGCGATGATTACAATGCCAAGGCAGTGCGCCATGCGCTGAGGGTGTTTGTGGGAACTTTTCTGGGTATGAAGGGATGGGATGTCGTGGCCAAGAGGATGAAGAAGGAGGAGTGAGTATGACTTTTTCTATGCGGCGCAATGGGTTGCTAACATGTTTCGCGATAGATCTAATGCGAATGCGAAGAAGAAGCCATTCTACAAGTCTCCCGCCCTGAGACTATCACTATCACTGTCCACCATTCTCCTGCTTTATAGGCTACTCTTTCGCTTCCTCACTCGTCTGCGCGTACATCTGCTCGATCCGCAAGTTGAGCCCTTCCGTATGCGCAACCCGCGAACCGCGGCGACACTCACATCGCCATATGCGCCAGCAGTCGGTGCGTCGCTTGCTGGTCTCGCCCTTGGGATCTACCCCAGCGAGAAGATGCGCGTTTCCATTGCCATCTACACCATCTTTCGCGCACTAGAGTTTGCGTATAATCTGTGCGAGTCGGAGGGATTCATCTGGGGACGGAGCAATGGCGTCAAGCGGGATAGGCCTTGGTGGTTTGGCAGCTGGATGCTGCAGCCCCTTGCTTTTGGCCAGCTTCTTCACGCGGCTGTCTTTGACCGCGATTGCTTCCCCAAGGTAAGTTTCATATCAGAAATTCGTAAGAACCATGTACTGACAGATGTAGCCCTATGGCGACTTTATCTTCAAGAGCTCTTCGGCTTATCTCCACCCGCGCCCGCAGGACTGGCCAGCCGGCCTCAAGTGGCCTCAGACTTCTCAGATCGTCGACAGCCTGGCTCAGATGGCGCGCTTGAACTGGCCGTATGTGATAGACACCCGAATAAAAGAGACAATAACTGACCTTGATAGTGCTTATATCTCTCCAACCTTGTTCCCCAACAAGGAAGTTCTTCCTCCGAGCCTCAGCACAATTGCGCCATTGACTTCTCGCGCTCATCCACTCATCACATCACTATCGTGCGCGACATTGCACCCTGGTGACCCATCTTGCTCTCGAACATATCTCACATTCTGGCTTAATTCGTTCCCGCCTCTTGCTCGCTTCTTCGTCCTCCTCTACTCGGCCTTGACGGTTATCCCCAAGTTCTCTTCCATCTACCACAGCCCTCTGGCCACTCTCCAGCGCATCATCACCAAAGCTCTCCGCATGTCGACTTTTGCTACGGGAGCTATTTCAACAGCCTGGGCCTCTATCTGCTTCTTCCAGAACTGGCTCCCCCGTCATGTTCTCGCCACACAGCGTTTCTTCCTCGGTGGTTTCTTTGCTGGTTTGTGGGCCTTTATTGAGCGACGAAGCGGCCGTGGCCTGTTCCTCTACAGCGCACGCGCAAGCATTGACAGCCTCTGGAAGGTTGGTGTGAAGCGACGCTGGTGGAGGAGCATGAAGGGCGGAGACGTCTGGGTGTTTATGCTGGCACTCATGGTGACAGGTGTTGTGTACGAGAAGGATGCGCAAGCGATCCGGGAGAACAACTGGAGAAAGGGTGTGAGCTGGCTGCAAGGCCAGGGCTGGAGGGACTGGAGCGTTGATGATGATGAGAACCAGGATGAGGAGCAGGACAAGGAGGAGTAATCCAATGGTGTATGATCATGGCTGTGTGGAGTTGGGCGTATATGGGTCAGGGTCACTGTATAAGGATTGGACGGAAAGGCTTGATGCCTCGGTATGGTTGGTAGTTTGATATCCATTTAATTAATGTATTGTCTAGTGCATTCTGCTTAACACAGGTGAAGGCTGTGGTTGTGAGCATTGTCCACAAGCGTGTCAGCCTTAAGCAATGAAAAGGATATAAAGACCAGTATATGTATGTACAAAAGGAAACCTATTGTTCTGATACTGACTGCTATTGACCCCATTCGATAAAGTTACGCTTGCCCCTATTCACTCGCAATCTAACTCGGACAGGCCCCAAATCTTCAATAACGTCGATATTCCTCTGGAGGAGTTATACCCATCAGCCAGTCTCCAACCCTTGACATGGCAGTAGACACTGTAAGTAAGATTGCCATCCCCATCCCAAAACTGGCGAGGACGACACAGCAGTCTTCGCACAAAGTGCACTCGCATTCATCCCGTTCCCGTCGACGCACTACAGCCTCTTGGTTGCGTGGGGTTTCTGTGACGCGTAGTCGGGGATAGTTGGCTTGGTAAATCTGCCTGAAGTCTTCCTCAGAGAAATCCTCCTCGCTGTGCGTTGCTTGCTTCATTTCCTCTCTCCTCTTTCTCCTCTGTCTTGTCATGATCTCGGGCAAGGAGTCGCTAGAGGCGGAGGAGATGGGACTTGATGGATCCGTGAACGGCATTCTGCTCAGGACAGATTCAGGTTCAGTCGAGACCATGGATGGGGAGGCCTTCATTGGGGAGACCTGAGTTGGAGGGATTGCAGTCTCGGGAACCTTCTCCTCGGAAACCTTTGCTTGGGGAGCTCGAGCTGTGGGTTTAATCAAGGGGACGTCTGCCGGGATAGCCTGAGGCGACAGTAAGGCCGTGTTACGAGTAGCATAGACTCGTCTTCCATATTTATCAATATAGCGCCATCTATGAATGTCAGAGAGATACAGCTTCTCCGGACAGTGAGGTCGACTCCCCCTGTCGAATCGAGGAGGGCGCCAGCCGGGCTCATCGCGCCGGAAGGGTAGAGGCGGAGTGAATACTGACTTGGGTGCTAGTAAAGAGTCCATAGGGACTCCACTGGGGCCTTTCTTGCGTTTCTCAGACTTGGGTGGGAGCGGCGGGATAGCGGTAACTGGTGATCCCCTAGCCAGCGTACACGTAGATGGGTCATCGTCCTTGTAGGGGAGATGAGTGTCAATTCGCAAGTTGCGGGCAGCGAACTTGGCTTTGCTCTTTGAGTCTGAACTGGCTGAGGGTTTCTTGGGGTCGTGTTGGGTTTGAGTTGGGGTAGAGGCCATGGTAGTGTTGACCGAAAGGATGAGTTCCCGTAACGAGAGAGATGTGAAAGTGCTGAAGGCCTGAGGGTAGTATGAATCAATCTTCGGCTCGCAAGCCACTGGTGCTGTAGGTTTGGCAAGGAGATTGGGACAAGAGAGACTCTTGTCCCGTTGAGCTGCGTCTTCAACTCTTATTTAAATGAGAGGCCTGCTTGGGGGTGAATCTAGGTTTAGTTCTTTGAACAATGGCGTTTAAAATAAAGACATGGTACGGAAACAGGAGGCGGTTCTCTTTGAGAGTAAACTTGACGAATAACATGACAAGTGACCTGTATTGAACTGCGTAGTTCAGTTTACCTGAGAATATGGGCAACAGTGTTCTTGTGAAGAGACCAAATGTTTCATCCGACAACAATCATTGTGTAGTGACATGCCTGAAAACCCACGTGGAACAGTCCTGCAGGGGTTCCTTGTAGTGAGTCTTTGTTCATGGTGCAGATGCTTTGTTCTCATGAAGCCCCTGCCTATGATGAAGATTACCTGGATGAACACTGGTGTTTGTCAATTGAACCAAGTAAATCTCCCGCACAGGTTTGAAGTGATCTGCCACTGTCGCAGACCATATAATTAGACGCTTGGTGATCTTGTACCCCTGTTCTGATGGGTGAGGTATCTCAGCACCAACCGTCTCACTCCTGAACCCAACTCAGGAACCCACACTAGCAAGAAAAGCAAGTCTAGATTTATCGAGCATTTTCGCGTTTCCTGGGAAGGCGTGTTGCAGCATCCCCTGTCAGTCCACCCCAATCACCCAAAATGGCGCCCGCAAACCCTGAGTCTCGCCCCGATGCTCCCGTCCCGGCTGGTTCTACTGTAAATGGTAGCAAGGAGGCACCTGCTGATGCCACGGATGCTATGGAAAAGGTGCGTATCAAGGTCAGCGAGGGAGACCTCGTTAACGTGTCGAAGTTTCGCGCAACTATTGCAGGATTCTTCAACTCCAACTATGCCTCCTCAGGAGACACGTTCCTAAAATCCATCCGGGAAAAGACTGGAATGGAGAGAGTAAGAATGGATCTTGATGACCTGTGGTTACAAGTTCAGTTCTTCCATGACTCGATGCTCCGGATCCAGCCTAACAACATCACTAGCAACTCTGAGAATCTCGCACAGGCTGTGGATCTCATCCTGGATGTTTCTGGTTGGCGTCTCAGGACGGAGTTGGATAAGGATCTCACAGAGAAGGACGCTTATATCGAGATTGCAGTACTGCGCCGTCGACTTTGTCGTCTCGAGTTGATGATCAGAGAGGACTTGAACTTATGTGGGAAGCCGCCAAAGATACTCGCAGGATGTATTGTTGGCATCAAGAGGCCCAAGTACAAGGATAGACTCTGGACACGCCTGTTTGGCAATGAGCCCGGTGAGCAGAATCGCAATGAAGACAGGAGCTTCCACATCCGTGATATAGCCAGCCTCCTCCGCATTGAGGATTATCTTACTTTTGTGTCTACCGAGTTTGACAGGCAGCTTGGTCCTAGAGGAGTCGACGGACAAGATGGTGTCATCATGGCTGCGATTGCGCATCTTGACGACGAGGTCAAGTCCTTCCTCAAGACGAAGAATTGCCGCACTGCTAACGAGCTCAAGGCCGAGTGGGGACCAATCCTGCTTAACCCTAGATTCCGCGCAGCGGTAACTCGCGAGATGGGTAATCTCGTGAAGGAGGCGGTTGCGTTTCGTAAGAAGAACGGTTACACGACTCATCGCGATGACTGTGAGCTGTTCACAAAGCCACAGGGTAGCATTGCGAGAGTGTTTTCTAATGTCTCTATGAAGGGTGAGAGTGGAAGACTGAGTAGGAGCAGTAGCCCATTGACGCCTCGTTTTTTCAGAAAGGATTCTGCAGCTTCCAAGAAGTAGCCCTTCACTATACTATCGTTCCATTTGTTCTTAGTAAGATAAATAACGTCTGTGTCTATAAATCTAGTATTCTTTTCTAATTCCGTTTCTAATCGATCTTGCAATGACTTGAATAGCATGGCTGACGCCTGTCCGACCTCGATCGTAGGACGACAACAGAAGCAGGAGACTAGACTGAGCAACCCAGAATCAGGGAGCCAAGCTGCATCCTCTGAACTGTTGATTGGGCTTGGCCCACCAAGTCTTCTATTCTTTCCCGAGACGCTTTTTCAAGTGCTCTTCAAATGTCGTTGGCTTCTTGGCATGATCCAGCACAACCGGGTCATGAATTTGCCATAAACCCTTCATAGCAATCTTGCTCCAATTGAGATGAAGACCTTCGAAAAAGTCCACTTTCTCTTCCTTTGTCTTCTCCAGTTTCTTGTCCAGATCTTCTGCGGTCCCATCACAGACAAACTTGATCTCCGTCCCAGCTACACGTTCATAAGTCTTGATGAGCTCTGCCGCCGAGTTCATCCCAGAGTAAAACTTGAAGAATCCCCCCTTTCCAGATTTCACACCTTCATCTGTGAGCAATACCTCAATCGTCCACGCTGCTGCATCGTCCATGGCAGTCCAAGGTGTTTTCTGCTCGTGTAAATTTCCCCAGTAGTGATACTCGAGAGATTCACCATTCGTGCGAAGTGGCCCCTGGTCTGGGACGAGAGTGTACTCTGCAAAGACGCCGTTGATGAAAAAGACTGGGCGCACGGTGCTTGTCATTGCTGCATGATCGGCGAATGCCATGAGGCTGTTGTATACCGGAAAGTCACCATAGGAGATGTTGGTCCAGTTACTGGTCCATGTTGGAGCGACAAAGATTTTGACTCCTTTTCGCTCTGCGGCCCGTAGGAGAATGAGGCCACCGTCGAGGTAGAGAGTCGGATCGGTCGAATAAGCGCAGATAACTGCGTCTACCCCCGTGAGCCCTTCCTCGATTGCTCGGATGTCGTAATAGTTTTCGGACTGAACAAATGATTCGAGCTTCTGCAGAAGGTCTGAAGGCAGTTTCGAAGGGTTACGCCCCAGGCCTCTGACTTGGACACCTCGAGCGATAGCGGTGTTGGCGAGCCGTTGTCCAAGGTCACCAGTGACCCCCACAATTAGAACTAGCATGGCAGAAGTGATTCGTGAAGATACTTGTCGTCTAAGGTATGAATGAATGAGTTCTTGCGTTGGTATCAAAAAGCCTGGTCTATTGAAATGGTCTCTATATACTCTGAATACGGTAGTCAACGGCCGTCAGATTGGTAAGCTCTAGACATGGCGACATCCAATGTTTAGAAATCGAACCCTTAGAACGGGCGATACCGACCTGTTCGGACGTGAAGACGAGTTCGCGATCCGCGCGATGCGGGAGCCCGAGAAGGTATCATCATTATAAGTGGGTAGTTCTCGGCCATCAGATGCTCCGTTTACCCCTGGTCTGTAGAGCAACTCGGCCAACTATAATCGGTGACCGCAAGATAGAGGTTTAATAGCCAATTATATCGCTCTAAAGAACAGGGGGTCTTGCCTAGGGAGGTTGATACAGCATGCGAGTGAGGCGGGGACGGACAAATACACAAACCCGAGACTGGGGAGAATAAACTTTTATGTCCTGACTCAACTCCTGTTATCAAACTCTTCACGTGTGATTGAGCAATCCAAGGCCCTGGGGATATTGTCTTTTCCGGAGACGCCCCTGGAAGAGCTCAAAGATAACGTTTGGGAGCTGAGAGATGGGGTGTCACAACGGCACAGGTGATATCATTGCCTCAGCGGTCTCTAATACACACGTGAGGATTTCTTTCGCTCGTGAAGGGATAAAAGAGGGACCCGGTTCACGCTGCCAATCCTCCAACAACCTGATCTCATGAGGCAAAAACAATAAAGACTGGCCCGACTTGGTAATGTTTGGGAACTGGGAGTCCCCTCTTAGCTCGGTCCTTGGCACGTTGGAAGCACTTGACGCGGTGGCAGTTTCTATCTTTGCCCTCCGAGGTGAAGTGCAACGGGTTGATGTACAAAGGCTAGCCACAGATGTGGGTTCTTGATTCCCCTCCGGTGAGGGCATGCTGTAGTTGGATAATGTCCAACCTGTCCGTAGCGAGCCAAGTCCTTCTGCACAATCGCCCATTGACTTTGAAGTTTGGCCATGGACACGGTGTGGTTCATGTACTAGATGAAACCTCTGACACCTCGCCCTACCGTCATCAAAGCTTGTAAGCAGAGCGTGTGGGTGGCGTTGGGGAAGGCATGGAAATGACTCTCCAAAATTGGTAGCAATCCAGTCGGAGTAATCGTCAAAACGATAGCGCTCCTTCATCTGCAGGTAATCCTGGTAGTGCCGATTGACATGGGCATAGAATAGCGCTTCATCTTTCTCATAGATTGCCCTGAACTGAGAAAGGAAGTCATCGGTCGCCCAACCTACTCTCCATCGTGGGGCTGGGAGGGGAGTGTCTACGGCTGATGTAGATGCTGATACTGGGACCGAAGCTGAAGAGGGCGTCCCTTAGACGTATCTCATCATAAATGATGTGGAGAACATAGCAGACCTAAACAAAGAATTAGAAGAAATGATAACTTAATTTAGCTGCGAGTGAACAACCAAGGTTATTATCTCTTCTCTTGTTCTTTTTGCCATTCATTCCTCTGGTCTTCTCGGCGCGAGCCGACAGCCATCCCACACTCATCTACTCCTTCCCTCTAGATAATATATGCATGGCATGATGTTTTTTGTGTTAAGAGCTCATAATCAAGTTCATTTCATATCCATGGTTTACTATAGCTCCCAGGTCGTGACGGCCCGTGAATTCCAATCTCATTTAAACTCGAAAAGAAAAATGCAGACCACCCCCTATCCATTCGCCATGTAAGATAAAAAAGAAAAAGAAAAAGCCCATTACCAGGATGTTGCCCTTTAACCCAAGTAGAAACAGATGGCCCGAAAAGCACCCAGTGAAATAACATAGAAAGAAAGAAAGAAGGCTTGTTAACAACGCCATGTACCGTCATCATGTGTCGTTAATCATAAATTGAAATCGAGTTCCTCGTCAAGCTCGGCCTGCCAAATGAACGGGCGAATCGTTGGGGGGGGGGGGTTATATCCTCGCGGATATGAGCTGTTACTGGGCTTGCTTCTAGGGAGTAGCGAGTCGCGCTTTGTCCATTGCCAGAACGGCCCTTTCGTGGTATGCTCGAATCCGGGGGGCCGCAAGTTGTGGCTCTCTCAGCTCCGGGCATGAGTTGATGTGGGCGACTGGCATCCCGTATGAAGTTGTACCATTCTTTGCCCACTGAATAATCAGCTGCCTGACCGAAGCCGTGACCAGCTCTTGGTTGTAGTAGTCGGTCAGACGTTGCTCGTGGTAGTCATAGTTCTGGATGCATCATATCTGCCAATCCTCCAACTTGAGGCCCTTGCGGAAGTCGACAACGTCGTTGGGGGGGGGGGGGGCCTGGCCGCAAAGATCTTTCCACTGCTACCTGGGCTCACCACTCTTTTTGTTGATGACGACGGAGAGAAATGCCTTGGCACTACCCCGGAGTGCATCGTCAGTTCTTGTCGTATCCTCTTTGGCGACCCTTGGCTGCCCTCGACCTGTCTCTTCCGCTTCTTGGTCGGACATTCTTTGGGCTCGTCTTCTTTAGCCTCTGCAAAGAGATCTTTGACCCAAACCCCTGCTTCGACAGCTAACTCAAATAGCTTCTTCTTCTTGGGGAAATCCGGGAGGGCGATTTCGTGCGTTGCACCGGTGTGCCAGTTCCGGAAGATCATGTTGAAAACGCGGTCTCTTGACTCAGGCGTGGGAACCACCGTCTTTGCGTCGGTTCTATATTTAATTATCAACCATGCCTTGATCAGACCAAGCATCTGGTCTTTTTCTTGTGTCGTCAAGTCGTTGGGCCCCATGATCGTAGCCCCTGTTGGGCGGCTTGCTCTAAACTTGGTGTCCCCCAGAAGGCCAACCAAGGGGGTGGCGGCTATGTGTTCCTCGGCCGGGGTGCTGACTGTCACGGGTGTCTTCATTCTCTTTCCCTTCGTTATCAGGCCATGGCGGAAGTTGGCTCGACAGATCCCTCTCACGGCGTCTTCTTCGGGGGCGATGTTGCGCGTAGCTCAAGCCGCAACCGGAAGAATTAAGTAAAGAGCAAGCAAAGAGCAAGCAAAGAATAAGCAAAGACTAAATAAAGGATTGTCAAAAAGTGAGCAAACCACTCTCTGCCTTTGTACGGCCAGCGCGATGATCTTCTCCTTGTTGTACATGTCGGTGAGTTGTTGTTCTTGGAGGTCGTAGTTTGTAACGCATCGGGCTTGCCAATCCTTCATCGTCAGCCCCAGATGGAACTTGACAAAGCCTTTTAGGGCGGCCTGGCCACATTCGTCCTTCGAAAGCCACTTCACCTCTGCCTCATCGTTGTCCACGGCGACGGTGAGGAACGCCCTCGCACTACACATTTGTACTACCTGTCGCTTCTTGGCCGGGCTTGCGTCCCCGTCTTCCCGCTTTCGCTTCTTGGGACTCTCAGACTCAGGCGTTGTATCAGTCTCGTCTTGCGCCCGTGCCTTCACCTTGGATGCATCCTTGAGGTTGATGCCCCAAGTGCCAGCTTCGACACATGATTGGCGTAGCCTCTTGGCGATTGGAAATACGACAAGCTCGATCTCATGTGGCAAGTCGGTGTGCTAATCCGCGAAGACTTTGTCGAAGAATTCGTTTCGCGACTCCAGAGTAATGACCTCAGTTTTGGGATCGGCCCGTGGCACAATTGTTTGCCATGGCTTGACCAGATAATTGAGAGAGTCTTTCTCCATTATTGTCAAGTCATCTTGGTTCAGGACCAAAGCTCCAGCTGGGCGGCTTCTAGTCGCAGTGCTGTCGTTGAGCAACCCACTTGAGGCTGTAGCAGGGACGGGCTGAGCCATGCAGAGAAAGGCTTTTGTAGAACGGATATGAAGGCGTGATTATTTTCGCTTCTGCAGCCTCCCTTTCTGTTATTCTTCGTCGTGTTCTTCTCGCTTTCTCTCCCCATCAGAGTTTGTGTTCTTGGCCTTCTTCATGCCCTCCGTCTCTGGCATTTTTGGGGCCGCTTGGCTCGTTACCGCCTTTGGCTTCATCGCAAAGGTCGTTGTTCCATTTCCCGGCACTGAAGCTTGCTTCCTGCGTGTTCCCTGACTTGAGTTTGGGATTTGTAGTGCCTCGAGCGGAACCGGACTTCCAACGGTCGAAAACTTCATCGAGGAAATCATTCCTTGACTTCAGCGTCAGGGCCGCTTCCTACTTCTGGTGTCGGCTGTTGATGGGCCAGCCAGGATGGTACCATTGACAGAAAGCTTGATGCCGAGAGGCTTGCCCTCGGCGTCTTGGAGATGAATCTTGTCGGATAGACGGGGCAGAAGAACCATGCTGTCCTTGGTCATGGCGAGGCGGATTGGAATCTCAAGGGTACGACGCGCAGACTTGACGAGAGGGGGTAAAAATGGTAAGTTATGAGTTGGAGGACCCAATTACAGACCGGGTGATATGACGACTCGAGAGCAAGAAGGAACACGAGAGGACAAGGTAGATGAGGGTTTGGGAGAGGAGAAGTTGAGGATCGAGGAGCTCGCAGGCAAAGTGAGGGGAACTTTGGTAGGTACAGAGCAAGCAAAAGACCTCTTCTGGGTGCTCTTTACCATTTCGAGGCTGCTCTTCTCTGTTTTTGTCCATTGTTATTCCCTATTGTCCCCCATTGTTCTCCCGTTGATGCAGCTTGGTTTGCACCCCCTCCCCTCTTTATCCGTTTGTCAGTGACTCTGGCAGTGCCGGTCCGTCAAACATCAGTGCAAACGCGCAAGCACAGAACATCCACGAAGCTGATGGAATTAGGGCAGAAGCTCAATAAATCTCGAGGCTTCTCTAAAATTTCTCCCTTCTTAAACATCACCCACGCCAGCGCCAACCTCGTTACCATCACGCTACTATCACCCCAACCTTGGTATATATATTCCAACTTCTTATACGCAAGTGCCCATACTTTCAAGCAGGGCTAACTATATAGGTGCTTCTGCGCTTTTCCCTAACGCCGCCATGTTTGAGGAAACCCCGTATCCCGCCGGGATGCTAGACGCCGACCGTCAGCGACTGCATCAGCTTTTGGCGGAGATGGCAATGGATGACCCCGATACCCAGGAATTGCGCCCCGAGAATACCTCCATGTTCAAGGGAAAGGACCTGACTAGAGCTGAGAAGGTTAACTTGATGGACCTTCTCGCACAGTTCATGTCCATGACCAAGCACATGCCCGACCAAGCTCGCAGAAGCGAGCTGTACAAAGAATTCTTCGACGCCATATTCAGCAAGTGGTACTCTGGAGAGAAGCCAAAGAGTCATCATATGCTGGCCCCCCTCAGAATGATCGAGTCAAGCGCCCAAGTCGGAATACTGCGCATTAACCACCCCATCAACAAGTATTTCCCGCAGACGCCCGAGCGCATGGCTGGACAGCCTGCTTTCCTCGGTCTGGACTTGATTCCGGACGAGGGTGGGTGGCGATGGATCTGGACGGACCGCCGAGGGTGCACCATCGACTCGCAGTACATCAACTTCCTTGGATTGACCCGAGCCGAAGCTCGCAGACAGGCCATCGCCAACTACGACCGCGCCGAGCTCAAACGAATCACCAAGTATAACCTCGACTTGGTGGTTTCGGTGGCTCAGCGACGCATCGCGAGGTGGGCTAAGCATGGTCCTGCGTACAAGGCACGCGTCGATGATGTCGACCGCTTCATACCCGGCGGTATCCAAAAGCTTCTTCTGGCTCGTGACTGGATTTCGCATTGGTCGCGAGTTGCCTTTGTCTTGACTGATGAAATGCCTCCTTCAGAGGAGGAGATCAAGATGCCCACTGACGAAACTCGCCATTAATACTGTCGTCCAATGGTAAGTCACAGCACCACACCGCACACTTTCATACTTTGATCTATCTACTTAATTTTCATAGCGACCAGAGTCATGGAATGCGTTAGTGGAAAAGCCGCCTTAGAAGTGCGAATATTTCTGAGATTCACTTTGGTAGGCGAGAACACCAAGCCCAGATCTAGGCTTTGATCAAACCGCTGACATGCATGTTCTCTATAGCGAGGATGATTACAGGAACTTCGGTAATAACATTGGCCCAGTGGCAGATCTACTTTGCCATTATCCATGGTAGGTTGCCTTCGAACCTCAAGTCTTGATCGATCGACCTTCTAATTCATTCTTTCGTCACTAGATACAACCGCACACTCCTCCTCGGCGATACCAACACCAACACTATGGGTAGATGGTGAAGGAATAGGGGATCAAATGGTATATCAATGGAATGACAGTTCGCGATGTGGCTTCGAATGCTCCTTTGACACCCTCGGGCATGAGGTGATTGGGGGAGCACCTGGGATAGTAGCCCACATGTGATACTTCACAACGGATTACAGCAAAAGCACGGTCGCAACGATGAAGCAGAAAGTGATAATAAAGGCACATGGTTCTATAGCGGCACGGATGCCATCGCCTCAACGATGCATACATAGGTACATGAAAGTTATTTTACCCACAAAGAAAGAAACAAGTACCCAGCTCACACTGCGTAACCTCCGACTTGCGCTCATGGGATGAAAATGTTGCGAAAAAAAAAATGGCTGCTCATACTGCTTGAGGTTGAGGGTTCTGCTTGCCGTTGTTGAAAAGAGGAAAATACCGGATAAAAAAATAGTTTCGGTTGCTCAATCCATGGATGTCATAAACTGGTGAACAAGGCGGCCAAATCCCGAAGAACTGCACTCAAGCTCCTGGGGCTTGCCTTGCTGGACTTCATCCTCAACTCGAGGTAGTGCGACCTCGCGCTCTACCTTACGTATGTCTCCATTCCATTTGAATATGGTGGGCTTATCGACAAATGCACCTGGGCCTTCAGCCGATCTTGTTTGGGCGGGGAGCTCCTGAGGAATCGTGTTGCCGAGCGTTTCGTACTCCGCCAGCACCTTCGATGCGAGAGGCGTGGCTGCGTTTTGCAGGAGGCAGGGAGGGGTGTGCATATTGCAGTGTCTCGCGACAGGCTGGCCCTTGTTGGCGTTCTCTTTGGCACGCTGAAAACACTTGTTCCGTTCTCGATTGGCGGACTTTTGCTCAGAGGCGACGTGTAATGGGTTGATGCAAAGCGCCCAGTTGCAGATGTGGCTCGTCGCCGTGTACCCGGTGAGGGAATCTTGAAATTCGGCCAGGGTTTGCCTCTCGGTGACCAACAAAGTCTTTCTGTGTGGCCGATTATTGGTGCGGAAGGCGTTGAGAGAGAGGGTATATGTCATATACCAAATCTTCTCTCTGTCGTGTCGCTTGGCAGGCGTCGCCGCCTGGATGCACAATGTGAGGGATGCATTAGGGATGGCATGGAAGATGCCAGTGAAACATTGAGTCTCCTCAAACTTGGTGGTGATCTACTCTGCGTAGTCGTTGAACCGATACTGCTTTTTCAAGTCCTCATAGTCGAGGTAGTGTCGGTTGATGGTGTTGTAGAAGGAATCTGGGTCCTCCTCGTAAACCTTTCTTAGCTGGGAGAGAAATTTGTCGTCCCGACAAGCAAATGGCCACTTTGGCGCCGGGCGCGATGAACTCGTCGATGACCCTGATTCTAGGGCTGGTCCTAGTGCCGACGTTGAGGATGAGGATGCTGCGGTGTGAACGGTACCATGGCGTCTTCTGGTCGAGGGGCCCGGGGAATCCATAGGTAGTTGGGGATTGAGCTCTTGCCCGCTTCTTCCTGTTCCTGAGTCTGAGTTGACCCACGGAAGGAAGGTCGTCGCTATCACTCTTGCCACCGAAATCCTTCTCGCGGACAGGCAAAGCCTCTGCCCGAGACTGGCTGCCCTCATCACCCTTCTGAGAAGTGTCTGCAAGTCCGCATTGTTGAGGAGGAAGAAGGGGGCAAAGCCATGGACTTCCGTGTGGCCTAAACGTGTGCGGAGCATGAACTTTGACAGTGATTAGGATCATCATTAGCAAAGATTTGAGGTGAGACGGAATGGGCGGCCCATGGACCAACAGCTCTTGCCTTGCCCTTGCCGTTGTTGATGCCTCCAGCATCTTCGTCGTCAGAAATAAAGATAGGTATATCATCATCATCCAGAACAACGATCGGATTTGTAATAATCGCGCCAGAGGAAGCACGGCCGATGCGCGGTGGGCATAAAAGAGATTTGCCGAAAGGTATCACAGAGCAGGTAAATAGGTAGGCGATATCCTCCTCATCCTCCCCACTCTCTTGGCCTCTGCTGGTCATGGTGACACTAGATGATCGCGAGTAACTGACTTTCTAAATAGATGACGCTTACTACATCAGCGGATGCAGTAACCGACCTCGTCGCCGAGAGGTGCGGCCATATCTTCGGCGACACGCTTTGCCCGCTGTCAAGGCTCAGTATCTCCAAGCTTCCTCGTAGCAAGTTATGTATTCCATTGAGCTAGTTATCTAGTATCTCGTAGCTAACCTGCGCGTCACTAGCACCAGCTGATGTTAATAAACACGCTGGCGCACTAAACCCATAGGGCCAGCCATTAGAGAGTTGCAGCCAGATAGATTGCATATCGATTAGCTTGGCCGAAGTATCACCTGTGGCAAATTTGATAGAAGCCTGCAGGTGTGGAAGGGAGATGAGTGACGGGTACCCGTCTCCAGGCTGAGGCCGGAAGTCATCGGCGGAATCATCATCAGAATGGGACGATCCTGGGCTGAGCATGTCTTCGTGGATCTCACCCCGGTAGCCAGCCTTGTACAGGGTCTTCATCACATTGAAGGCCATCAGCCATTGTTTGGCGGCCTTCCACTCGGATACCCACGAGGATATGAGCTGCTCAGCCAGTTGGAAGTAGGTCTTGGCTTTCTGCTGGATGTCTTCACCCGAATAGGATTCATCCTGGGCGTACTCAAGCCAGAGAAAAGTATTGGCAGCAATGAGCAGTGAGGATGCGACCCAGATGGTCTGTAGTGAAGAGTGACCGAACATGCCTCCTTGTTCTTGGTCCGCTAGGTAGGAAAGCATTTCACCGATTTTCAGGGCATTCGAGACACAGACATCCAGAAGTGACTGCTCTCTGTGTAGGTAGGACCATCCAGCGCCATCGACGAGGTCACAGAGCTGTGTGAACATGGCTAGATGAGGCAGATAACATTGATGGGCAACACAGGCAGCACTGCGGAGCAAAAAGTGCATGGCAACAAAGGTTGTTCCCGCACCAAGAGTACACTGATCGTGAAAATTCGCTGTGCTCCAGCAGAGGCTAGGATGCAGTGACTCGCTCCAATTCTGGAGAGCATGGTACCGAACGGCGAGAATGCTTCGGGGATCCGTGGGTGCAAACTTGTCAAGGTTCCTCCGCGAGTACACAGCAAAGTCGGCCATGTCACTCCACAGGCAAACCGTCTTGATAAGATACGGGCTCAGGCCTAGGTCGGATGGACGACGATAAGTTGAGAGATCGCCAAGAGTGACACCTCTAGTCTCTTCATGATAGACCAACGATGCGTCATTGCTAGGTACGGGTATGCCGACATTCTCAAGGTCAATGGTGCGATGTTTGGCGAGGAAATAGGACAACGCTCTATCGAATATGAGACAAGCCCAGAGGGTGCGTCGACGCACTTCCTGCTCTTTGAGACTGTGCTTCTTGTGAAAGTCCTTGTTGAGGCGCATGATCTCAGCCATCCGGATAGCTGTTCCAGCAAAGAGCCAATGCCGGGATCCAGAATTGGAGAGGAGTTCGGCTTGGGCAAGCAAGAGGTTACCCTGAATGTTAGAGACTGTAGGTAGTATTGAGTTAACTGTCGGCTTGCTGGCCTGGTGAGGAGTGCTTACCGGTCGGCTGATCCGACGACATCTTTGCCAGGAACCGGGCTTGATGAAGATAGTTCTTGGAGACGGCAGCGCCAGTCGGAAGCTGGAACAAGGAGAGTGCATCCTGAGGTTCGAGGTAACGGCCGCAGAGAGCCACGACTGTGGCCGAAAGAAGAGGATGCTGCATGCATTTTTGCTCAAAATCCGGTCGGTGATCAAAAGAGCAAAAGTCACTAGCAAAGTGTCTATCAAAAAAGAGACTCAGGCATGCCTTGAGGCCATTGGCCGTGATGTCGAGAGGCTCTGCATCGATGATGGGCACTCGTGCTACTGTCTGGGGCGTGCGGACAGTTACTTGAGGCTCTGATATGGCTTCTTGGGGCTCTTGAGTGACGGAACGGGGTGTCTGGGGTGCTGCTCGGGGTTCCTGAGAAGCGTCTGGAGTGGACCAGACGCAGGTAATGCCTCTGGATGCGCATCGCTTGCATCGAGGTCGGATGCCATCACACTTGGACTTGCGACGGCGACTGCATACCAATTAGGATATGGATTAACAAAAATGACAGCCAAGGGCCTCAAGAACTCGAGTGGGACATACCATGCATCGCATGCCTGCGGAGTCCTCAGAAATGTTCGGCGCATCATGTCTCATGCGTCAAGGCTGGAGGAGAGCGGGAAACCCGAAGATGCGGGTTCCGACGGGGTTATACTCTTCTTAGTTCCTCTTCCGGTCGCTCGGCTTTTCCGCTCCGAATCCTCGATAAGCCGACCAAGGATAAGAGTGCCCCCGGCCAACTTCCCGGCGTTATCATCAACCCTAGTAAAATGAACTGGCCATGACTCGTAATGGAATTGAAACTGGGGTGTTCGTGACCTTCAACATGGAGTGGAAACGTTCCTGGCTATCAAATGCATCAAGAACGTGGGGAATCTGGGGTAACCTCGAGATAGCGGGTTACCCGACAGCTTGGATAGCACGTCGATAGGTAGGGGAGCGACGTGAAGAGATATTATATCATTGATCAAGTCTCCCATCTTGGCTCTGTCCCAATCTTCAGGATTATCGTTTCAACGTTGATCTTCTTGCCTTTCAAATTCGAGACACTGCTGTCCATCAATCTGACCTCATGAAGTTCCATGCTGCTCTCTTGGCCGTCGTGGCCCCTAGCCTGACCTCGGCCAACTTTGTGCTTAGACATGGCCAACCTTCATCAGTCGGCATGCTGGCGAAGCCGCTAAAGGACATGGTTCAGAACATCACCGAGTACAGCAAGCCAAGGAACTACGGAGACGCATCCCACAACGAGGTCCGAGCGATTGAGCCCGGATCAGCAAACATCGTGGCTCGTCACGGAGTCATTGTGAGTGCCTTTGCCACGGGCAAGAGAAATCTCTATGCCGACGCCAATGGCACGCTTCTCGACCCCGCAGACCAGGAGGATGCCGCACTAGACACCGTCTACGACCTTGCCAGCATCTCGAAGCTGTTCACCGCAGTCGCCGTGCTTCGAGAGGTTGATGCTGGCCGCGTCAAGCTCGAGGAGAATGTCTCTACCTATCTCCCCGAGTTTGCAGCCAACGGAAAGGGCAACATCAAGGTAATCGACCTGCTCACCCACACCAGCGGCTTGATGCCCCTCCCGGTTCCTGATCTCTGGAAGTCATACTACTCGTCAATCGACCAGCGAGTTCACACACTGCTCACTCTGCCTCCTCAGGAACCGCGTCGCACCAAGTTCCTTTACTCCGACATCGGCTTCATGACACTGCGATACCTCTTGGAGCGAGTTACTGGTCTGAACCACGAGCTACTCATCTACTCTTACACAATCCCTCTAGGCATGAGGTCAACCTTCTTCAACCGCGGTAACCTTGAGGGCCCTCTCAACCCCTTCCATAACCGTACTGCCCCAACCGAATTTGAGATCGAGGCCCAGGGTCCGGAGGAGCCCAAGCGCCCGCAGCCCGTCCGCGGCACCGTTCATGATGAGAATACCTGGGCGCTCGGTGGCGTCTCGGGCCACGCGGGTGTTTTTTCGACGGTGGGCGACGTTGCCATCTTCTGCCAGATGATCCTGAACAATGGGGTCTACAACGGTCACCGAGTTCTGTCCAAGAAGGCCGTGGATCTCATCTTTACCGACTTCAACGCCCAATTCCCGGGTAACAACTACGGCGCTGGCTTCGCGCTCAACCAGACATATACGCAGGGAAGCATGCAGAGCATGAAGACCGCTAGCCATGCGGGCTTCACTGGAACCACCCTCGCCATTGATCGTCCCTCTGGTACCTTTTGGCTCCATTTCGCGAATCGTGTTCATCCCAGCAGACATTGGGCCACCAACAACCCGGCTCGACGGGCTATGGGCTACTGGGTTGCCAAGAGCCTGGGCCGAAATGTGCCATGGCCGAATTAAGGGCGCCTGGGGAGATTTGACCTGGAGAGGAGAAAGACTTTGCACAGAAAGTGGACGCCATGGGTTCAACGGATGGTGATAGACTAGCCCCATGTTGTTCAATGTGATGTCCATCGCTTGGTGAAGATGGCTCGCGACTTATCTGCAAGAGGGTGCGAGATATTGCAATGAGGGTGAGGCCCGTTTCAATTCGCGTACATAGGCTGCATATATTAGAATATACTTTGACTTTCATGTATCTGTATCCAGTTGAATGAATGAATACCTCAGGGACTACCATCTCACTAATCTAACCAGCATCTTTTTGTCTATACCTTGTTTCCTTTAGCCTTTGATGTTGCATCCGAATTGCCAAGTCCTCTTCGTTGGAACCCGACATGTGGAGTCGGGTCGTCGGATAAGCCGCCGGAGCATCGGATGGATTGTCACACTCCGGCTTGCGCTCCTTTCCGGGTAGGCACAACCATTTTACAGCAAAGCGAGGTGCTTCGTCCTCTACGATAGCCAAAAGATTGCCTCAGAATGCTGTGTGATATTAAAGCCGCCGCGCCGCCCGGCGGTCTGGAGATGCCCTCAACGCAACCCAGACAGAAAACATGAGACTCATTGTTCGCGATACCAGCACGGAGGCGGCCGAATATGTGGCCGGCTACATACTCCAACGCATCAAAGAATATGATCCAACACCCGAACGTCCATTTGTTCTAGGCTTGCCGACCGGTGGCAGCCCTACCGAAGTCTACAGGCTTCTTGCCGCGAGCTACAAGGCCGGTGAGGTGAGTGGACATAGCACAGCTCTTATCTGGTAGAGGGCTAGCTGAGACGTTGGCAGGTTTCATTTGAGAATGTGGTCACCTTCAACATGGTAAGAAACGGTTCACATCCACGCTTCGGAAAGACGAAGCTGAGCTCCGATGCTTAGGACGAGTACGTCGGCATACCACGAGACCACCCACAAACATACCATTCCTTCATGTGGACTCACTTCTTCTCTCACGTCAACGTCCGCCCTGAGAACGTACATATACTCGATGGAAATGCCCCTGATCTCGAGGCCGAATGTTCCAGGTTCGAGGATGCTATCCAAGAAGCGGGAGGCATTGATCTATTCCTCGCTGGTATCGGTGAGGATGGCCACATCGCTTTTAATGAACCCGGATCCAGTCTTGGAAGCCAAACTAGAGTGAAAACGCTGGCGTACGATACGATCCTTGCAAACTCTCGCTTTTTCGACAACGATGTGAACCAAGTTCCTCGAATGGCGCTCACGGTTGGTGTTCAAACTGTCCTGGATGCCCGAGAGGTGGTCACGCTAGCTCTTGGCGCGCGCAAGGCCGTCGCGCTCCAGAAATGCATCGAGGGAGGAGTCAATCACATGTGGACGCTGTCAAGTCTTCAACTTCACCGACACTCGATGATTGTGGCCGATGAAGATGCAACACTCGAGTTGCAAGTCAAGACTGTTAAAGTGAGTCTGCCATCAACCCTCGACGCATAATTTGCAAGTCCCTAAAACGATTTTACAGTACTTCAAGTCCATCGAACAGATCGCTCTCCAGCAAGGCTTTGAGCAAGGTCTGCCCAGAGGTCTCCGTAAAGGAAAAGGGGCTAATGGAGTTGATGTCAATGGCTCCGTTGTGGTGAATGGGGTTCACTCTCCTGTCGCCCTGAAGCCAGCGAATATCGATGCTTACTTACTTCGGGCTAATAGTCCTGTTCTTGCTCAGCCTACATCCAGGTCAGTCACGCCGGAGCCCACCCTAGACAGTATGGGGTCTCGTGTCACCCAAACGTGATGAACCTTGATCAAAGGGGTGCCCACACGAGTTTAGGTCGTCCCTAGTACGCTGCCGGCTTTGGCCAGGTTGTCGGTGGGCTCGTCATATAGGATGTCCTTATGCCCTAGGCGCCTTTTACTGGTCCTTACGTGCTGCAAGGCAAGGCATTTGTGCTGGAAAATGACTGCTTGGGATTATTTGGAAGAGTTTGTGCCGCCTCTACTGACCGAGGATTAACGCATCTATAGATGGGTTGCAGATATCTATGGTGGTGGGAGACCGGGAGATGGCAACGGCCCTGATTGATAGCGAAGTCAGGCAGAGTAGACCCGAGCAGCTCACGGTTATCGTTTAAGATGTACCTGGATTATATGTGTACTTATGACATTGATAGATCAGATACATAATTCCTTACCTTGGACAACTGGTTCTCCGGCGTGGGCCTCTCTTTACCCGCAGGGGCTCCCCCCCTTTCCGTGCACCCCGACTACGCAATCCGACCAGCTCAGTCGTTCTCGCAATATGCGAGACTCCAATTTATTCACACTGAAGAAGATACTCTCAGAAATCTCGTATGTTTTCCTCCAATGAGGGCAGGATGTGAGGGGGAACTTATGCAGCTCTGGCACTGTCAAGCAGTGACAGGTTGACAGCCCTATTTCACCCACAGATCTTCGCCAGAGCTGATCCGAGAAAAACAACAACAATCACCGTAATTGTCACACAATCACGATCAAGCACCATCTGCAATCACATCATGAATCAGCTTGAGCGTAACATGACAACGGCCGCCCAGGCCATGGCGCTGGAGGATCGTGTCGACCATCCCATGCGTGAGGGTAAGCGCCGCGGGGCGCCGTACTTCGCGATGCTACGAGCGCGGCGAGAGCTGCCTGTTTCCAAGAAGCGGCAAGAGTTTCTCAACCTCTACCAAGAGGAACAAGTAAGTGATACATATATTGCCCCATCCCAACGTTAGTCCCAGGCTTATACAGTGATATCTAGGTTTTGGTTGTCGTCGGCGAGACGGGGTCGGGCAAGTCGACCCAAATCCCCCAGTTCGTCCTCTTCGACGAGTGGGAGAGCGGGATGAAGGTTGTCTGCACCCACCCGCGGAGAATGGCCGCCTCGTCGGTGGCAAAGCGCGTCGCCGAGGAGATGGCCGTACCCCTCGGCGAGGAGGTTGGTTACCGCATCCGCTTCGATGAGCGGATGAACATCAAGAACCGTCTTGCCTACATGACGGATGGCATGCTGCTTGCCATGACGCGAGACAAGCGCAACTTCCCTGGATGTGTAAGTCTTCATTTGTGTTTGCTGTGTACATTTCTGACACTGGAAACAGTGCACCATCATCATCGACGAAGCCCACGAGAGAACCATTGCCACCGACCTCCTCATGGCCCTTCTCAAGCAGGCCCTGAAGGTTCGGAATGACCTCAAGGTCATCATCATGTCGGCGACCCTCGATGCCGCCAAGTTCCAGGCCTACTTCGGTGGTGCCAAGTTGCTCCAAGTCCCCGGCCGCAACTTTCCCGTCGACATTCGCTACCTCTCGGAGGCCACTCCACACTACGGTGTGACTGCTTTGCGAACAGTGAAGCACATCCATGAGAACATGGGTCCCGGTGACATTCTCGTTTTCCTCCCCTCCATCAACGAGATTGAGTATTTTTGTTCTGAGGTGAGAGCCTCTACCAATGGCCTGGAGACGTTTGCCCTCTACTCTGGTATGGTGCCAGAGAGAGAGTCTCGTGCTGTTGCGAGGACCAAGTCTGGCTGCCGTAAGTGTATCGTGGCGACCAACATCGCCGAAATCAGTGTGACGATCGAGGGGATCGTCTACGTCGTGGGTAAGTAACAGCATCTAACCTTCATGCCAAAGGGAAAAGTCAGCTAACGTTCAAACTCAGATGCGGGTCTAGTGAAGCAAGCAGGCTTCAACCCTCGTGCGAGTCTCAACACCCCCCAGACCGCCACCATCTCCAAGGCCTCCGCTGCGCAGCGAACTGGCCGAGCCGGTCGAACCAAGCCCGGCCTTTGCTTCCGTCTCTATACCGAGGAGACACTCGATGAGATCTTCCTGGCTTCGAACCCACCAGAGATGGTGTCCCGGCGTCTGACCCCTGAGATCCTGTTGCTCAAGTCCATCGGGATCCATGAAGTTGGGCTGTTCGACTTCATCGACCGACCTCACAGCGAGGTCTACTACCATGGCCTCGAAGAGCTGTTCGACATGTATGCTACTTTGCCTGTCCCTCCTCATGATTAACTACTGACAGTCACAGGGGCTACATTGATGACGCTGGCAAGATCACCGCCAGTGGCCGCGAGGCTGCAAAGCTCCCCGTCGATCCTCTCTGGCACAATGCCATGGTTGAGGCGAGAGGCCTTGGCTGCCTGGGTGAGATCGTCGCCATTGCTGCTCTCTCGACCGTCCAGTCGCAACACTCAATCTTCTTGCGGCCCCATGCGTTTGCGGCTGTGGCCGATGAAGCTCACCGACAGTTTGACTGTCCCATGTCGGAACACAACACCCAGCTCAACGCTCTCCACGCCTTTGTCGAGGCAAAGAAGGATGGAGATGCGGACGATTGGTGTCGACACTTCTTCCTCAACCGCCGTGTCCTCGAGGACGCACTTCGTCTCCGCGCCCAGCTGATTGAGAATGTCCAGCCGCGCCTTGGTCCAGTTACCGTCATGGACTATCGGGATGAGAACTACGAGACCAAGATCTGCAAGGCACTGGCTCGCAGCCTGTTTTGCAATGTTGCCATCCGAGACCCAGGCAGCAAGGGCAAGGGGCCCGCCGTGGACAATGACGATGACCTCTACCGCACTGTGCACCGCAACCACCAGGCGGCCTTGGACATCGACAGCGTCTTGGTCGGCAGCAAGGCTGAGTGGGTGGTCTTTGACAAGTTCGTCCACCCTGGGTGGCAGCAGCGCCTGCAGACTGTCACGGCAATCAAGCCAGAATGGGTCATTGTAAGTACTTGGCTACAACTTATCTTTTGCTTTCATTCTAACAAGTGACAGGACCTCCCTTACTTCCAGGACGACCACCTGGCACGGAAGCGCAGCGGCCTCCTGAGGCAGCCTTATGTCAAGGCATCGCTCGACCGAGCCCGTGAGGGTGCAGCAGCCCCATCAGCCTCAGCCTCAACCTAGAGCACCAGTCTCCCCCTCTCCCCCCCTGTCTTTTGTTTCACACAATCATGTTCAAAGATGGCTAGTGAGAGCTGTCGTCTTTTAGATCACATGCTAGTTCTGTTTTTTCCTGTTCTCTTTTGTCTTCCCTTACCATTCGAATGATCAATGGCAAACCATGTTACGAGCCCAGTTCCGTTTTCTTCACCCTGTAGTTGTGCCATTTGGCGCGAGCCAATGCCTTTTTGCCATGTACAAGCCTAATTCTGTTTTGTTCTTCTTATCATTTTAATACTCTACACGAGCTAGTTCCTTTTCATGTATGGGCCCTTTTTGTTTTGTATGGTTTCGTGGGTAGTTGTGGAGGTTTAATTGGCAGTGTGATAATTGATATCAACCTTGTGCTGCTGGGTGCACAAGACACATTATGCCGCAACTTTGACTTGCTCATGCCTCCTCCTGTGACTTTCTGTTTGCTATGCCTGACTAAAGTTAATACTCCTCAGTATCATAAGAAACTGGGAGCGGGTGCACCCCTGGGGGTCTAAGGGCAAGATCGGTTTATTGCCTGTGTACTAGAGTAAAACAGGGATCCAGTTCTTGGGCTCAAGAAAATCAACTTCGATTGCACACACATCTTTTTACTTGGATTCAGATTGTGAAATATCAGCCATCTAACAGGGCTTTCTGTCGGCCGGGTCGGCATGGTGAAGGCTGGACGCCAGCCCGTTTGAGGGCGGCGCCGCCCTGGGCTCACCCCCGTTCTACCTTATGTTTTACCCTGCGTTTTACACTAGGTTTTACGCTAGGTTTTACACTGGGTTTTACACTGGGTTTTACACTGGGTTCTACACTGGGTAAGCCCTTCAACTCAGGTAGACCCTGGGTTCAAAGCGGGCTGGTCGCTTGGCTCACAGGTGGCCTACCCTGAGTCAGCCACATCTCAACACTGAGTGATACTGAATAGGTGACGAAAGTTGTCCAGAAATGATACTTTATAGAAGACTGAAATAAAATAAATTCGTCATGTATGAGAAACTAGAGAGTAATAAGCAGACATAGAATGCTATTGTACTAATCACAAGACCTCGTACTTTAACTACGAAGCCGGATGTGCAACTTGGACAAATGATGACATAAACACGGCTATAGAGGCCGCGATGGAAATGATGTGTTCGTCGCACTCAGCGCAAGCAATACTACTCTACAAGATAAACAACACCGACTACATCTCCAGGAGAAAGGGGCAGTACAAGAAAGCTATGGGCTCGCGCCGAGAGGCAGAAGAAACCACGGCCACGGCCACAACAAGAAGAACAAGAACAAGAGACAAGATTATAAAAAGAGTTATTCGCTTACGCGACACAACTGCTGACAAGACGTAAAGCACAACCCGGCCCCCTCACACGATCGAAGTCACGAGAACACTGTGACGTCGATGTGCTGGGTCGCCCCATCCCTGCCCTAATCGAAGTTGTAAAAGAAGAAGAAGAAAAGAGTGAAGCCCGAGTCTCCCACTACCTCACCCGGTTCAAGTCATCGAAGAGATTAACATCAGAACCTGAGGTGTTGGGTCTCCCCTACCAAGTGCCGTCATCGAGTCCCTGTCCACCGCGACCTCTTCCACGACCACGTTGACGTCGCCCTTGTTGGTGGCCCTCGCGGGATGCTTCTCCATAGCGACGCGTTTCGAAGCATTCCCGAACAGTCCTTGGTCTCTGTCTGTCAGCGAATGGCTCCGGCTGCTCGGGATCATCTCGCGCCAGGCTTGCCGTGACAACGATGTTCTCGGCCCCCTCCTCTGCGTCCTTGCCGGGAACATACTGGAGTGTCGCAGGCTCTTCATGAGCACATGCCTTGTCCTCGGTCATGTCCTTGGTCAGAGCGCGGCCGTGGAGTTGCCACTCCCGGAACTTGTCGTGGTCTCCCCAACCGGCACCTACTCGCGAGGGCCGTGGGACCTTGGGCTGGTGGCCACGGGATGTAGAGGCGAGAAAGTCGTTGGAAAGCTCGCTGTTAGGCACGAATGCCTTGCTGGTTGAGATGGGAGCTCGCGCCCCTGGGTCGGGTCCGAGCAAGCGATGAGGCTCCCACTCGATGCCCTCTGCCTTTTGCGAAATATCGATTCCGCGCTCGAACTGGTGGGGTGTGTCGAGGGTCGGGTTGTCATATTCCCAGACGTCTTCGATCCTCTTGACCTCGACGTTGTCCTTTCCCGTGTCGGGATCGGCTCGTCTGCCCTTGCGATGCCACTCCTTCTAGTTGTCGGCCTCGTACTTGGGGAGGTCAGCCAAGTCGATGCGCTTGGTGTCGAACCCAGCCTTTTCGACCCAGATGAAGGTCGTGTTGCGGTGCTTGTCGTCGCTTGGGGCTGGGGAGGGGAAGCCACGCGAACGAGCGACGAGTCTCCCCGACTCATCCCTCGACGTGATGTCACCAAGAAGATGACCGTACTTTTGGCTGGTACTGCGACGCCAAGCCTCGATGCATCGCTCAGGATGCTCGGGATCTTGGCGCCACTCGTCAGGAAGGGCGGCACCGTCCACTCGAGCATCGTCACCAGGGCCAGGGGGAGACGTAGGGGCGGGGGCGGAGGTGAGTGTGACACGAGCCAGGGCGAGAACAGCCTTCACGAGGGTCAGATAAATCAACATACAAGCCTAGTGAAAACTTACGGCGAAGGGATCCTCTGGAGCGCTGGTAGTCTGGGCGGCCATTATGTTTGAGGTGGAGGTGGAGGTGGAAGCGGGAGCGGAGGTGGAAGCAGACTTCACAGCACAAGAGTCAGAAAGATCAACTACCAAGCTCACAGAGTATGTACTTACGGTGATGCCTTCTGGGCTGGTAGCTTGGTTGCTAGCCATGTTTGCAGCTGGTTGTGGCGGCGAGGAAGTCTGGGATGGGTGTTTTGATGAGGAATCTGTTTTCCTCGCGTTGCGTGTTGTGCGTTGCGAGGAGAGAAATGTTGGGGCCTGAGGTTTGTTTTGATTGAGATGCAACAAAAGAACAAAGCCAACAAGGTACCCGTCCTATCTCATGACTTTGTTTCCTCAGGCAAACCGTCTTTACCTAAGGCTTAGGCTTGATAAGATCACAGTCTGACTTGGTGCTGTCCCCCTTAATTTCGACCGCTGAGAGTATTCGATCTCCAATGTCTTGTCTCCATCCAGCCACTTTCACAGGATGGCGGACAGTTTCAATGATCGAGCATCCTATTAGAGAACTGCCATGCATCTATAATTCACGAAACCCGTCGTGGTTGGTTAGAGATCAAGGGGATAGCCAGAGTGGCAAGGCAGATTGGGGATATAAAAGGGGGACAATTCAAGATCGTCAATACAAGTCAAAGACCCCATTCAGGAGTCAGTAGGCAATGATCACCGTATCTGGATATTTTTAACTATTGTTGCCCATCGCATTTGTTCTTCATTGTTCTCCCATTGATGCGGCTCCGTATGTGTTTACCTCTCTTTGTTCACCTGAGACCATGACAGTGCCAGCCCGACACTGCCGGCCGGTCGAACAGCAGTGCAAACGCGTGGAAACTTGGAAAGCTCACGAACCTGATGAAATTAGGGCACACACCCGCTTGTCTTTTAATTTTACTCTTGAGGCATCCCGCACATTTCTTTCTCTTCAACTTCCCACCCTCACCATCGGTGTACACCCTCCTCATCGCCAACACACCTCACAAGACCACCCCTCGGTATGTACGCAATATTGTCTTATGTGCACTCAACGTCCTCTGGAGAAACACTAACGATACAATAACCTCTGTCACCCGTCACCATGGCCGCCCAGATCTCTTCGTTCGTTGCCATGTCACCTGAGCAGCAGCACCAACTCTTGATCGGCATTGTCGCGAGCGACACTGACGTTAAGGAGTCGCGTGCCGCCGGCACTCCAGTGATGAAGGCTGGAGATCTCACTGCCGCAGAGAAGATGGCCCTGGTTGACCTTGCTAGGATGGTCGTCACCATCTGGAAGAAGGCTCTGCCTTTCCAGGCTGAGGTGGCTGAATGCTACCAACTTTTGCTCCGCCGCGTCTTTGATTCATGGACATCCAAGGACAATACTGTTGGCTCTCCCACTCTCCCGCCTCGAAAGTTTCCCAGCACAGTGGCTCAAGTCGGCGTCCTGCTCACCGATCCTACCGACGAGGCTGACCTGGCCGCTCCAGCCTTTCTCGATGTGATGCTGCCGTCGGAGTTCGAGTCTGTGTATGGAGAAGGACCTTGGGATGAAGCCATTTGGGATGACACGCTCTGGGGTGGAGATGACTCGTGCCCGCCGACTTGGGCTTACCTCTGGCGAGACCAGTACGGCCATCCCCTCAAGCGAGAGTTTGTCGAGTTCGCCCACGGTGTTACCAAGAACAACGCTAAGGCTCGGGCCATCGCAGAGTACGACCGAAACGAGATGTTGCGAATTATCACCTACAACCTTGAGCTCATCGTCAACGCGGCCCGACGCCGCATCTGCAAGTGGGCCGTCGACGGTACCGAGGCGGCCCCGAGAGTTGATGAAGACGATCGCCTGGAACAGTCGGACATTGAGAGACTAGAGCTTGCCAAAGACTATCTTGAAGAGCACTTCCGGATGACTAACTACCTCACTGCCAACGCCCGCCGCCCCCTCCCATCTCCTTTTCCCAGTGATCAGCTCTTCCTCTGTCACAATATTGTCTCCCGGTGAGTGCGGTGCTCCGGTAAGTTGCAATATTAGATCTCCAGGTAGACACATACCTAGTTCCAGTTGCTAATGCGTCTTATAGCAGGAGATAGTGTGGATGTTGTCGCGACAGGATCTTCCCCGAAACAAAAGTGCTCATGCAACTCCGGTAAGTAGCATGGACTTTGACCTTGACCCAGCTCCTTACGATTCAATAGAGAGAGGTTTCCAGCATCGCGTGTAGAGTGAGGCTTTCCTCTTGGTGTGGACAGCGCTACAGTCCCCTTTGGTACGTTGCAGTATCATCTCTTGACACATTACTGCCTTGGACGAGTTGCTAATGAAATCTCTCATGACCAGGTGCTCCTCACGTTTTCTTTGCGATATGGAATGGATCAGCTAGATAGTTGGAGCAGCTGGGGTGAAGGGATAGATGAGCACAAATGGATGGCTTTCTGGGATTTGACTGTGGTGTGCTCTTGATACATGTGATTGTCCTGATCCAACTTCCCTTGCGTTTGATCAAGGCTTCACTTTAATCATTTGCGTAATGATTCCCGCCCGATTCTGGTAGACTGACGCTGCCTCCGCTATAGCCAAGCATGATCCAGGTCGAGTAACCACCTGGCTGGCCAAGCTGAACCGCCCAATTTGATTGCCGCAGCACTTCTCATGAAGGTGACCAAATCATGTTTAAGTTGTTTCATTTACTAACTCACGATAAATGGTTCAAGAGCTCACTAGCTCTCATAGCTATGTCCTGCTTTTATTATGTCTCCATGGAACGCTGCCCGCGTTGTTAGGCAAAACTGTTGGCCAGAGTCTTCGTGGGTGTGATTACGGCCATAGGCGCTGGCCTGCTGCCCATAGAACGTAAGGCCGACCTTAAGTTCCACCTCAGGTCGACCTAACGTAGGATGCAAGGCCGGCCCAAGGTGTATGAGTGGCTATGATTTGGCCTGCGTTTGACTACTACCAAACGATCCAAGACTCTCTTCGCCCCCTGATCTCACTGAATGTCTTGATGGATTTTCTCCTGGCGATACGTTTTAGATGTTAGTACCCTGAGGCATTCCTCTCGCCATAAGAAGTGTCACTGTTCCCCCTCATTGATCCTTAGTCTGTGCACCCTAAGGCCTTGCCTCCATCCACTTCCGCCAACTTCTGCTGAAAGAGAGCTCCTTCCTTAAGTTGTGGAAGGTGCAACTGGGTCTACTCCTTCCTCGTTATTCTTGTCCGTGACTGCCATTGATACCCCAACCGATGCCCCAACACATTTTCATCGACGACATGTTCCCATTCTTCCTTCTCGAAACTTTACATCTACAACCATTTCAACTATAACCTGAAGTCACTGGGCTTCAATCAACTTTCAGTCAATTGTAAGTAGTCACTGCAATCTGTGTTGGAACAAGACCGTTACTAACGATGCCTCAGCTCCTGCCATGTCTTCGCAGAGTTTCACCCGCCGGGCTGCCAGCCCCGAGTCCAGCCCCGAGCATGGCTACGCGAATGCTCCGGGCCCTCAACACGAGGAGAACGACGATGCCGTTTTTCTCTTCTTCGTTCCTCTCCGCCGCCGCCTGCACCCTCGCCGGCCTCAAACCGCTGGTCCGTTTTCTTCCGGCGGTACCTCCACCAACCCCATCGTTGTTGCCGACGATGAAGATACGCCCTCCACTGCAGAGGGTAGGGCCGACGACGGCTGTCGTCATCTCAGATGATGAGAATGAGAACAATGTTCCCTCGCCCGCCCCTACCGACAATGGCAATACCAGAGCGCGAGCTCATCCAACAACCGCTGCTGGCAATGCTGTGTCCTCCAGTATTGCCATCGAAGACTCCGACGATGAAGTCCCTTCCGTCCGCGCTTCCCGGGACAGCAACAAGCGGGAGAGACCCCCATCCCCTTCCAACAACTCAGCTACTCGCCGTCGCCACCAGTAAAATCTGAGTGTTCGTTTCCGCCTCGCCCTCGAGTCTCTCCTCTTCTTCTTTTTCTCGAAGTCGGCGACGACACTCCGACCGACCGATCGACCGACCAACTCTACCCCCGGCTGTTGAGAGACGATATCTCAACCCACTTTGAGTGTGGTGTGTGTGGATGAGTGACTCTCTTTTTCCTGCTTCTTATTGTTATTTTATTTTTTTCGGCAAGAGCCAGCCAAGTCTATTTCGGGTTTCCAGGTTGACAAGCGGCGCAAGCCTGCAGTTCTTGTTCGGGTCTTTGTTCTTCTTCGGCGAATCTGGTGTCCATACGAGAGTCTGGTTCTTATTCTCATCTTTTTTTTCTTCTGCTTATCCTACTACTGCAATGGGTACGGAGTTCTTGGTAGATGAAATGCGAAAGCCCATCAGCGGCGCGAGCCATCGAATCATTATAGGCCTTTTAAGGCCGTGATTTGATGCTGTTGAACCCTATGTTTGTATCATTTTAAAGCCGTACGGGCATCTACCTAGCAAGACGTGACTTAGTGCCCTAGTCAGTACCTGCAACAAGAAACCCAACAAGTAGAGTTAATCCTCAGACATCCCAATTAATATCAGTGATAAATGGAGGAGTCGAAAGCAAAAGTGTTATAATATTTATACAGAAGTTTAAAGCATATGTAATATACAGTACTCTAGCCGCCTCGTCCATCATCGACCGACTGCTTATCGCCGAGGAGGAAATCCATCGTTGGCATCGCCATACGACCCGCTCGCAACGTCATAAGGGTTCCAGATCGTACCACCACGACCCCTATCCTCACAATTGTTGCATCCATTGACAGTAATGTGGCATCCGTTGTTCAGATACGTACTTCCGCAGCCCTTGGCGCCGTTCAGGTTGTAGATGTTGAGCATCGAATCCTTGATCTGCTTGCCCGTCATACCACGGGAGAAGGCGTCGTCGTTGTCGCAGGTCCAGATGACTGTGCAGCCGTAGTTGATGCCAAAGAAATCCTCGATGGCTGGGCCGGCGATGGGGAAGATCATATTGGCGATATCTTTTCCAGTGTCATCGGGCCACACAGCAGAGGTGTATTGGTGGTAGACAATGTCGTCGACGTAACGAGAAGCAGCCAGCAGGCAAGTATCCTTGGAGATGGATCGGCAGATGGCAGATCCGTCATGATTGCCGTGATCCTGCGAAGCATCACTAGGTGCCGGAGCGACGTAGGGGTTTGTGGCGGGGCCGCTGTTGTTAGGGTCGGGGGAGCTGCAGCATTGATCAAAGATCTTGTTGTTCCCAGCATCGTAGAGGCAGCCGTCCTCGCCGAAGGTAACATCGCCATAGTTGGCGGGCCAGCGAGCCTGGAGCTGGCAAGTGGCAGTGGCGTGAAGGTGTATATCGTCGTTCGCGTCGAAGCCAGACAGGATCAGCACTGTGTTGTAGGGCTCATCAGGGCTAGAGGCAACGTCTATAAAGAAGTAATGTTAGAGCATGCTTCGGATCGAATGATTTAAAAAGTTGCGCCACTTACTGTAGGAACTCTCATAGACTCCAGAGATGGCACCTGCATCGGAAGCGCATCGAGGGCTGTTGTTGATGAGAATGCATCCCTTTTGAACGTGCTATTGGACTTGTCAGCTCCTTTCCGCACTCAAACTCCGAGACCGGAGTACTTACGACATTGGTTCCAGCAGGGTTAGGAGTTGGTGTCTCGAGAGGCTGACAGACGGGATTGTTTGATCCCTCAATCAGCACACACACCATGCCGTTGGTGGTAACCGTCTGCGCATTAGGCCTGTGCTGAGTACTTGTAGACTCTTCTTGCTCGGTCGTCGTAGTCTCTTCAGCGGCCTGACTGGAAGTGGTCGTAGTGGAAAAGGTAGTGGATGTAGCTTCCTGGCTGGTAGTTGTCTCGACAGCCTCTTCGGAGGTACTGGTTGTCTCGGCAGCTTCCTCACTTGTGGTTGTGGTAGCTGTAAGCTCCTCAGTGCTGGTCTGCTCCGCCGTAGAGGTGAGCTCCTCGCTGGTCGTCTCCGGTTGGTTCAAAGGGCATGAGCCATCTCGCCCCCAGAGATCCCTCTTGGCAAACTTCATGGGATCTCCACCAGCGCCAGCAAGATCCCTATTGGCGAGGAACGAATAATGACCTTCGGCGGCGTAAGGGCTCTTTGCAAAACCGTCGTAGTTCTTCAACAGCTTCTGGGTATCCTCATCATCAGGGTCAAGCTCCTTGATGTCCGACTCGATTTCGGCACTCCAATGCTGGACAAACTGCCAAGCCTCTGCCGTTCCGCGGTCAAGACGGTCAGCCATGAAGCTCTCGTATAGCTCGGCGAAGCTGAAATCACCACCAGAGATGGCAATCTTGTTGTCTCGCACGCGGTCGTCAATGCCTCGGAAGGTGTTGTACAGTCGCTGGTTGGTCCTCTCGAAGAGTGCCTTGACGGGTCCCTGGTTGAAGATGTCGACAGAGATACCAATCGTTTGCAGAGCTTCAATCTTGAGATCAGTCGAGCTCGCAAATTTGGCAATGAAGCCGGGCTGTTCAAGCTCGCCAATCTTGAAGAAGGCACCCTTCATGTTATTGAGCTCTCGCTGCATAGCAACAAACTCGGCATTGTTGGGTCCCGGGACTTGGTTCACGACCGTGGTCAAAATGCACTTCGGGAAGATAGCGTTGAACTCGTCACAAGTGAGCTTGGGGTTGCTGTTCCTTCCTCCCGGCAAGAGCTGCGTCTCAAAGAAATCGGTGAAAAATTTAAGCTCCCAGACGTGGTCGACGTTGAAGTTGGCAAGTCCCTTCTCCTGTGCCTTGGCTTCGGCCGTGTTGATCTGCTCCCAGCCAGGTCTCAGGTCCTCATCGCAGCGCACCTTGCGGTCATACCACCTCTGCACATCCCTATTATAGTTCCCATTAGTGCCAGCCTTGGGGTGCTGCTCAGCCTGGTCGAGGCCTTTGGCGTTTGGGTTGCTTGGGAACTTGGGTGTTTCGGCGGGCTTGCATTCTCCAAAGAATGGGCTTCGTGCCCTCTTGACAAGGACGGCGCGTTCCTCGAGGTAGACTCGGCCAGCGATGGACCGCTTCATCTCCTCCGGGTTGTCTGTTCCGTCGGCCTCATCAATCTCGTCGGGAAGCTCGAGTTTGTATGGGAGGGCGCTGCAGCTGCTGGTGCTGGAGGTTGTGGTAGCGGTCTCGGTTGATGACATGGCTGTTGACTCTTCTTGAGTGCTTGTCGGCTTGTCTTCAGAATCAGTTGTTTGGTCGTCATCATCGTCATCATCATCGTCGTCGTCGTCATCGTCGTTGTCGCCATCATCGTTGTCAAAGTCCTTGATATCGTCCAAGGCGTTTGACAAGAGCTCACCAGCAGCAACGGCGGCAAAGGCCGGTGCAAGCTCAGCAAAGACTCCAGTCGCCAAAGCCGGTGTGGCTACTACCGGAGCAATTGCTGAAAGCTGTGTCGAGTACCAGGCGAGCAGGGCAGCTAATCCAGCAATAGACTTTTCGACCTTGTGGGAGTCATCCTCGCTGAGGCTGTCCAGGTCAATTTGCTTGAGCTGAGCATCGATGTGAGAGAGATCCTCAAATTCATCCTGGGCTTGCTTCTGGAAAGCTTCGATCTCTTCAACAGAGGGAGATGGGTTGGCGGCGATGGCCGAAGCCGCATTAGCAATGTCGGAGAAGGAACTTGCCGCGTTGGTAGCAGCAGGGCCCACTCCAACAAAGGCGGCGGTGCCGGTGGGTTGGAATCCAGTAGGAAGACTGGCACTTGGGACAGTAATGACACCAGGGATGGTTACCTCTCCGCCGGGTCCGATAGAGATGTCGGTCGTGGGGACGGCGGTCTCAGTAGGTCCAGCCTCGGTCTCGGAAGAAACCTCTCCGCTAGTTGAACCAACCTGGCCAGCCGTGTTGGTAGTAGGAACAGACTCGGTCGTGCTGCTCTCAAAAGGGAGAGGGAAGTGAGAAGTGGTTGTCTCCGGCTCGGGAGTTGTGGTGGCTTCCGTCTCGGCTCGGGGAAACAGCCGGGGGATGCCGGCCTGAGCTCCGGAGAAGAGCAGAGCGGCCGCAGCCAACCCCAAAGAGGGCCGCATGTTTGTGAAAGGTAATGAGTGAATGAATAATAATAAAGAAGGACTGTTTGGGGAAAAGAATGACAAAAACAAACAAGAGAAAGAGTGTTGGGTCAAGGTTGGCAGGCTGAAACCTGACTTGGCGATGCCATGATTGAGAAGTCTTATATCTTACATGCAGACACCCTCTCGTATCAGCCATCCAGTGATTGAAGGCGGACATCTCGGCGGGCGGCACTTACAACTCCGCCGTCGCCGCGCCACGAGTTACATTGTGAACCGCCCGCGGCTTTGGAATCAACAGATTAGTCCCCCCAACTGCCGCGACCAAGGTCGAGAAACCATGTCGGGACCTGGGTCTCCCGCTGATCAAAATCCCAAAGTCCCAATTTTAAATACAAGGAACCCTTTGTGTTGCAATCTTCAGGTCGTCTCAGCAAATCACAACCACATAACCCATGGATGAACAATGTTTCTTGGTCAGCCCTAGACTGCCACACTCCACACGCTGAGTGGTCAACTTGGTCTCAGCTCTTGTTCAGGAGTCAAGCCTGAGCTGACAAGACAAATCGACTCCCGCACCATGGCGGCCGCTAGTCTGATCAGCCCTACCAATAAGCCATTCCCGTCCCCATCATCGGAGATTTTGAACCAGTCGCAACAGGACATGGTGTTTAATGTCATGCACGCCAAATGATGACGCCGTCCCTTCAATTTCCATTGTTTATAGCCGCCAGGTGCCTCATGCAAGCCGTTGAACTCTCAATCCAATGCACTCACCTTGATCAACTCCAACTTCACTTCCCAGTATGGGGTTCTCATTCGTCTATTGTGTTGTTTGTGGCTGTCCCTTTGACATCCCCCCTCACGACGATGTCTTTGATGAAGAACACAACTGGGCATCCGACAACCCTCTCGAAGATGAAACAAAGCAGGTAAGCATATTGCTTTTGCCAGACAAATCTCTTGTATTTGTCTTCCTGCCTTTTTGGGAGTGTTACAAGGATCGGCCGCTGTCGATGCAACTCCAACGCGCCCCCAGTTTTGGGGATCAAGGAGAAGCCCAAGCTTCGGCACCTATTTTCTCACTTGCTCGAGTTTTGAACTCACCCCTTTGTTCTTTCAGATTATTAATCGTTACGATATCAACCACTAACATTACTATTTTGGCAGTGGCTATGTAAAATCCGGCTTCTCGGCGCTACTTCAAGTTTGGAGAAATTCACCACTCCTCCTTTTCGCATGTATGCAATATCCATGACCTGGAAAGACTAGAGCTTCCTTTACTCAATCAGTACACAAGTTTCATGATCCTCGTAAGACGCTGACATCTCAAACTCACAGGCCGAGAAACCTATCCACAACTCCAGGGCTCTTTGTTTCCGATTTTGCCGACTGGGCATTCACGGAAGGTCTGTACTTCCGACTCGTAGGAGGTTCATACCGCGTCCTATCCTCTGCTGAGGATACCAGCGATATCCTTTTCCCGCTTCATGACTACTGCCTGACCATAATTCAACATGTCCTCACATGGCGTGCTCGACTCTCCCCTGAGAGTGGTTCACCTCCAAATTTGACGAGCGTGTACAAGACTCTCTGTGCCCAGTTTGTTGTCAATGGGCAAGGAAAGGCGAGAATCGCCAAAGAGAGAGCTTTTCATGGTTCAACCGACTATATGGAGTATGGTCTAGAGTTTGGCCATGGCTACTATGGCGCTCGCAAGTTCTGGGCCTCTGAAGGGTGGGAGACCACAAAGGCAAACGAGGTTCGTCCCTTTGGATTTTGATTATATTAATGCCTACGCACTATGTTACCGACTCATGCTGACAAGCCCGTCTCTTGGCAGTGGTACTGCAACGATCCGATAAACGTTCAAAGTCTTCCGGATTTTGTCTCGGCTCTATTTGCTGAGGAGCCCTCCGAGAGCGGACATCTGGAATTTGTCGAGCCAAACGTTAGCCTTGAGATTCCAAGCCTGAAGGCAACGCTGTGTCCAAGTCTCGAGTGTTTGCCGAGAGAGATACTAGACCTTGTTGTTTCTTTTCTTCCTACGGCATCTACTTTACGCCTTCGAATATGTTCCAAGACTCTGATGTCGCGCATTGTACTCGATCAGCAGTTCTGGCGAAAGCAGCTGCTTGGTGGCTGTGTAGCCCCTCACATCTGGGACCTCGGTGATGTCGACAGATGTTCAAATACCCCAGTTGTTCTAACTCACGAAACTCTCGGCCGTCATAACTGGAGGGGACTGGTCCGCAAGTTGACACGGAGGGATCAGATTATCAAGGGGGATGACTCCATGCCATCTCCGCCATGGGGACTGCGAAACCGATGCAGGATCTGGTCCCTTGCTACTCATCTCGTTACATCTTCGGAGAGCTAGATATGCTGAAATTACATTCCTTTCTTTGACGTCAGACAGAGTACTTTTTGGTATTTTCCAAAATTGGTGTCTTCGTTAGAACAACCAATCGCGCAGACGCCGACTATGGATTTGAATCCAGAGAGCGTAATACAATACTACCAAAACATACCCTTTCACCTCTCTCATTTTCCAGAGTACAACACACATCTGACAAGCGACTCAAAAAAGGAAACAGGTCCGATACTTTGTGTCTCCATCGGACGAGGCCCATGATCATCTCCCGCAGGAACATCCCGATGTCCCGCCCGATTCCCGATTCCCTTCGGCTCTCGGCTGCGGACCAAGAAAACAGATCGTCGATTACTTGGTCCTCGTTTCAAACTGTGGGTAAACCCCAACCATTAAGCTTATGAATTGCCTGTCATCTGGCGGGTCAATTATCATGCGACAGGCATTGTCTCAACAGAACATTGAAGTTTGCTGCGCCTTGCTGACAGCCAAGGACGAGACGCAGATATCACACGGTTCACACCGAAAAATCGCATTAAATCCCGCAGAAAACGTCACTGAAGCACCATGAGCAACATGAGATACACCATATCCGGAACCTGAGCCCACAAGGTCTCAATTCCTTCGGCAACTCGTGACTTGTCAGCCGGCAAGGCTGTGCAGCAAAGTTGGATTCAGCTCGAGGTTATGACGTATGTAGTTTGTTTAAGAGTGGGCATTGAAGGGACGTTTGTATCCCTGCTTCTACGCATGTACGGACGGGGTATTGATCTGCTATCGCGAAGGATGCCGGATCCGGCTTGGTCCTCCCATCCATGCTTGCTAGACTTCAACCAGTAGGAGAATTCTATCGTTTCCTTGCGCGACACTTCTTACCTTAGCTACCCGATAACCTTATTGAGCATCGGGCATGAGTCCATCATCCCTAAAACGACACTTGTTTACTCATCTATAAGTCAATCCAGAGTCAGTCTCTTATCTGAGGTCGATGCTGTCTAAACTCTGCTGCCTGTGCACAGACCTTAATAGAGGAGCCTAAGCAACCCAAACACCATGTCCTATTGGCCCTGTTTCAGTCCAAGCATTGTAATACCCCAGCTTCTGATCCATCGCATCGCATTCACCCCCACAGTCCATCTCTTTCCTTTTCAACTCAAAACTTGACCAAGGCTCAGCCCCAAGAGGTGACAGCTGAATCCTTTGAAGCATTGGCATATCCTCCGAGGCATTGATCAGCCCAGTGAAGCGTCATTGCTGACATTGATCGTCGTGGTTCACTGGAACTTCGAAACGTGCAGTTGTTTCTTGTCTTGTTATTGGTCGGAAGTATCCACTGCTACTCAATTCCTAGATCCTTCAGCTTTATTTGCGATGATTAGAGGAGTATCCAGAAATTCTTGATATGCTACTACTACGTGAATCAAGGCAACGAGATGCCAAGACAAAAAAGAGAATTCAATTATAAAAGGATCAACGACTGCTCGCCATTTGACAAGACAAACACAGACAACAGCATCATTCACTACACCCCTCTACGAACAATCAAGACAATATGAAGTTTCTATCTCTCACGTCCATCTTGGCTTTGGCCACTGGTGTCGCCGCAACCGAGTATATTTGCGAGACCACCGATGGAAGCCCCTACCTCCACCACGTCAACCAGTTGATCGACGGTCTTAAAGAGAAAAAGTTCGAAGGAGCTTGTCTCGACTACAGCCTCGGATCCAGCGACTGCGGTCCAACTATCAGAGATTACTCTGGCGAAGACGGCGGAGCAGCCTGGCAGCTCTGCAAGGGCGACCACCCTGACGATTACCAGCCACTCCGAGTAAGATCACCTTAACAGTGGCAGTTAGAGTTGATTTTTAACTTCCTTTTAGTGTTATTTTGACCCTGGTGGTGTTCCCTGCGTTGCCTGCGGCCCTTCCATCACCATGGGCGCCGTCGCCGGTCACTTTGAGAACCTCAGAGATCAGTGCCAGGGCCCAGACTCCAATGGTGACGTTCGAGTGGGAGGTATCGTCAAGCTTTCCAACGGCGATGATAGTACCGGCGGTGGCGAGATCCGACTCTACTCGATGCCTGGTTAAATAGAGGTACGGATAAAGAAGTAGGGTTGAATAGTGGCCAGAAGTTGAGGTGGTTGCTGGCATTCCATTCAACACAGACCTAGCAAGGATTCACTCTGTACATATCCCTCTAGAGACTGCAATTTCACATTGATCTGATCTGACAGTTGAACCATGATAACTGTACACTCTTTGTGAACGATAACGACAGTCCATGTGTTGTCAATGATCCCGCTATTTATTAGCATCCTTTGATTATTGTTAACTGAAAGCCATGCCAAGTTAGGATGAAGATATGAAAAATATCATCTAATCTTTATGAAAACCTTGGGAAAACATCTGAGTATGCTTTTCTCTTACTTTGAAGGTACTATTCTAATTTGGCGACCCCAAGTGCCATGGCCTTCTCGACAGGCCTCAAGGACGATGCAAGCTGTCGTCTTGCGCCAAGATTACCATTACATTGATTCTACAAGCAATATCCCAGCTGCCATCAGAGGAAAGGTACCTCCAGCACTCCTGGTACACAGGCGGCTTCCTCTGTGAGACGTGAAAGAGTGCACGTGACCACTCCCACGTGATTTCCACCTCACGATGCATCGCGACTGCCACTTGCCTGCTTCTCCATCATCACCACAATAAACTACTCTCTTTACCCTTAAGCCTTCTTTCCGCACCGCTTTGTTCAAAGATGAACCAGGATTTCTGTCCAGCCGTGACCCCAGAGGGCATCAGGCAATGGTTCTGGTCGTAAAAGGCACAAAGCATGTCATGCGGATGGCATGTCGTAGGCAAGTTTCGCTTCGTTTTCATCCTTACTTCTTCAACTGACCTAATTCCCTTAGTCGTCTTGCCCACCAACATCCTCCAAGAAGGCAGAACCTTTCGCACCCTTGCCAAGCAGACGGACGATCTCCTCGGCATGAGAATCACGCCCTCTGCCAACCTCCAACTGCAACTCTCTGGCTCTGTTTTTGACAACTTCGTGCGGTCCTTCTGGTCCTCGGTCGCGAAAGAGACCGGCGCACTGAGACAACTCCTGCTCAAGCAGAGCGACATGGACGAGTACTTTGGAGGCCCCCGTTTGCGAGATAATGTGGAGGCGATACTGTCTGCCGTATCCCCTGAAGTCCGAGAGGTCCCCAACGATGGCAAACTTTCCCTCCAAGATCTCCTAGATCTCCCTCATGTCTACCCGCACATGACCCTGCCTGGGCCATGCATCTACCTTCGCATATGCACCCATCTTGAAGGACAGTCGGCTGACTCTCACGGCGATGCGACTGATGGGGGTATAAACCATGGAGTCGCGTTCTACGTTGGCAAAGCCAAAGACATTTGGCGGCGGGCAAGGCAACATGAGACTAACACAGAGAATCGCAACGTCGCCGGTCTTCACTACTCAACTGCCCGAAAGTCATCGCGAGAGCACCGACACATGATCCCTCTCCTTATTTTCCAGCAGGCGACTGTTCCCGAGGCTGTCATGAACATGGCAGAGCAGACGATGGTTGTAGCTTTTCGGTGCTACCAAGGATGGCTGTTCCGTCCCGTTCAAGCTGACAATGCGGTGCCAACCTACGCCATCCAGCAGCATCGGGCTCAGTTCATGAGGTCAGTTTCGAGACCTATGCGATCTGCAGTAAATTGGCCAGCGTTGACCCCCCTCGGCTGCAATACGAGCAGCCCATTGTTCGAGTTTCGGAGACGAGCCCAAGTCCAATGCATCCCTATGGTGCCAGGGGATCGAGTGTATACCAGGACCTTCACGACGTATCGACTTCGGCGAACCATCTTCTGGCAATCTCTGAGCACTGGGATGTGATGCCGTTGCTGCCATTGCAGCTGCTCCTTCCTGAAACTTCCTAATTCGACGGTATCGCATTCACATTCGGGAAGAACTTTGCTGCACAAGGCCCAAAGCCAACAGATGCGAAGAGGGGATATCTCGTATTCGAGATCATGGACGACAAGAAGCCACACCCTCGTGCTTGGATCGGTGTGCCATCTGTTGGCTCCTACGAGAACTTTGACCAGGCATCAAGTCTTGCTGTTCGCTTCGAGTGGTACGATGAAGGGAGAAGAACGTGGTGCACGGTTCCTCTTCAGCGAGTTTCGCTCCTACGAAAACCCAGGGTGAAATACGTCCGAGAGGGCGCCATTGACAAGATTCTGTCCGGCTGGCGGCTCGCCATGACCTTGATCCAGGCATTGGAAGGGATCGTCTACCAGGAGCCTCTCAATGGATTTGCCAAGGAGGTTATCATCGGACAAGTTGATCTCCTTCAGACTGATCACTTGAATCAGAGATATCGATGGGTGAGCCGGCCGAAGAAGGCCCTTCCCGCTCCAGCTCTCGCCATCTGGGAAGAAAACTACAACCTCATGCACCAGCTCTTCGATACACCCCTCACGCATGTTGGGACTTCTGAACCACTCCAGCTATCCTCCGATGTCGTGAACCGCGCAATGGGTGACCTCAGAGGAGGGAAGATGGAGTTCAAATGCGACACGTGCAATTATATGGCAGCGTATATTATCTGCACCCGCGACGAATCCCGGACGGATTGCTGGGTTTGCAAGTGCTGCTCTCTCCTGAATCGACCCTGCTCATTCACAGCTTGGAGCGACTCGGCGAGACTTTGGAGCACCGAACCGCCGACATTTGACAGGCTACCACTTTCAACCGCCCAACAGGTCCTCACCGGTACATGGCGTTCCATCACACCATGACACAAGAGCAGCTTTGTCAAGTCCGCGTCGCTCCTGTCCCGCTCGCTGAGAAGCTCGGTTTAGATGAAGAAGACATGGAGGAGGAAGAAGCCATGGTGACTCCCGTGGTCGATGATGGTGAAACGGAAGAGTGAGCCTGAACGTGGTTGGAAAGGGGAGAACCTTCGAGGGCGGTTGTTGTGAGGCAATGGCAGCAACGACGTTAAGTTCATACTTTTTCTCAAGCCGACCTGACTATTGTCAGTAAATCTTTATGAATATCCTAAGATGATTTTATTGAAAAATAATCAAACAATAGGAGAAAATGATCCAAAGGAAAGGGGGATTCCTTATGGAGTCTCTTCTAATCCCTTATTGAACCGTTACCCTAACGTACGCGGTTTTATGTGAGCCAAACTAAACGTCAACCCATTGACAGGCAACTCAAGGGCCCAAAGATGCAAGTATTGTTGAAAATATGCGAGCAAGACCGCCTAGAACTCTTCCTTTTTCACTCATCAGAACACCACATGTCTTTTCGTCGACAACACCACGCTATGCAAAGGGACTCTACCAGGTCCCACAACTCCTAAATACACTTTCTCTTTCATGAAACCATCTCAAGGCTTGCCAGGCCAGATCTCGTGAGCAACATCGTTGACAAGCTTCAACTTGGCAAACATCTTCTCCTCGGTCATACCCTCGGCGCCAACGGCAACACTGGCGAAGCCACACTGAGGGCTGACGCCGACCTGCTCGAGAGCTTCCTCGAGGCTGCGGCCTTGGCCCTTGGCGATAATCTTGGCTGCATCTAGCACGCGCTGCTTGATGACCTGCGCGTCCTCAAGCTCGGGATCCTTGGTGGTGACAACTCCAAGAACAACGTTCTTGTGCTTGGGCAGGAAGCGAAGGGGCTCGAATCCGCCTGAGCGGGGGTTGTCGTACTCAAGGAAGAAGGTGTCATAGTTGAGGGTGGTGAAGAACTTTTCAGCAATCTTCTCATAGGAACCCTCACTGAAATGCATAGACTTGGAAAAGTTGCCTGTAGTTGTAAGTATAAAGACCGATCAATCGCTGAGAGAACTCACCTCTGCAGATGTGAAGTCCAACATGCAGACCCTCAGGGCGGTCAGCAATGCAGTCATTGTGAGCCTTCAGGTAAAGATCAAACAGCTTGTCAGGATCGACACCCTCATCCTTGAGAGCAGCAAGCATGTCGTCGGAGCAAAAGTAGGCGAGAGTGGGGTCGTCAATCTGAATGTTGCGAACACCCTCAGCGTACAGCGCCTTGAGCTCTTGACGGTAGGCCTTTGTCAAATCGGCAAAGAAGTCCTCATCGTTTGAGTAAGCCTCAGGGGTGTAGCACTTGCCCGATGCCAGTCGAAGGTGGAAGTAGCAGGGTGGCGGCATGGTGAACTTGCACTCGCCCCATTGCTCCTTGGGCACGCACTCCCGCAGCATCTTCCAGTTCTCGAGATAAGGGCTCTCCTTGTACTCAATCTTGCCCTCGCATAGAGCGGCCATGGGGTACTGCTTGCCAGCCTTCTTAAGGGCAGCAATTGGGGGCGCAGAGATGCGCGCGAGCTCCCATGGCACAGGGCTCACCTCCCGGAAGCCGCCGAGCTTCTCAAAGAAGCCCGAGAAGTAGTACTTGCGATCAAACTCGCCAGAAGTGATGGCTCGGACTCCATGCTCCTGCTGCTTCTTGACAATGTCGGCAATAGCAGCCTTCTGAGCCGCGACCAGTTGCTCGGGGGAAGCCTCGCCGGCATCGGCTTGCGCCTGGGTCCAGGAGAGAGCCTCCGGCCGGATATAGGAGCCGATGTGATCGGCGTGATAAGGAAGCTTTGTACCGGCCATTGTGAACTGTGCAATTGAACAATCTTTGAACAGAGAAAGGAATGAGAGAATCGGAGAAATTTACAAACAACCTTTCAACCGAGGTCGAACCTTACTTCCATTTCCTTATAAAGGCCCATGACGCGAACCCTTTACCCCGTTCTTGATGACATGGGTTTTTCCCCAGGAGCTAGAAAGTGGCCAAGCCCAGGCGTGACCCAATCATGGTAGTGCCGCGAGACGTTGGTCTCCATTCTTTTGCGTCGTAACCCCTCCCTCTCCGCAAAGCTTCGGCTGTCAAACACGGCTGTTGAGGTCCAGGGTTAGGGTTGGATAGGTCGGTTACGGTGATGGGATTGGTGTTAGAGGTAGGTGATGGGTTTAAGTGATGCAGCGATTGGTTGCGACAATGCCTTCAATTGAGTTTGAGGTGCAAAGCCAGTCATTACGACATGTGCAAGCTTTTTACGGGCGGGGCGGGAAAAGCAGTGTCGGCCGTCGGCTCATCGCTAATCGTGGTCGCGAGATGTGCCATCACTAAAGAACAGAATATCTCAGTTAGTTAGTCACTGAATGAAAGGGTACTGGCGCTGACATACTCACCTTCTGACAAGGCTATCGCCCGGATGTCGCATTGCGGATGTCGCTGGGCCAAATGATGCATCTTCATGCGGGTCAATTAGACACTACAGGCCGCATCAAGTCCCTGCCCAAGGGCTGACCAGACATTGAGGATAGTCATGATCCTGGAATTGACGGCCTGGCGACTATAGACACTGCAATCTCGGTCGACACATTCACGAGGGAAGGTCTTCTGATCTCTGCTGTTGAAGGGAAAAAGAAACGAGGATCAGGCAATCTCAATGCATCATCGAGGGGGATGTTGGTGGTATGCGTGCATCAAAGTGCAATGCCTGCATGAGATTGCATTGTCACTGTTGATGTTGACCGACCTTGTTATTATCAATAACAAAACAGGGACAACACTTATTCCTGCACATTCACAGTCAAGGGAGGGACAGCATCCCAGCAACCAGGGGCAAAGACTCCTGTCTCACCTGAGTAAGGCATTGCGTGGCTTCCAGACTTGCATATGTTCCTGCATTTCAGTCGCCACGGAACTCGGCATCAGCGAGGAATCACGCCAGATCCCTCAAGTGGCAGATTGGGTTGGCTTCCACTGCGGTGCTGATACGCAGGCGTTCCAACGCAAGGGATTGAGTGCGGGGATATCGACAGCCAACAATGCACTCTCTCCCTTGACATGGCTTGGCACAAGTCAGATCGAGCCCATCTTTCTTTTGCTTTTTACCCGTTGGAAGCCAACCAGATCAGGCCTAAGCTGCCATGCAGGCGATTCATTACAAGCCTGTCAGATCGAAAAAAGCCTCCCTCTTCAAAACCTCCAGCTTGGCAAATCGGGTTTCGGCCTTTGAAGCGATGCCTGCCACCAGGTTAGACGAACCTCGTTCAACCCACAAAAGGAGAAGGTGGAAATAGCAGTGGCCTCCGGGGCGTTTCTTGTGTTGACATTTAGTGCTGTGGAACGTGGTGGAACAGGCATGGTGCCTGGCATTCCAGCCCTTTGCATGTTGTTTTTCAGGATGCGCCAAGTCTATCAGCTGCTTTTCCAAGCTGACCATCCGTTGGTTGTGGATTGCTTCAGGGGCGCAACGTTGCCACGCGATTATGAGGCTCCGATGCATGATCGACAGGGACGAGGAGAGTCAGGGTGTCATCTTGAGCCTTAGCATGCCTGTTGTGACACAGCCGCGACATCGGGATCATTTCAGTCGCACATTACATGTTTCTTGCAATACGCCGGCGCTCGAGGCTGAGAATGAAGGGACTGGCTTGGACTGTGTTGAAAGGGCTACACAAAAGAATGGTTTCAAGATGACCTCTATCAATGGGCTAGAGCTGACAGTGCTACATGATGTCACAGGGACAGAGGATGGCTGCATTAGAGTTACAAGCTTACTCAATATTCGAGCATCACGGCGCCGTTATCTCACCTCGTGCATGCAGCACGCATGGCATGGCCCTTGCATGATGCAGCGAGTTGATCTGGTGGCTACAATAGGCTTTGTTAACGTTGTGCAAATGGGTTTGCTTATTCAGTGGAAATTAGCTATGTGAGGAGTCATGAGAGCCAATTACATCGTGTTCTGGTGATGGTATGAAGCCGTATTGTTTGACTCTGAGCGTTGGTCCTCTAAGCGAAGGCTCAACTTGCATCTTAAAATAGATCCATGAACCTGGTGACTATGGAGGAGATCTAGACTGGGAAGAACATCCAATAGAAGCTCGAAGAAGAACTGTGTAAGCTGTAATTCCTTTTGGCTGACTTGCATGACAGTAAACAATTGGTTCAAGTGTGGAGGATCCAGATCGCCTCGAGCTGGACTCTCCCTGCGTATGCTTGGCTTTGGACTATTGATGCAGGCTCTATCAGCCACAACAAAAAGACCTCGAACAAAAGGTCCCTCGGGTTCATTCGAAAACTTTAGCATCAGCATAGAAGCGATTATTCTGTAGCACAAAACTGCTATCGTAGAGTGGTGTCGGCCGGTACCGAGCGGTGAAGAAACTACCCTAGAGGATCCGGACCAACTCCGAGAGGACCCACTTTTTCAACTGAATGCCCCCACCCGGCGCCGGGCGGCTCGGCGGCGACCGCAAAAAATGTCGGACCGCTCTTTGTTGACCACGACCTGTCTCAAAACCTCAGCCCCAGAAATTCTGCAGCCTCTCCCTTGAGTGAAACAGGCTTTCCCTTCTCGCAATCTCCCGTCTACGAAACCACCCCTCGATACCTCTCTCCCCGGAGACGGCTCTGTCTCAGCCTGCACGGATTGGACGGGGCAGATCGGAGATCGCCAGAGGCTGGGCCACCACACGGATGGAGGACCTTTTCCCCGGATGGATGTCGCTTGGAAGAAATTCTTGCTTTCAGCTGAAGGACGAACTCCATCTAGGGAGAAGTGATGATCATCATATCCCTCAATTCTAAAGCTCGTTTCTGCGGCTGAAAACGCCCAGTGCCGGGTCAACATGATCTGACGAGCAACGGTTGGGGAATGGTCGCCGGATGCATTCGTGGAAGCCTCAAAGTCTAGCTATTCTTGGTGGATAATGACGTGCATTTCTCGGGAACAGATCAAAACGCTTGTCACATATCAGTGAATTACCTACGACCAGGGAACCTTCTTTTCTGGGGAGCTACAGATAGAGCTAAAGCTAAAGCTACAGCTAGAGCTAGAGCTAGGGCTGCTAGAGCTGTCACGAAACCGTGCCGTTGGACGCTTTCAGGAATGTCCTTAGCGGCGCATGCGGAGAGACTGATCTTGGCGTTGAAGCTGAAGCCGATCTACCGAACGCCGACAAGCGAAGTGTCGACAGTGATGGATTTAGCCATACGGGAAATCTCGTGCGGCCCGGATCTGTTGGAGACAACCAAAGTCGGTGTAGTCCAGCCGCAAAGGCTCCGAACCCTTTGTTGAGGGATGACCGAGGAAGCCGGAGAGCCATGTTTCAGCGGCCGCCTTGTGGCTCCGCCGACGGTGTCTGGCGGGTAGCCTTGGTCAACACCTCTAATCGACAACAAGACCGCATCTGGAATTTTGGGTAATCTTAGGATGCGAGAAGTGAGAAAGAGGGTGTACTGCAAGCTTTGAACGGCGGGGAATTCTTCGCGAAACCAAGGCACAGCAGATTTTCTCCCTCGAAAGGCCCCATGTGAGACAACTCAGGGGCAGATTGGACTACTCGCAGGAGGGCTTACATTCTTGTCTCTTGGGAGGGAACGCCATGTCTCAACCGTCACTGCAGGTTGGCCCTCTTGCCCGTGTGTGCCTTGGTGGATGCATTCGTCAAGACTCTGGAACCATGGGGTCGTACTTGGTAGTCAAAGGGGGGAGAACAAGTGAGGAGATACGGGCCAAAGTGTGAGTCGAAATCTCTATAAAGAGAGGCCTCGAGTCCGTCCCAACCTCAACTTTCCTTCCCTCATCATCAAGCATCAATCGGCCTCGATTCCCTTCGCTCCTCCTCCGAGAGCTCCCTTCCCAGTCGTTACTTCGTCTAGTCATTCGCTACAGAACAGAGATCCCAACCATCCAAGATGCGTTACACTGAGCTTCTTGCCCTCGCCATGGGCAACCTGGCATACGCCCAGTTCTCCACCACTCAGTTCACCAACTCGTCTACCATCGCCACCAGCACTGAGCCGGCGACTGACTCTGCCACCTCGGCCAGCAGCTCCAGCACCAGCACCAGCGAGCCCAGCAACCCCGGCTCTGTTGGTAACTTCAACTTCTATGGCTGCGTCGCTTCCGATGACGGTTTCCCTACCTTCGTCCTGGCTGCCGACACTGAGGACAACACTCTCGAGTCTTGCGCCGCTGCTTGTGAGGGTTCCAACTTCTTTGGTACCTACGACAAGTGAGTTCACTCTCCCCTCTACTACATATCCTTACTAACCCCCCTCCAGCACTTGCTACTGTGGTGTCGTCCTCAGCACTGCTACCAGTGACATTGTGAGCCCCGACTCTTGCGACATCCCCTGCCCTGGTGATGAGAGCCAGGCTTGCGGTGGCATCCGGTCTTCCTCTCGCCTCCGCCGCCGCCAGAGCGTCGACATCTCTGTTCTCCTCAGCATCTACATCTCGGTCGACTTCAACCCCGATGGCACCACTGACACCGTTACCAACACTGTCACTGCCGTCGAGACCGAGACCCTGCCGCCTGTTACCACCACCGCCACTGTCACCACGGTTGTTGATGGCACCACCACTGTCACCACCGCCACCACAGTCATCGCTGTTGTTCCCACCGATGTCGTGATCATTTGCTACGGCAACTACTGTGCTCCTCAGGTTCACTGCCCTACTTGCACCAAGTGGCAGATTGTCTGTGAGGATGGACACTGTGCCCCCCGCGAGTGCCACGATGACTCTTGGGACAAGCTTGTCATCTGCGAGTCTGGCCTCTGCCACTACGCCGACTGGAAGGAAGAGGAGTGCAACCAGCGCATCGTCTGCTACGGATCTGACTGCACCTGGGATCAGACCCCTCACAAGGACTACCAGAAGAAGTTCATCCGCTACGAGGATGACTGGTGCTTCCATGAGGAGTGTACCGACGACTGCTGGACTTACAATGTCTGCACTGAGAACTGCCACGTCGTGCCTCCTCCCAAGCCTACTCCTATCACCCCTCCCAAGCCTTGCGTCCCTGGTGACAAGGTCATCCTTCCCCCTCCTGTCAAGGTCACTCCTCCTTGCAAGGGTGATCACTGCCAGCCTCCCGTGGTTATCCAGCCTCCTGTTGACTGCACTGGCGATAAGTGTGTCCCCGTCAAGCCTGAGCCCAAGCCTGAGCCCAAGCCTTCGAAGCCTGTTTCTCCCCCGGTTTCTCCCCCGGTTTCTCCCCCCAAGCCTTCAACTCCTGTTACCCCTGAGAACCCATCGAAGCCTGAGGTTCCTACCACTCCTGAGAACCCGTCGAGCCCTTCGAAGCCAGAGACTCCTACGACTCCTTCGAACCCCACTACTCCTGAGAACCCTGAGGTCCCTGTTGTGACCGCTGGCGCTTCTGCCATGCTCCCTGCCTCCGGCCTGGCCTTTGCCATCGCTGGTATCGCTTTCCTCCTTTAAAGGATCAGTGATTTAGCATAGCATCATCACACACCCTCTCTCCCTTTCGAGCACGCACAAGCACGCATAACGTTAACGTTCTGGTTTATTCTTACACCTTTCGGAAGTGGTTGGTCGTCAGGATGTCGACAACGATGGATTGGCCTGGTCAACTTGCGATGGTGGTATCTTTTGGCGGTTAGGAAGTAGTATCGGCTTTAATATGGCTTATGACATTTTCAATACTTGTCTCTGTGCTAGCAACTGTGAAACTGCCTGACAAACTCCCACAACCATCAGTAGACTGCAATAGACGCTCATGGCCTAGACCTTGCAGTGAGCCACCAATTTGTGAACATGCGAAGAAAACACCCCTTACTGACAGAGTTTGGCTGACAGCAATCATTCGAGTCTCAAAGAGTATGCAGGGAGCCAGTGTTCCTTGCATGTGCTGGCTGGCGATTGGCCCAATCTGCATCTAACGTGAGACAAAACCTCCCTGCCTTGCACATGCGTCTCTTCGAAAGAACGTGTCACTCTCTTTGCAAACTGACAATCGGTTCAATTCTTCATTGGAAGTCTGTACCAAACGATCTAACCAGCGATAGAAGACTCATCATCAAGGGTGGGGCGCTTCGTGGACTTTGCTCAGCCATTGAACGCGACGGTCACTCATGTTTAGACTGTGGTTCAGTCAGCGACCGATTCTCTTTCAACTTCCGGCTTGAAGATACAGACAGATTCATGCGTTTCCAATTGTCGCGTTGTGCCGGAATAAGCAAGCAGGAATCTGAGGGCTCCAGAGCTTTGTCTGTATCCTTTTACAGTTTGCTATGTGATCTCCTCTCCCCATCGTTGCAGTCTCTTTCAATGGGTTTGCCATTCTGCACCAGATTGCGATGATAAATGTAAAATGATGGACAGCATTACTGAATGCCTTCAAGTAGATAGATGAATGGCCCAACGAGGTCCTGTCATGACGCTCACAACGGAGACGGAGTAGATTGGGCGAGATGATGAGAGAGCTCAGGCCACCCGTTCATTCCCGTAGTGTTGCCATTGCCCGTTTGGTACACCTCGCCTCCACTGATTGGCTGGACAAAACAAGCGGCCGGCGCTCAGATAACGGCGTCTCGTGGAGTAAAAGGATTATTTGTTAAAATTTAAGTAAATTTCTTGATTATCTTGCATAATATTTTATAATATTAAGTAGAAACTTAGTACTAAATTTTATATTTCTTTTATAGATACTTAGCATAAGCTTCTCATAAAGTAAGCAGGAGTGTTTGTTGAAGCTTGTATGCGTTGCTCCTAATGCCACCTGTCGTGCGAGCGACATTCTATTCCACCGGCGTAAGGTAACTACCTTGAATCCCATCCGTATGGACATAATGATAGATTTAATGAAACTCCGGTAAAGACGCATTCTCGCGGCTGGTATCCTACATGGATGAAAGAACGCCTACTCGTCCAGCGTGCGCATGAAGTTCCGAACACGGGTGCCAAAAATCCCGGCACTGCATTTGAGACTGTCAGGCTTGCCGTCCACAAGACCTTGCTGTGTTGGGGGACATGGGATCTCTCGATCCAAGACGCGAACTTTATCCTGCCAGTGAAATATTTGAGCGTCGATGGTTAAGAGAGGTGGCCCTTTGGTTGACTTGATCTGCGGAGGCAGGCTGATGACGGTCGTGTTGCCCAAGCTTTCATACTCCGTGATGATCTTGCCGGTCCCCGGCCCGGAGGCGAGTTGCAGCAGACATGATGACGAGTGCCTTTCGCAGAACTGGTGAACCTTCCTTCCCCTCTCGGCATCCATTCTTGCTCGGTCGAAACATCTTGCCCGGTTCATGTTGTCGGCATGAGGCTCAGCGACACCATGCATTGGATTGATGCAATAGCTAAAGTCGCATCGGTGCGAGGTCTCCCTCGTGCACGTGAGTGTGTGTTGGAAGTCGGTAAGATCGTACTTTTGCGTTGCGTGCATGGTCTTCTTTGGGATGCGGGTGTCGGGCGCCGGAAATTCAGGCATGTTGACCACCCACTTTATGTATGTCGCGACTGCTCCGTGATGGCCCTGAAACACGTCGACGGATTTCAGACACTCGGTTAGGCTTGCGTCTGGGAAAGCTTGGAAGATCCCAGTATAGCATCTGGATTCGCCGTGATTCAAGGCGATCCAGTGTGAGTAGTCGCCCATCTGAAAGATATGGACCTGGTGACCATTTCCTCATGCCAGGTATCTATGCATATAGATAGAACCTTGCTGGGTCTGTATCATACACGGCCTTGAGCTTTCGCAGCCAGTTTGCCGCCCCCTCCATAGAGGGGCCATTGGGGGGCACATGGGCGATTCCAGAAGATGAGGAAGGGGCTGGGAGGGACGATGAAGATGACGATACAGGGTGGGAGGAGGAGGAGGAGGCGCCATAACTAGATACAGGAACAATCATTTGCCTCTTCGAGGATGAAGCAGCGGCTGGGCTGTGGGCTGTGGGCTCTCGCCCGTTTCAGGATGCCGGCTGAGGGCAGCTCTTCTTCATCGTTGTCGTCTTTCACAGCAATGGGACGGGACGGGACGGGATGGGCTGAGCTTGCGCTCGCTCCTTTCCCTTGCGGGTGGGAAATGTCGGGCAACCATCATCGTCCATGACTGGACCAGAGGAAAAGTCGGGGGGGGACGAGGTTGGGTTCGCGCCCGCTCTTTGCCCTTTCGCGTAGGTGGGGAAGGGAAATCATTGTCGCCTTCACTATCAGAAATGAGGCTGATGACCTCGAGGGTTCGGGAGGTCGAGACAGAAGAATTGATCACGGGCTTTCGTTCTCGTGCCATGGTGGGAGCGGGAGCGCTGGTGGTGGCGACATCGTGGTTGCATAGGCCTCCGCACGAGCATTTCCCAGGGGCAGCCCGGTGTCGAGGAGAGAGAGTTGATGCCGACAAAGATGATGTCGCCACCTTTATCAGGACTGAGTTTCCCCTCGGTCTTGACATGTAGACTACGTTCGAGGGCAAGCTCGCGCGTGATATCTGATTCCGCCTTGGGAACTGGCTCGGTCTTGGTTGTGCGGTTGGAGTTCATTGTGTAGGCTTCTACATGGTTGGGCGTAGCTTTCTCTGAGCGGATGGAACACTTACCTTGACGATGTGGTCGTTTGACTTGTATTCGTACTGACAGTTGGAGGGTCTGCGCTGATGATGGTTGCGTCTTGGATGATGTTGGATTGGGATGAACGAGGCAGAAATGGAGGAATGAGATCCCGAAGACATTCTATTTCTTCCTATAGTCCTCCTTCCTCTCTCCATCTGGTGGCAGGCATAGCAGAGTCAAGAGTCTGGTCGTGAATGAGCGAGTAAGCGGGTACAATGGATAGATCATAGGTTCACATGGCAACATACCACAGAATCGCTCAGGGATTAAGAGCGTAGCAGGCATTGGTGCCATGACAAAGGAATTCCTCCTGGCTATGTGAAATGTCAGTAGATTGATCAGAGCTAAGTTCTGGGCGTAGTATTGCAACATACCGGAGTGAATGGAGAAATGGGCAGGGAGGTGCCTCAGAAAGACAGATCATTTCGTCGGTCGAGGAGCATACGAGATAGCTCCTCGAGACCACGGCGTTCCTGCTCGATGTAGTCGGATGCAAGGACGAGGGACTTGATATCATCAGGTCCCAGAAGGTCATCCCGGTGGATGATCATCTCACGCTGGCTGCCCGCGGCGGCCCACCGGACAATGCGACGCCGGGCCGCGTTCACAACAACCTTCTTGTTCCAGTTGATGATGCGGTCGGCCTCGTTCGCACCATAGTATCCTCGTCATGTTGTTCTGGAATTCGACATATCGGGGGTTAATAAACTGGCAGTTTGCGTCGCGCCATAGCAGTCCCCATTGCTCGGTCTCGAGACTCAGTGTCACTCCGAGAAACACCGGCGCTCCGGCCACACGGGTCTCCGATGTTGGGAGATGGGGGCCTGGCTGTCCCCCGGCACCTGACTCTGGGTGGTTCTCCTTCAGGACACCCACCTGAATGTTGGCGTCATCAAACTTGCGGTCGGGGAATTTCCCAAGGGAGGGAACGCCACGGTTGGAACTCCAGCGCTTGAAGATCTCTCTCATGAATTGGTCCCAGAGGTCGAATAGGTCGGCTTCTTCGTCGTCCGCCGGGTCGCGCATGGACCGGTATCTCAAGGAACACTGGACGGCACCTGACTGCCCAGGCCCAATCTGCTTTTACTTACGCCTTCAACCTGGCCTGCTTCCTCCTTTACCGCCCCCCGCCCATTATATGTCAATACGAACAATGCTTAGAAACCGTTGTAGCCAGATCGCACATTGGTTCTCATAAGCCGAACCGTCCTTTTTGTTGGGGTGCCCTTCCTCCTCTGCTTCGCAGCCTCGCCGGAACCACTTGGGCACCCAACGCCATGGTCTCGAGGAACTTTTTCGCATGCTCCTCGACCGACGCAATGATCTCTCCTTCTGAGGCGTCAACACACGGGTCGACAAAAGAACGAGACTTTTTAGAAGATGCTCCCCTAAGGTTAACGATGGTGAAATCATAAAATGCCATCATTATTAATAAAAGAAGCCTAATTTTTTCTTCTTATTAGGTCAGCTTTTTATTACTTTAGTGCCTTTTAGGGAAGCATTGTCATAAAGCTGAGAGGTCTTTGAGAGCAGTCAGGGCTAAATCTGGCGTCTCTGGCGTGACCGTCGGACAACAGGATAGCATGACAACAATTTGCATTAAGACCCTGGCGGGGAATCACATCCCAAAACCACCATCTCCCCATTCTCCATTCTTCTCTCATTACCACTTAGTTAAACGTCGGCGAGGGAGTAGAAAATCTGGTTAGAAAAGAAGGGGTCAGTAAGCTAATGGGATCTTAGAGTGATATGGTAACTTACAAAAGAGAAAGACAAAAAGGTGCTGGCGGGTAAGACTTTCATAGCATGAGCTTCATCGTGCAACTCTCTAAGCGGGCTCGGGGGGACTGGTGTGCCATGGGCTGCCGGTGTCTCCTCACTGTCACATATGAGCATCTTGGTGCAGGGGTGGATGGCGGGTTTGTATTATAACTTACCGGAGCGAACCACAAAGGATTGATGGAGATAGTCCAGGCTTCAAGGCTGTATTGAAAGCGTACCATCACTACGAAAGGTCAGCAGCTGGATCAGAATGTTGATGCGGGCTTCATGTTGCGACTTACTAGGGTACATGGTTGTTCAGTCGAAAGGGATTATCCACGGTAATCCCGACGCATTCTGGGGAGAGGACATGGTCTGGGCAAAAGACGTTCCGGCGCAAGTCCGGTGACTCGAGACATGCCTTGCCCGACGAAAGCGCTGGCCAAGACAAGCTTCTGTATGACGCCGGGCCCCAGACGGTCGTTGGCGTCGACGTGTCTGCCGCTGGCACTCCCATCTGTCACCCACTCGACAATCCGTCGTCGAGCCAGAAAGGTGGTAACCTCGCGGTTCCACGCGGAGATGCGCGCCTTCTCGCGACGATCAAAGTGATTGATCACCCGCTCGCAGGCCTTTGCGCTGTCCAGGCCGGAGTTGTACGTGACGTACTTGGTGTTGATCCGCTGTCTCCCCTGGTCTCTCCAGAGCCATCTGTACCATCCTTGCTCCATGTTTAACGTGAGCGAAAGGTAAATAGGTCGTCCAGCCTTTCGATGCTTGGACTTGGTGGGAACGTCGTCAGTCTCGGTGACAACGGGGGCAGCCAGCGCCGCCTCGCTTTCCTCGGGTTGGTTAACGTGTCGCCGCGTTGTGTTCGGCTCGGGGTGGTCCCTTGCCAGAACGCCAACCATCACGTTCGTGTCATGAAAAGTGCGTTCGTGCCACTCTGGAGCAGAGCCACTGCCGTCTGCGGATGATCAACCCCGAAAAATCTCACGGAAGGAATCGTGGTACACTTGAGCGCGACCACCCACGATGTCGTGACCCTCGTACATCTCATCATATCAAGAGAGGAGGTCCATAAGAGCCATCTTCTCGAATTTCGTGAGATCTTCGTGGCTTGTGATGGGAGTGTTGTGGCGACGGGATACTCTGACCTCGTAGTCTTGATCGGCAAGGTATAGATAGGACCCCTGAGCGTCGTTGGCCTCCTCCTCTACGCCAGGAGATGTCAGGATCTCGATGTCACTGGACATTGTGGCAGGAACAACTATATTGTCAGTCTTATTCCAAAAACCAGAAACAGATTCGTACTAATCAAAGATGCACATACCAAACGTGAAGTAGAGAGAGGTTGTTGGTAGGATAGCTAATGTGGTGAGGCTTAAGGTGGATACGAGATAGCTTTGGAGTGATATAATGTATGCAGGAAATGTCTTTCAAGAGGAGGAAAATGGTGAAGGAGAGAGTTTAGTTCGCGTAAGAGAAGAAAGGGGGACGAGAAGTGGAAGTGAGTGGAAGCTGATGGAGGCGAGACCTTAGGATGCATGGACTAAGGATTGATGAGAGGGTGGAGAGGAAAAAGTCTCGCAGAGATTGGACCTCAGGCCGGCGTTCACGATGATTCGGCGCCTATGCCAACTCACTATGAACGAGAAGTTGCTTCTTACTGATCTTCTTCTTCGCTTCCCTTCCACGCGCAAGCACGTGGCGCAGGAGCGTGTGCACAGTGACGCCGTGCTGTATAACTAGTTCCTCCGAGAGGTATTCAAGAACTGGTCTTCGAACCAGCGATCCAACCCCGCGCCCGTCTGGCGGGATCCCAAGTTCAGTGAGACCAGCATCGAGGTTGGTGTCCTCGGCGTCAACCACCCCGAGCCAGGCAGCGACATCATCCCCGAGATTCCATTGTCGTCCGCTCGCGCTGCCGGCGCGCCTACTATGCTTGGACTCACCTTGAACCTCGAGGAGGGCTCGTACGCCTTTCTTTGGAGAGACTCGAACTGCAAGTTCATTAACCCAAAGTATGTTCGACTTAACGATGAGTACACCATGGCCACGGCGAGAGCTACTGCTATTGAGCACTATAATGGCCGAGCGATTGCGCGCATTATGTCTTTCAATACCGACCTTATCATCAGCGCGGCCCGTCGCCGCATCCGGAAGTGGGCGGTCAGTGGCAGCCAGACTCGGGCCGACCTTGATGAGGAAGACATCGTCACAGCTGGTGAGGTGCGCAAGCTTGTCTTTGCCTCCGACTTCTTGGCCGAGTGCCAAATTGCTCTGCAGGAGACGATGCAGGAGCTCTCGGGGCGCGATCCTTTCGTTCTATCCTTTTAAGTATGGCCATGACCACCCCCTCAGTAAGTTGCAACACCAAGTCCACGCTCGCTCTTCGATCAAGGTGCTGACATTTCCTTGATAGATGTCCTAGGCACGCCAAGGACGTCAAACTTGGCCCTGACTACTATCAAAGAACTCTCTTATGATATGATAATAATTTGCCTAAAGAGTACTAAAATCTTCAAGAAATATTCAAATGGGAAATAAGGTATTTGAGTATTTTTATTAATTATGATCTCATTTTATGCTCGTTTTATCGCCAATGTAGGCACTCGTGAAGCATCTGGGTTCGCCATAATTCAAGGCGACCCAGTTTGAGTAGTCGTCTACTCGTCCAAGGCGGACCTTCGTCTCGAAATCCTCAAACCAGCTATCGATATGACGATAGAACTGGCTAGGGTTTGAGTTGTATACGTCTTTTAGCTCTCGCAGCCATCGATTCATCTTCGTTGGTAGAGGCCACTCTGGCGTGGCACGAGTGACTGTGGTCGTGGGACGCCAGGTCGAAGTGGCGGGGCTGGGAACTGAAGGAGAAGCGGCTGGTTGGGGTTAATGAGACGACGAAGAGGATGATGCGCTAGAGTTGTACCTACCAAGCAAGGTCTGCCTCTTTGATTCTGGCGCAGTGACCGAGCAGCGGGCTGTCGCCCGTTTTGCTCCGCGTTGGAGGCTTTCGAGGGATGGTAGTTGTTCATCATCCGAGACAAGGTCGATAACTTCAATGTCTCGGGAGCCCAGACCTAGGGTCGAAGAGTGGTCGGCCTTGATGATGGGTGTCGTAGCGGGAGCGGGAGCGGAAACCGTAGTAGCGGCATGATTGCATATGCTTCCACAAGCGCATCTCCCAAGTGTAGAGGGCCGAGATGTAGCGGAGAGGAATACTTCATCTTCCTCGTCGGAAAATGCATGGTCCTTGAGTGACTCGGTCTTGAAGTCCATTATCAATGCTTCACTCTGGTTAGTCATAGTCTCCTTATCGCGGGAAGAGAACATACATACGCCCCTGCGTTCTGGTCGTTCTTGTTATCGTAAGTCTCTTGATTCGCGGTCCGTCGTGCGACGTCAAGGGAAGTTGAAAAAATTACAGTTTTGGTGGGAAACCACTTGCCCTAGGGCATGAAAGAGTTCCTACGGAAGAAGGTCTGACGAGGAAGGTGCTCTGACGAGGAAGGTGCTCTGACGAGAAAGGTACTCTCATGAGGAAGGGGCACTTGGGTGTGCTACATAGCCAATGGTCTGGATGCCAGATCTCTAAAGGAACAGCTGCTGAGATGAGATAATTTTGGCACCTAATATAAACTATTGCTGACTGCTTCCAGCATCGTCATGCTCAATCCCCCAGAGCTCACCAAAACGACTTCCAGGTGTATCAACCAATTCTCTCGGGCCACCCGATTCCACCACAGTGCCCTTATCAAGTACGATAACCCTATCGAAAAAGTCCATGACCATCTCCAGCCGGTGAGAAACCATGACGATGGTGTAGCTCTCAAACTCATCACGGATAATCTCCTGCATCGCCCTGTCTGTCGCCTTGTCGACGCTGCTGCTCACTTCGTCCAAGAGGAGTAGACCGCCTCTCTTTTCACTTCCTGCGAGTCTGTCTCTTACGCGGCGTCGAAGGATTGCCCGGCCGAGACTGAAGAGCTGCTTCTGGCCTGCGCTTAGATCGTCGGCGCTCATACCAGCGTTGAGACCGCCGCGGTCTCCGATGAAGCCCGAGAGGCGCACCGCATCGAGAACTTGGGCGCATTCGGACTCTGTGGCTCCATTTAGAGGGTCGATGTTGGCCTTGATGGAGCTGCCGTCGGGGAGGAAAACAGCATCCTGAGGGATCGCCATGATACGCTTTCGGAGAGTTGATCGGTCGATCTGGTGTAGGGGGAGACCGTCAATCTCCATGTTTCTCGAGCAAGACTGGAGAGGATCGAGAAGTCGGAGCAAGAGAAGAATCATCGTTGACTTCCCACTTCCTGTTCGGCCGCAAATGGCAACTTTCTGCCCCGGAGTGATGCTCAGCTTAAGGTTTCTCAAGGCAAGCTTGGCCGGTGACCCAATAACAACACTGTCTTCGTTCAGAGACTCGGGCTCGTACGAGGCTGAAACGTCGTTGATCTCAATGTTTCCACTTTGAGGCCAGCTCTCAGGTGGCTCAACATCTTCTCCAGGCTGATCCTCTGGCTTCACATTTTCGCTAAACGACCGAAGTCTAGCCACTGCTCCAAGTGACGTCTCGAGAAGAGTGTAGCTTCGAATCAAGTTTGTGACCGAGTCACTAAATGAAAGCAGAGAAACGAGACTAGCACCTGTGATTCCTGCATTGCTTCGCATTTGAGTCGACAGTGCGATGAGGAGGACGGCGAGGCCCGTGACAACGAGGTGAAGGGTAGAAATGAGCCACTGTTGGATCGCGCCGAGCAGGTAAGCGGGTCTCTGAGATGTATCGAGGAGATGGTGGTTGTGGGAAATATCGAGGTCTTGCCAGCCAAAGGCTCGGATGGTAGCGACACCCTTGATGGTGTCTGTAAAGTGCGTGCTTTCATGTGTTAGCCTCTGGTGAAGCATCGGGAAAGGGGACTGACTTACTATAGCGGGCTCTTGGCCTCGAGATCCAAAAGTCGAACCTGTCGTGAAGTTCGCAGGTAAAATTTCTGCACAAAATACAGAATGATGAACAGAAAAGGATATCCCACTGCGAGATACGGCGACGCAGACGCAATGACTGCCGCCATACCCATTGAATCAGCCATATCAAGCGTAAAGTTTGTGAGAGCCAGAGGCAAGTCATTGTCTAGAAGAGTCATGTCCTGCGAAAACAAGTTCGTCACAATGCCAGAGTCGGTGGTGGTGAAGAACCTCAATGGTGCTGCTACGACCGTCGTGATGGCGCGTTTGTGGAGTTCAGTGCCTGCGGAAGCCGTCATCCAGACGGTGGTTGAGAGGCCGTTGCAAAGAAGAAACAGGAGGTACACGACGCGAAATAGAGCATAGATGCCTACGTAAAAGGCTGTTGGTTTGTTAAAGGTATCCTCAGACCAGAACTTGAGCCAGACGCTTGAGACATTGGAAGTAACTCCAAACATGATGCCCGCAAAGATGACTGTGAAAGCCGCCGGGAACCCAACACTCTTGAAGTAGTGTGTGTAGATGGACCAGTCGCCTTGCTGTCTCGACTTGTCGTCTAGCTCGGTCTTGATAGCTTTCGAAGGGGGTACGGTGACAGTGTCGGCTTGCTCTTTGACGCTCTCTACGGTTGATGGGGTATCGGTGCCTCCGTGCTTGACCCCGAGACTGTGGACGTATTTGTTGTTTTCCATCAACTCGGAGAATGTACCCTGTTCGATGACAGTGCCTCCGGAACCGAGAGCGATGATGTGGTCAGCGGTAGGCAGATGTCTAACTGAATGCGTGCAAATCACAACTGTGACGTTTCTTCGGCGAGTAATACCGCCTGGTCCATAGACACGACGAAACAGCTCGGTTTCTGTATCGTTATCAAGACCACTCAGTACATCGTCAAAGATCATAACATCGGCCTCAGAGTACAGAGCGCGGGCAACAGAGACACGTTGTTTCTGACCACCACTGAGCATGATGCCGTTGCTCCCGATCTTGGTATTATGACCCTCTGGCAAGAGAGCAACATCGACACTGAGCATAGTAGCCTCAATGATCTCGTCGTATTTCTTCTGGTCAAACGCGCAATGGCCGATGATATTCTCCTTGAAGGTGGCGTTGTAGAGGAATGGGTTTTGTTCGCAGTATCCAATTCGAGACGAGGGGAAGAAGGTTCCAATGGTTCCAGATGAGACGGGAACTTCTCCTAGTAGAGCTTTGCAAAATGTCGTCTTTCCCGAGGCGACTTCACCAACCACGATGGTGAGCTTGTGGGCTGGGATGGAGCAGTTGATCTGGTTCAAGGTCGTCTTCTCACCACCCCAGCCAAAGAACCCGTTCTCGACAGAAAAAGCCAGGGCAGAACCCTCCGACTCATCTTGAGTCTTTTCCGAGCTGGACGAAGTGGAATGAAGATCATGTCGATTGCGAAAGTCAGTCCGAGACTCCTCGACAAGAAACTTTTGAATCCTCGTCGTACAAGTCAAGCCAGCAAGGACCCGAGGAAGATTCTGGAACATGTTGATCAACGGCGAGCTCAGAAGGATAATGTAAGATAGAGAAGTAAAAATAGTGCTGACGCCGAGGGACGCAGACGTAAACGCGAGCGTGACGACGGGCGACAGGGCGAGAGGTGCGAAACCCAAGACGGCGGCGAGGATCATTAGCAGACGGAAGCTATTGCCGACCTTGAGCTCACCCACGCGCAGGCTCTGGATCAGATCTGCTACTGGACCGGTTATGCCCGAGATCTTGTAGAGCTTCATGTGGGATATGGCGTTGGCTGTGAGCCCGACTCTGTTCTGGATCCGTTGCATCCACTCGTTCTGTCTTTTGCCGACAAGAGCCAGAATCCATCCGAGTATAGCGCCACAGATGATTATGATGACGAGAGGCGAGACGAAAGCCACTCCGACCTTGTTGTATAAAAGCCAGCATCCGACAGAAACCTCAATCGTGTTGGCCCAAAGCTCATGAGCCGCCTCAGCGCCGTGAAGCACTCGATCAATATCAGTGCTCATGAGGGTCAAGGCAGCAGAGTCATCAGCCGAAGTCAACTTCATCTCTGTAGTCTTGCGATATACCACAGCACAAAGACAACCTCGAATCATGGTGAGTGCCTTTTGTCTGTAGTACCCGTAAAAGGCATATGAGAGGGCGATGCCGGAGTAGAGGAGAAAGACGGCGCCGATCAAGCCGTAGCCGATGTTGTTTGTTGAAGGTGTCTCAGGTAGTTGGAGGAACTCGAGGGTTGCGTCGATGAAGAAAGGTTGACAGAATTTAAAGGCGATGAGGGCGATTCGAGGAGCGACGGGGTAGAGGAACGGGCCTGTGAGTGTTCTACACAGGTCTTTTAATAAGCCCGAGTTGGGCTCATTGGGGTACTTGTGAGCCCGAATCTTGTTTGAGAACCGGCTGTAAAGCTTTCCAGCAGCCATACCCTCGTCAAGGGGGTATAGGTCGTCAATGTCCATGACATCGCGATATCCTCGCAAGAATAGCTTGTTCAACCAAGCATAAACACCTAGACTAAGCACACTGCTCGATTCTTCCGGGCTGTGTTCATCCGCATTCCAGTGAATCCATCTTGTCTTTGGGATGGTTTCAAGGCACAGCACCACAAGTTTGACGACGATGGACGCGGTAAAGAGGCGCGCTTGGATGGTTTGATGCGAGTTGGTGATGATGAGCCATGCCGTCCGAGCTTGCACGATGTCGAAGAGCAATGTTAGGAGAATGTAAACAGCGAGTAACGTCGACGGTCGTCGGGCAGTTGAGTGTTCGGTATACGACAACGCGACGGCAAACAGCGAAGCGACAAAGGTAAGGCATGAACCGGCCAGTGACAAGTCATGAACAATACCGTGAGTTCCTGTTGCCACGAGTATCAAAGTCGTAAGCTGCGCAATGGAATAAACAATCAAGAACCCCTATCACAAGTCAGATAAGAATAACACGACATTCACAGTTGTCACTCACGGCCTTGAGTGACTGCAAAACAAGACCCCCAACAATCCTAGATCTCTGCGATAGAACAACCACACGCGCAAAAGCAGCCGCCACAAAAACAGCAGCAGGAATAATCTGCAGAAAAACACGTTCAAACTTTTGCGTAAAGTCGAAATCCCCACGACATCCCCGGACGCCAGGTCCAAGGGAGCCGTCGTTGAGACAAAGACTGTCACTCATGGTTTGTTGTAGCTTGTCTACTTGATGGAAAGACATGCGGCTACGACTCTCTTAAAAGGTTCCAGATCTCGAAGGATTCAGCGGGGTCAAGGATCGCCGCGTGTTGTTCGTCATCTTTGACTGGGTAGGTTACGCACGCAGACGAACCGAGATGGCTGTCTTGGATGCAGGCCTCGTCATAGGGCTGATGAAGCAGCAAAAGGACCATGAGTTGCCTGGCATTTTGGTTGCTCGCGTTCGCGTTGGTTCGAGTTGGCGCTTGTCCAAAGAGGCAGGTCAGATGATTGCTGGGGTTGGAGGTGAGATTGTTGCAGGGAACAGTGACGAATTCAGGTGCTTATCAGAACAAAGGGTCCCAGAGCTTCACATGATGGAAATAAGAATGACGTTCAAGTCCAATCGCATTAATTCAGTGACTGGTGATAGTGCCTGGATACAAACAAGCTTAACTTGTATCCAACCTCGACTCTGTTCAGTCATCGCCTCCCAAACAAACAAAAAAGAGTTCACCGCTCCAATTGCGCCATTGTGGTGGCATCCAATGCTGGCCACTGGCCCCGAGGCCGTCTAGAGGTAGGTAAAAATGTAAACACATGGTACGCCGGATAATGCCCCCCTTCTCCCCAAACTTGCTTGCTTTGATTCGTGCTTGAGAAGATGTATGCAAAATGCACAATGTGTCGTTAGTCGTCATGACATTCGCAGCGGTGTCGTAAGCTGCTGTGTGGTGAAAAATGATTGCAGATTCGTGCCTGCAAAGTGCTATCGGCCTAACGGTCCGATATCCCGACTCCGCTTCATGCCTCTTCGGCGTTCTTTTCGGCGCTTGGTGACTTCCGCGGCGCTTCCGTTGAAGAGGGTTCCAAAGGCTTCCGGGCGTAGATGCTGTGGAAGGGATAGTAGGTGTGGTACTTGGGAAGACCATTGACCTCTTCCATGAGGGCCTTGCGAACCTCTATCAGAAACATCTCGATCTGGATCATGGTCCATTTGAGGCCATCGCGGAATGGCCTCCGAGACAAACCCACGAGACCCCACATGCAAACATCGCGCAGGACGTGCCCGCACTCCTGAAGTCGTGCCTTTTTGGGCCACGGCCCTACAGGACACTTAAAGTTCTTCCTCGTGACGTTCTCAAAGCCTGCTTCTGAAAGCTCGCCCTCAACGTACTGGATGCCGTGGATGTCAGTGCCCAGAGCCGCCATGCCCTCCTGGAGGAACCGAAGGAAGTCTCTCCAAGCATAGGGGCCATCGCAAGAATCGTCATCGCAGGCTGCTATGTAGTGGAACTCTTGGATTTCGACATAGCCGCCGGGTTTAAGATGTCTGCGCAAGTCAGCTTGGGTGGTCGATCTGCACAAAACTCGACATCACGTACTGGTAGATGCGGTCCCAAAGTAAGGGCCTGTCCCTGACAGAGTGGATTGTGTGGCGAATGTGGATGTAGTCAAACTTTTCCTCTGGGTATGTCCAGCCGCCCTCGTGCTCAATGTCGTCGACGACAAAGAGGGCATTCTCTGGAACCCAGTCGGGCTGGATCGGCGAGAGATCCATGCCGTGGAACTGTGAATTTGGATAGTTATCGGCGACTGTAATAGGTTAGAAACTATGACCAAGTAAACGAAGCTCGCTTGGAAGCTTACGGTCGATACACCATTTGCCTATTCCCGTGCCCAGATCCAATACTTCAGCACCCTCTTCCAACAACTTTTCGATGGGCGCAAAGAACATTTGGCCGTCGCACAAGTACACCGTCAAATTGTGCTTCAGTTCCTCTCGATCCTGCTCAGCCTCGTCGTTGGGAAACAGGTACTTCCCCGCATGGTAGGCATGGTAGCGCAGGCCGCCGTCCACAATATGCTGTCGAATACTATCAGTAAGGCTGCGGGTTTCGTCGAGGTCGTTGAGAGCGTAGTCGCCTCGTTCGATGCTCTGTATCAAGGCGGCTTCATGCGTTGATCCGACGGCGAGGGGAGAGGTTGACGAGGACGGAGATGGTGGACTGAAGGGACGTCTCGACTGGACCGTGCTATCGTCGCCATCTTCGGGCGACATACTCGCAGTTCGTTCGCAGTCGTTGGCCGACCTCGATGTATTCTTCTTTGGCGAGGCCGATGCTGGTTGGCCATTGGATTGGCCCAAGATGGAATTTGGCGGCGAGTTCATAGTCTGCCGCAAACGCGATTGCGCATGTCGCGCGACGAGGGGCGGCTTTGGGATCCTCGACGTTTAGCGAGGAGGGGGATTAAAAATGAAGCGAAAGAAACCAAAAATGAGAGATCAACAGGTTGGTCAAAGAGCAAGGAGATAGGATGGGAATGAGGAGTGCGCTAAGCTAGGTTTCCCTGTGGAAGCTGAGATGGGATGGCGTCCGATGATCTTTGGACTGACGTCACCGTCTGGATAGCAGAGTGAGCACTGTGAGCGATGCCGGGGAATGCGCCTGAAGGACCATATTAGACAGTGTGCGAACGTGGGGGAAGATATGGGAGTATCAGCACGTACAGCTTCAACCAGACACATAGAATGGCAAACAAGGTGAGCTAGAAGCAGACGTCGATACCAGGATATCAATATTGCATCCAAATAAATAATAATTTGAATGTGGTGTCGAGAGGGGTCAAGAGAAAAGAAAGGGTCTACGCGAGGGCGAGGGCGTGGGCGTGGGCAGAGCCTGGTATTAAAAAGAGACGGTGTGTCAAGACGAGGCTAGCACCAGGAAAGAAAACAGGACTAGCGTAGCTTTTGGACAAGAAAAAAAGAGGAGATGCTTCTTTTTTGACTCGAGAAAATGCCCATTCACCCCCTGTCGCATCGAACAACGAGGGAAAGGATTGTCGGTATCAGGGCATAAAAGAGGCCCAAGGCAACAGAAATGGACAACACCCGCTTTTTCTTTTGACTCGGGGGGATCTTGGAAATTTTACTTTTTCCCTTCCCATGGGTCCTCCCGTCTAGCCTAACTAGACTAACTTATGCCTGGAAAGGGTCTGGGAGACCCATGGGTGCATCCGCTGCGTCGGTAACCTCGGCGCGTAGCTCTTGAACAGAACTCGCTTGTCTCTCTGATGGTAACGTCACAGCGCGCGTATTGGACTTCTCATCACGCAATCCAGATTTTGTCATGCAAAATCTCCTCTCTTCCACTCCCGCGGATGCAAAGAAAAATCCCAGTGCCAGAGTCCTGGGAAAAAAGTCTCCCTCCCAACAGACAGCAAAAAATGTGGCTGTCCCAGACCCCAGGGGAGTTCCAGCGTGTTGGTAATTGGTACGGGGTCCGGTCCTGCTGTATGACGACCCCTCTCCCCATCCATCACGCCGCAACACCACGGGAAGGGGGCTCCATAACGGTGGTCATGGCATAACCCAGAGGCAGGGCGGTCACACGGGGTGAGGGAGCAGCCAGACAGAGGGGGCCACCTCGGTTCCGCAGTGGAGGGTTGGAGCGTTGCAACGGGAGAGGAGGGGTTGATCCCCGCAGGCATGAGTTGCAGGCAGGGTCTTTTTCTGGGTTTGTTGCTTAGATAAAGAGGTCGTCAGCGAAGCTATGGCCTCCAAGCCCAGGGCAAGGACTAAACGATGGTGCTTACAGTTTGTGTCTATCCTAATATCTGTCCAGAAAGCGTTCAACTCAAAACCATATCCTCAAACATGGACCTTCTGACAGAATCCCATCACGACCGTCACAATGTCCGAGCGGGCCGCGACCTCATCTTTAGGGCCTCCCTCATGCAACCTCCCACAGTAATTGACTGAGACAGTCTGTCCAATCAATATCCGAGGCCCAAAACAAACAAGCTCCTGGCCTTGCCCACGGCAAAAAAAGCAGCTCACTCCAAGTTTCGAAATCAGCAAGCATCAAACTCGGTTCGGCGAACTAAGGGGTGGCAGACGCACTGGCGGTTCTTTTGTTGTCGTCTCTTTTCTCAGCTTGGGCCAGTAATAGATCCAATGTAGTGATTGTGCCTCTTCGCCAATCTATAAACGGGAGGATTTGCTCCGTTGGCACAAATTCTCCTGAACAGACCAGGCCAACTGATAGGAGGCCGACCAGCTTTGAACCACCGTCGTACCGACACAAGGGAACGCCAAGGCCCGGTGTGGGTTCCTTCGCTGTCCGTTGCAGATTGCAGCAGCATGAGGCGATGTGCTGGCACCAGAGAGGGACCCGCCGTGACGGGACACACACACGAGGGGGTTCCATCGTTCCCTGAACCCTGATAGCAAAGCCCGAATTCCATGAGATGCCGGTGCAAAAGGGGCACCCGGACGATCGGGGAACTTTGCCTGGCTAATAACTTGCTCACAAAACGCACGTTGGTTCCTTAAACTTTTTATCATTTACGAAAAAAAAGTGTATCTGTACCAAGAAATCGTACGGGGATCGTCCCTTTGTGATCAGTCACTTTCTGACAATCATCCCGCATCGTGGTTGGACCACGGCCGCGCTCCGAGACCTCACAACAGTAGCTCGAACAAGTTGGCCGAGAGCGGCCAATTACAGCTTCACACGGGCCATTGTCCTGATGCGGGGTTGGGGACCGGCTCGTCGGGTTTGAGAAGCCACAAATTATGCCTTGATTGTCAAGCACTCCTGATAGTTACGAGGTGAATGCTTATTGTGGTTGTTTTTTATCGAATCACATTCAGCTTGTGACAACATGAATGCAAAACAATCCCAAAGCAAACCGCCTCACTTTTCCATGCTGACTCGAGAATACCAACCGTCAGCCCTACTGAGTTTCACATTCATCACCTTTTTAGAGTCACAATAACGGTGTAGACCCGACATTCTGGGTCCCATGATCATGGCACCAACAGAGTGCGTCCACAACTCAGTCGCCGCAATGCGAGAATAGCCCCATTTGGTGGGTCACTGGACGTCGGCCTGTTCTCGAGAACTACGCGATGAACTGGCCCGCGTGTGGAGGCGGCTCGGGCCATGATTGTCGGTGACACCATTAGCGGTATTTCTGTTAGCCTGGCTGAGTGTTATTGGTCGTGGTGATTTCCGATTCACATTCACTTGGCATTCGTCAATGAAGTTGATGCTTCACTGTATTAGTTTCAGTATTACTACGACCTCGTAATTAACCACCGGTTTCCCTTTGCCTTTCATGAGCAAAAAGAAAAAGAAAAAAAAAAAGGTAACAACCAGTTTCTTTGGCCCGTCCCCGTATCGCCATTCCCCAAGCTATTCTCATCGTCTCGGACCGTCGTGGTTCTTGCCGTCGTAGAGATCAACTCAGCTATTATCAATGCTCTCTAAGAAGTGGCCCCTAGCTGCAAACTTCGTTGGAAACTTGATCAAAAAGTGGAAGCGAAATCATGTAGCAACTTACTAGAGCGAAATGCGTGACTTATCGTGGTCTTCTGCGGTAGCTGCCAAAAAAGAAGGGCAGATCTGGAGTTGATAAAGCGCATCGCTGCAGAGCGTATCAGTAACTTGTCCAATATCTCGACACAGAAATCTTGATTGACCTAATAGAGCCCAAAGGATGGCCTATGGCGAATATTTGATGGACGGCAGTACTCTTGGAGTCATTAGGTAGTGACCATGCTACGCCGTTTCTCGATCTCGGCTGCTATTTCAAGAGCGTCGCGAGTAGTCTTGAGATACACATCGCTTGCAAGAACGAGTGAGAGGATGGAGCGTTCTCCAATCTCGTCAGCGCTATCAATGGTGTCGTCGTGTGACGATCCAGCTCGAGCCCATTTGTGGATGCGACGGCGTGCGGCGTTGATAATCAGGTCACGGTTGTAAGAAGTGATTCGCTTTCGTTCGAAACTGTCGTAGTTTTCAATAGCCATGAGAATGACATCGTTCTTGGTCACACCTCGGGGGAGGTAACGTTTAATGGCCGAAAAGGGCGCGTCCTTCCTTTCATTGTTCTGCCAGGTCCACGTGAAGGTTTCCTCGACAGAGTTGAACTGCATGGTGAGGAAAATTGCCTCGAACAGCTTCCGCTTGCGAACGATTTTGGGGCCTGTGGTGGCCTGTGGCTCACTCTCGGCCCAAGAGTCGTCGATTTGGATACGTGTCTGCTCCTCGGTTTTGGGCTGGAGGACAGGTCTGATGTTGACTCTATGGCTCGATACCCAGTACTTGAAGATCTCGTCAAAGAACTCTTTGTAGAATTCCGGGGACAGGGATGCATGGGAGCCTTGCCCAGGCATGTCGACATACGCGACAAAAAGATCTTTCAGAAGAAGCTTTTCGTCATGTGTCAGATCGCTGGGCTTGCTGATGATGGTGTTGGGCGGTCGCGAGCCGAAAACGTCGGTATCCTCGGAGAAGAGCTCCGTGAGCTCTTCACATTCGTCGTCAGACATCGTGATGGATCCTGTAGAGGCGTGTGTCTTGTTAGCTCTATCCCGGAGGCCAGGTGCTTGGGGTGAGGATCTGCATACGATGCCTTTCGTTGTTGCGTGGAGGTCGTTGTGACAGGAGGAGAGTTGGAAAGCCGAGAAAGTAATGACGAGATCATTTAGATTCACCTTGATGGCCGTGAGCCCTCGGGCTTAGCTAAGTCTTTTTTGCTCTGTCACTGCTGTGCAGATGTTTGCAAACAAATTGGCTCTTGCGTTGGCCTTGCTGGTTTGGGAACAATAGGGGGTTTCGGCGACATTAAATAGGTGGACCAACGCGGCGCCTTCTCCTAAATCTGAAAGAAAAAGAAAAGAAAACAGGTGCAAGTTCGGTGGGAGATAAATGGCTGTTTTGCCGATATCTGTCGTCGTATGAATGGTTGTCGAGCAACCATATCGTTCATCAGATACGCAAGCTCAGCGACTCCCTCGATTACACCTCTGGGGAATCAAGTCTTTGTCGGTATTAATGACGTCTCCGCCAAGCACAGTATCTAATAACACAGGAACTGGGTCATCTCAGTACTGTTTCTCGAATAAACTAAGGATAATCCCAATTCTAGGGCTCAAGTCCATACGTCAGGTCAGATAGCTGATTCCAAAAATCAAAGCCCTTATACTGATCCCCATCATGTGCAACAACCGAGTCCATCAAGTCGGAATGAGCCACTTCCGCCTTGGACATGAACCAATGCTCAATTCCCTTGTAGGATTCAGAATACTCGCAGAACAGGGGTCTACCATTAGCCATTATCCCACACCGTGGCCTGCCAATGCGACTGGCTTCCTCAAAGAGTTTGCTCAGTCTCTGCAGGATGTCTGGGGGGTTATACATGGTCTGGGCGGTGTGCAGATCCCAGGCTTGATCTTCCACGCAGAGTAATCTGAAGGCTTTTATGATTGCGAGGGCCAAATGGAGGATAGAGACAAAGGTGAGGGGGGGGTAGGATTCGATTGGGATTAAGAGGAATGCATCGATGAGGGCTTGGGTGCTCTCCAAGCAATTCCACATTGCGCGACATCTCACATGGGTAGGTTCGAGAGGATCGTGTCTGTTGCCGTGGTTAACAGGTTCCAGCAGGCGTATGCGCACAGCAGCACAATGGCTACGTAAAAGGTCTAAGTGATGGGGTTAGCAGACAACGCAATGTATTCCTGACAGGAAAAGCTTACGATTTGACTGAAGATGCTCCGGTAAGAAGTTGGTAAATGTGTCTAGCTCGTTTCGTATCGAGGTGACGACGATTGCGCGAATACTTGCAGAAGCCTTGTCGGTGAGGGGATCGCATGTGTTCCCAAACGCATCGTTCACCTTGATCGCGATTTGACGTATCCGTACGAGGTTGACAAGCAACGAGTCTGTTGGATATTCTTGATCCTGCAGCAATTGGCGAGTGCATTCGTCGAGACGCGGCGTGTATTCGAGTCCAGACAGCTTCCCAAGAATACTGCATCGTCTAACATGTCCATGTTAGATATCACAACTCAAGAGATACCCATAAAGACTCACATAGATGCTATATAGTAAACACCTAGCGCAGCCCGATGGTCATCACTGGAATATCCCGGTTGCGGCTGAAGGTCATTCCGCAGATCAGCCGCATCATCGACGATGGATCCAAACGCCGGCTGTGTGGTGCTAGGGCATTTATGCAGTCCCAGGTCTGCCAGCAAGCCTATGGCTAGTTGCAAAAGGCTCGTGTCTTTAGAATTTGCGTAAAAGAAGATGTCGTTCCTAGCAGGACGTGATTTTCGTGAACAAAAGGCGCGTCTTTAAAATAGGGGCAAGTTCAGGTAGGAGATCTGGGAGGTTCTTACCAGGCAAAGAACACCAGCAGGGCCTGGACAATCTCCAAGCTCTTGTTCATCAGCACGACAGTTTGATAGGCAACATGCTGACGAAATCAGTTCTCAAACGTGGCGTAAGCCTTGGGCGCAGGAGGCCTGCACACCCACAATATGGTCTTGAGCAGGAGAGGTTTGCGCTTGTATAGGTCGTGAGCGTCGATAGAGGATAGGGGAACAAAGGGAAACTGGAGGAGCATCTCGGTCTTGTATTCTTGGAGCACTTGACCCGCCTCTGCAAAGGAAAATTGAACGCTCGGGACAACATTGATGAAGGCATCTTGCTGTGGGTAAGATGTCGGGGAGTGTAGTGATGGGGCCGACGTGATGTCTTGATGGGATGCTTGTATTACGGAGCGTGTAAAGCCGTTACTGGGAAGCGAGGACGGGGATTCGATTGTTTGGTTTCGTTCTCGACTTAGTAGAGTCATAATGTTATCGAGTTTCTGCTCAATTACTTTTGATTGACTTGAATTCGGCTATAGTCAGTCTCGTTCCTATCAAGATCGGCGTGACTTACGTCGCTTTTCCTCGCTTTCTCTTTGACACAGAGTGTGACCTAGAACATGCAAGACTGTTTTTGAAACACCTAAATCCAAAAATCAATCAAGGTTAGTAAGATTTAGGGGGCATAAGGGCATGGGCACATACCTCTGGCACGTCCTCCGGTTCGCAGTCCTCGTCATCCGTGGCCGGCCAGACACACTTGGCCTTGGCCCGGGAACAGTTGGAGCAAGCCCTAGGCTTGTCCACGTGCAAGGGGCTATACATGGCTACAACAGATAATCCTTCAAAGGGTAACGGGGAGCAGAAGCTGTTTGATCGGGGGAGGCGATGTTGAAGGCTCGCGGGGCGGAGAGCAAAAAGGTGTCCGGAAAGGTGGGGCCGTGCCAACTCTCATCTTGCCGGACACCTTTTTGCTTCCCGCTGCCCCGCCATCGGGAGATATTCCGAGTAAAAGAGTGACAGGGTAATTACAATATCGACACGAGTATGGCTCGTATGGGAATGAAGAAAAATAATGCAGTTTTGATCAATTCAAAGGGGCTAGTCATAGGAGGGGGGGAAGCGATCAATGGGGACCTGGATGAGCTTGCTTGAGCCTAGCCGTACCTATCTATATCTTTCTCTTTGTTCCCCTTCTACACATTCTCTTTCCTCTTCCAACTCGGATATTCAGTCCTTTTATATCTTCTAATATCTATCTATTCTTCTTGTCTTCTATTTGCTTGCACATCGTGCTCCCATCACCATCCCTCGATCCTTTCTCCCCTTGCGTTAATCACATCACAAACCCAAACATTTTTCTTCAACTCTTCTTCGATTTGCTCTATTTTCTTTGATTCACTAGCAGACTCCATCATGGCATCTGATAAACAGGATTTATTTCCTGGAGACCAAGCTGGCATTGCAGAGGCCAGCTACAAGAAAAATCCCCCGCCTGAACGGACCGCTACCTTCAAAGACTACTTTGTGAGCATCTCTCTTCCGAATAAAATTAAAGGCTGGCTCACTATTCCAGCGTGCATTCTCTTATGCTACTATTTGGGATCTCATCGTCTACGCTTCTGGCTTGGTGGCTGCTATCGGTTGTGGAGTCACCACGCCCATGATGTTTGTCGTGTTTGGTAAGCTAATGATATCACAAGATCATAGCGCATGCATCGTTGACAAGCATACAGGAAGCTTTGTTGGAGAGTTCACTAGTTTTACCAACGGAGGCATTAATGAAGGCCTTGATGGCTTCCGGGATTCTCTTGACAAGCTATGGTCAGTCGACACCCCCTACTCTTATCCATCCGCTTATAGTCCAGCCTCTACGTGTTTGCCCTCTTCATCGCCCGCTTCGGCCTGAGCACTATTCACAGATTTGCGTTCCGTATGACCGGTATTCGACTTTCGGCCGCTATCAGACTTCACTATGTTCGACACCTCTTCAACCAGACGATCCATGTCCTGGATTCTCTCCCACCTGGGCACGCTGTTGGCACCATCACGTCAAGCAGCAACACTCTTCATATTGGCATCTCTGAGAAGCTCTGTACATTCATCGAATACACCTCTCTCATCATCGCTTCTCTCATCGTGGCCTTGACCTGGAACTGGGAACTGGCACTCGTCACCTTGTCTAGCTTCGTTGTCATCGTCGGCACCTTGTTTCCCCTCACCGTCAAAGGCCAAGCTTGACAGGCCCATTAAGAAGGAGAGGCTGCTGGTCTCGCAAGTTCGCATGATTATGGCCTGTGGTGCTCAGCAGCAGATGGTGGACAGGTATGGTGCCTCAATCGAGGAGGCCAAGAAGCACGCACGAGCTACAAGCCCACTCACGTCGCTCCAATTCGCCCTGACAGTAAGTCCCAATTAACAGCCTCACCAATTTCATTGTATGTCTAACCTTCTAGTTCTTTGGTGTCTTTTCCACTTTCACCCTCACCTTCTGGTATGGCACTCTGATCTTCACCAAGGGCAGACTAGATGATGTCGGGGTCATCACTGTGTAAGAACACCATGACCTTGAACTCGATCAATTAAAGCTAACAACAGCAATGTTCTAATGAATCTTACCATCATTTTCTTTTCCGTTGACCGTGTTTCAGCCCCCATGCAGGCCATAGGCAAAGCTTCCCTCGCCGCCTGCGAGTTCTTCTCCCTCATCGACGCACCCGCACCTGAGAAGGGCTCACTTAGAGAACCTCGGGTATCTGCAACAGACGATATTATCTTTGACGGTGTCACTTTTGCGTATCCGAGCAGACCTAATGTCAAGATTCTCGATGAGCTCGACTTGCGCATCGAAGCTGGCAAGATCACTGCCATCGTGGGACCCTCGGGCTATGGTAAAAGTACCATGGTTGGTCTAATTGAACGCTGGTACTCACTCACGCAGCAACATGTGATTGCCAAGGCGACACAGGCTGAGGGAACCAGGAAGAAGAAGGACGAGGAGGGTGATGAGTCGAGCGGTGTTGAACTTCAAGAGACTGGAGATGCGGTCGAGCTTCAGGGAAGTGTCACGACCTGTGACCATTCTCTTGACGAGATCGACATCAAGTGGTGGCGATCGCAGATTGGTCTCGTTCAGCAAGAAATGTTCTTGTTCAACGACACAGTCTACGAGAATGTCGCCAGAGGATTGATCGGGCCTCGCTGGGAGGAAGAGGCCGAAGAGGTCAAGAGAGAACTCGTCAAGAAAGCCTGCCAGGAGGCCTTTGCCGATGAGTTCATTGACAAGCTCCCCCAGGTATGTGCATCGCATTCACATGAAATTCCATGGATCTCAGCCAACCGTCTGTTCTAGGGATACGATACAAAGGTCGGTAATAGCGGTGCCGGACTCTCAGGCGGCCAACGCCAACGCCTCGCAATCGCTCGATCGATCATCAAGAGACCTTCTATCCTCATCCTCAACAAAGCAACAAGCGCCATCGACGTGCGCGGCGAGCGCATCGTACAAAAAGCCCTCAACAAGGCTGCTCAGGGCCGAACGACCATCATCATCGCCCACCGACTTTCCACTATCAAGAATGCCGATCGCATCGTGGTTCTCAAGAAGGGCAAGGTCGTCGAGTCGGGCACGCATGAGAGTTTGATCTCTTCAGATGGCGTCTATGCGGTCCTCGTCAATGCTCAGGCGCTTTCCTTTGGGGACTCTTCAGAGGAGGACATCTATGATGGGTTTGACGCGGACATTGACACTCTGAGCCGCGAAAAGAGTCATGCAGTCTCTGAATACGGTGACCACCCGCAGTCTGACAAGCAGAAAGGTTCAAAGGACCGCGGTTTCTTTGGAAGCTTTGGCCAATTCTTCTTCGAGTCCAAGACCTATTGGGGCCTCATGATCTTCTCCTTCATCGCTTCTATGGGAGCCGGTACAGCGCAGCCCTTGTACGCCTGGATGTTTTCCAGATCCATTGATCTATTCAAGTATCAGGATGATCGCTCCAAGCTCATGGACAAGGTGGACTTTATGGGTATCATGTGGACTGTCTTTGCAGCTTCTGCCGCCATCGCATACTACTTCACCTTTATCTCCTCTGGGCGCGTTGCATCCTTCATCCGGGCAAAGTACCAAACGGAGTACTTTTCTTCGCTCATTTTCCAGCGAGCCGCGTACTTTGACGCGGACGGTCATTCCCATGGCACACTAGTCTCCCGTGTAAGGGACGATCCCCTGAAGCTCGAAGAGATGATGGGCACCAACATTGCCCAGGTCTGCATCGCCGTCTTCAACGTCATCGGTGGTCTGTTGGTGGCTCTCGTGTACAGTTGAAAGCTCGGCCTCGTTTCAATGGCTGCTGTTACTCCGGTGTGTGTCTTTTCAGGCTACCTTCGGTTCCGGTATGAGCTTCAGTTTGAGAAGATGAACGACGAGGTGTTTGCCGAGAGTTCGCAATTCGCTTCAGAAGCCATCAACGCCTTCCGGACCGTCTCTTCTCTCACTCTCGAGGACTCTATCTCTACTCGCTTCGAAAAGCTATGCCACGGTCACGTCTCCTCCGCGTTCAAGAAAGCTCGCTGGGTCAGCATCATTCTCGGATTCTCTGACAGTGCCACTCTAGGCTGCCAAGCTCTCATTTTCTACTACGGCGGTCGGCTCCTCACTCAAGGAGAGATTGTCATCATCGGCTTCTTTGTGTGTCTAATGGCCATGACGAATGCTGCAGAGGGATTTGGTCAGAGCTTGAGTTTCGGTCCTAACGCTGCCCAAGCGGCTGCTGCGTCGAACCGTATCCTGGATGTGGAAGAATCCCGCTTGTTGGAGCCTGTCGGTAAAGGGGATATTCCTAATACCGAGGGTGGCATCACGATTGAGCTGCGCGACGAGCGCCTGAGGTACGCTGGTCGAAAGACGCCTATTCTAAACGGGTTGAACATGACTATCGAAAAGGGGCAATTTGTTGCTTTGGTCGGTGCCTCGGGTTGTGGCAAAACTAGCATCATTTCTTTGCTTGAGAGATTCTATCAGCCCGAGAAGGTCCAGATTCTCTGCAATGGAAGGGATATCTCAGACGTCAATACTTACACCTACCGCAAGCATCTGTCTCTCGTCGCCCAAGAACCCACTCTCTTCCAAGGTCAGTACTCTCTCTATCTAACACTATTCTCTAACTAACTTTAACAGGCACACTCCGAGATAACATCCTTCTCGGTATCAACCACCGACGATCAACTACACTCTGCCTGCCGCGACGCCTCAATCCACGACTTCATCGCCTCCCTCCCCGAAGGCGACAACACCAACATAGGCTCCCGCGGCGTCTCCCTCTCAGGTGACCAAAAGCAACGCGTCTCCATCGCCCGGGCCCTTATCCGCAACCCCCAAGTCCTCCTCCTCGACGAAGCCACCAGCTCTCTCGACTCTGAGAGCGAGAGGCTCGTCCAGGCTGCCTTTGAGCGCGCGGCAAAGGGGAGGACCATGATTGCTGTGGCTCATAGGCTTGCCACCGTGCAGAATGCTGATGTTATCTACGTCTTTGGTGAAGGTGGTCATGTGCTTGAAAAGAGGAGTCATGGACAGCTTCTCAAGAAGAGGGGCGTCTATTACCAGATGGTACGTCTCGCATCGATGACTGATTCAATGATAGGCTAACCAGAGAAATAGTGTCAAAATCAGGCTCTTGACCAGTAGACTTGATTCCATAGCTGGGTTATTTGTATTCTTTCTAAAAAGTGTACGCATTATAGAGGAGTTACCTAGAATCCAAGGCAGCATCGCCCAGCATCTCTTCTCCGTCCCTTCTCGGATCCCGTGATCATTATGAGCCATTCTGAGTCTGATGTATCCCTCCTGATTACACCCCGTGACTCTCCACGTCTGCCTTAGCTTGAGCCTCAGCCATCAAGATCCCCAAGATGACTCTTCTCAACCCAGTGCGAGAGATTTCTCCCGACCTTCTCCTTTCAGACTCTCCTTCTGGGAGTGTCGCTATCACCATCCCAACCTCCTCCGGCTGCATATCCCTGATCCCCGAAGGCAAAAGTCCTACCTGCCCCTTGACACCTTCGCCACTAGACCATAAGACCGTGAAATGTTGCTCCGACGGGCGTGAGTCTGAGTCCTTTTTTACCCCGCGAGATGGGTATTGGACGCAAACTTGCATGTGAAGCAACTCGCTCCAGCCAATCTCCTTTCGACATTTCACTTTACTTCTGCCTTGCAAGGCGGACGCGTCGCGATCGATATCCCCTTTCGCGTCATCGTGAATGTCTCGACTGCTGCCTACCCAGCCCCCTGGTACCATATGGACCAGTTATGTCCCCAATATCAGTCGCGCTCATGAATGCCCCCAACAAAGAAAGAAGTGTCTCTATTCGTCGATATGCGCGACGTGTCTTGTGGCGATGCCTGTGTCCCTAGGGTAACCGCGCAATTTCACGGGTTCCGGAGATGAGAAGTGGTGTGACTCACGCAGCAGCGCCCGTCGAATCAATAGCAATACCAGACTAAAAAAAAAAGGCGTAGGTTGGTCTTGGTGGTTATTTAACAAGGGGCGAAATATGCCCAATCCCAGCGAGAGGCCTCTCACGGCAGGAAAACGAAACAAGAAGAAGGGGGCAAAAAAAAGAGGACATGGATATGTTGTCCAGATAAGAGATGTAAGTTGGGTGCCAAGATGAGTACTCAAACACATCAAGATAGATCTATTAATTAGCAAGATTTGATTTCAAACCTCTTGCGTCACTCGCTCTCGCTGCCCAAGCAAGCATAAACCATCAGCTCCCGAAAGGAAAAAGGACAAGACCCAGAAAACCGGGAACCCGGGAGTTGCGCATTCAAATCTGCAGGGCCCGATCACCTGCCGCGCCCGAAGTGGATCCCCCGGGACTCCGGGATTGGGGGCGAAAAGGAAGGACACACACTCAGATGTGTCCCGGCCGAGTGGTCGAGGTGGCTGAGCAGTACCGGCAGCACAGCCACAGGCGTCAACCACGTGGCTTGACACCAACGGTGGGGAACATGTTTATTTTGCTGGTGGTGGTGCATCATCTCCCATGGATGTCATGTCTCTGACAATAACATGATTACGGATTGGGCCGAGAAGGGTGCAGTTCAAGGGAGGCGCCGTAGTAATTGAGGCCTGCGACTGTACCGGGCAACTGATCTTTAAGCGCTGAAAACTGAGACTTAGCAAACAGACAGGACAGACCACCACACTTGCCGCATGCTGCTTGCTGCAGTTTTAGGACCTGCGGCTCCGAGTGTGTTTTACAGGTCTAGACTTTTCCGACTGTAAACTGGAACATGAGACATCATCTGCATTTTCATTCAAAAATGTTGTGGTATAGGGTTATTCATGCCCGTCCCCAATTACCTTGCCCTGCTCAGGGCTCGTCAACCGGCCCCTTGCCTTTTGCTGGATGAAGCATCTCTATTGGCTCAACCGAAAGAATGCCCAGTCGAGATGTGACGTGGGAGCGGGAACAGAAGCAGTCCTGGCTCCCGGCGTGCAGATGCCGCCGTTGACTGCAACCCTCGATATCCCGCCCATTGGCTCCCGGCCCCAATCTACTTGTCCACGGCCGCCTCCGGGAGACCCCTCCAGGGCCCTCCATCTCGAGTTGACAACGCAGACAACACCACTTAGCATCTCACTCACACACCACTCGTACCTCGCTCCGCTGGGCATGAACGCGTCTGAGCCTTGAACTGGAGGGGCTGTTCTTCTCTCTTGCGCAGCGGATGACTCTTATCATCCATCCTTGGATGGCGAGCACGGGACTTCCGGGTCAGAAGGGAGCTTTCCTCTCTTTCGTCACCGACACGTGCCAGATGCGACTCCATCGTGATGCATCCCATCAGAACTCGGATTGGACATTGCTGCTCCAAACCGGCACAGTACAAAAATTTTCCCTCTCACTCATCCATCTCACGGGAGTGCACTGCAAGAGAGACCCTCTTTTCCTCTCATTGTCGATATGCATGCAGCCTGCGTTCTTTTGCCCTAATGGAATCCAGATCGCAAACACGCCCCCCTTCGGAACGTCCTTCTCTGCCGAGGAAAGGAAAATTCTCCCATGGTGCATCTTTTTCTAATGTGCGAAAAAGCAATGTCCGTCATGATATCCATAACATCCACCCCTGTCGACGCCATCGCCCGGGCGATGCATCCAGCTTCCGAACCGCGGCTGCAAGAGTAAAATTTATTAGAGCTTGTCTTCTGGCGGTGTCGAGATCTTTGGCGCTTGGGCATGTAGCATGTTAGTCAAGGGCTGCATCTACTCCCGTTGCTGGAACTTGAAACACCCTTGGCCAAGGACCTGATAGGATCCCTCAGGCACAGGGATGCCTCACTTCTGCCAGAGGCCGCAATCTATCCCATCTCAGCGTCGTCCACTGAAGAAAGGCCAGGACCTAGAATCTGTGGGAGGCATCCTGCATACGTCACTGTGCTGCCAACTTGCGTCCATGTATGCCTTCAGCCTTGGCCCGTTTGACGTCCACGTCGGTATCAGGAATCGGGGCCGGGGAGCTGCATGCCCGGGCCACTACTTTCAGCTGGTCCAAGAGTCCTTGTCCTCCCTGAAGCGCTGCCTGGCTCTTGGTGAGCGGCCCGTCTCCAACAAGGCCCCGCGATGGCGCATCCATCGTCGGCGCGCAGCCGGGCAACGGCCTTCGTCTCTTTGTCTCCAAAAGAGTCGGTGAGGAGAAGGTGTCAAATCGCCAACCTGCCTGGGCTGGGCTACCGTAGTGCGCGCATGTGTCCGCAGTAGGCTGGCTGGCTGCTGGCTGCTGAAGGAGGGGCAAAACACCGAGGGGAACCTGGAAGGGCCGTCGCTTGTCCAGGCCCTACGTTATTTTTGGAGGGGTAAACAGGGTCGACGACCTTTGTTGTTGTTGGAGCTCTTCTTTCGGTCAAGGGAGCGAATCGAGAGCGGCCGTTGGGTTAGGGTAGACGGGGAACACACCAACAAGCAGTGTCCTGTGTGTGTCTGTGTGTCCGTGTGGCCTTCGCAGCGGTCTGCCCAGGGTTTTGGATATCAAAGTCCGCAGCGCAGAACAGAAGTTTGGTGGGACCCGATCTGGGTGGTTTCCAAGGCTCTTTGACCTTCCCACCGACTTACACGCCGGGGGTCCTTGCTGTTCCATTCCGGTGCTGTTCTATGTCGCCCTTCTTCTCACCATCCCATCCCATCAGCATGCGCCCAGCGACGTGTCTCTGCCAGGTTGTGTGCGGTGTGGATGCCAATCGGCATCCATCTTGGGGTGCATGGCGGGACCGATATGACGGGGCGGACGCATTTGTTTGGACATGAATACAGCAGCCAGACCTTCGTTGGGAGGCACAAGCAGCAAGGTGCAGATTTTCATGACAGCAACCACCCTAACAACCATTGCCAGCAACAAGCGAAGCGCTCTATGAGTCACCCGCTCATCCACTTTCAACAAGCGATGCCATGGCGCGACGACGTTGAACAAGGCCGACAAAGGTCCCGTCCTAGACTGTACCGCACCGCAGTGCTGTGGATTGCCGACAGTCGAGCATGGAGCAACAGGTTGCTATTCCATGACATGGATCTATAATCCCAGAGTATGACAAACCGCGAGGCTGCCGTAATGAATCCCTCGGCAAAGGATGACATTGCACAAGGCAGAAGCTCTGGTGAAAAGTCAAATGCAACAGAAGGAGAAAAAATTCATGTCCGAACTTTTCGACCAGGATTGCCAGCCGGCCAGGATTTATCCAGGGCAGACAGGACTGCATGGAGACAAGGATGGGAATGGGGATGGAATTCCATTTCGACAGGCCAACAACAAGCCCCATCGTCGTCGACCTGGGCCCTTACTCCGTAGCACGCATGTGGTAATAAGCTGTAAGGGCGTGTGCGTTGCAAGCGTTAGACGTCCAACCGTCAGCTTGGACCGTTGCAGGGCGCAAAGACACAAGCAAGCCCCGAAGCTGTGGCTTTTTTCCTTCCTTCGTTTCTTTTACTGTTCCGAGTCCTTCCAATTCAAATGATGAGCATCAAAAGGAAAACTCAAACCTCGGGCGAGTGTAACCCAACCGAAACAGGGCGTGGTCATTAACCCAGACGAGACTCGTCGAGGTTTACTCCGTAGGTAAATAAGGAAGTTCTTGTGCTTCCCGCATCCAGTGAGCCTACAGCCATGGCCATCGTCGTCCGTATCCTGAGATGGATAGTCCTAGATAATTTACCTTAGATCCGGCTGTGCACCACATGCCGACAGGGACTCGCCGTAACAAGGGCAAGGCGTGATTGCGTCGTTGCCCGCTTTCTTCTTATTATTAGCGTATGAAACATGGTGCCCAGCAGGATAATTGCGTCGTCGCGTTGGGCCGCGATTTTATCATTACCGGCCGGGCCCAACGGAGAGGGGCGTGCAAGGGGTGTGTTTCCCGCCGGCTAGGGTGTCCTTGATCCGTCGACCCATTGTCTCTGGTCCTAATCTCGGGCCTAGCGACTTGAGGCAAAGGTGAAGGGAGCTCAGACCGAGCCGCCGGGTCCTCGTCCAGAGACTGTGCATGTGCACTGTACGGTTGCATCGTCAACCCTTATTTAGGGTTGTGCTGGCATTGTTGTTGTCGTTGTCTTGGTGTTGTTGCGGGTGACGCCCATGGCCCGTCGACGGTGGAAAACAAACCCTTGTCGAGAAAAATCTGCAAAATGACGGATTTTGACGATTCAGATTGTGGGCGCCCCTCGCACACGGACGCACACACATAATAATAAAGCACATGGCAAAAAATATCAAGCCCTCTCTGGTTGCCAATCTTGCAGAGGGCAGGACTGGGGTTGAGGATGGGTAATATTGGTGTAGCTGTGGACTCCTCCGGCTGCGATCCGCTGTCCGCGCATCCACTGAACAAACATCCAGGCCCTCTGGAAAGGGTGTCGAGCCTCTGGAAGGCCAGCATCTCGTCCCCGCGTCCCATCGACTCCTCCGTCTGCCGTCCACCGTGTCTGGATCGCTGGGCCGCTGTCACTGTGGGTGCATTAGGGCATATCGCTGGGTGGAAAAGGCCGCTAAACCTCAGTGACCGACTTCTGGGACGCAGGCACGCCGTCTCAGCGCATGGGGCACCCTGGGCGGGTAGTCAGGGTCCCTGGACAAGTCTGGATGGACTTGATGTGAGAGTGCCCCCTAGCCTTGACCATGGGCTCCGGCCCTGCGGCTGACAAGCTGCGGGCACTTGCTCTCCAGCTCCATGCTCCGGCTCCAGGAATTTTCTCTCCATCCCCTGGTCTCCGTCCCATCGCCGGGCATGCAAGCCCTATCCATGACATTTCCATGGGTGTTTTTGATCTGAACCCTGGCTCCCTGTGTCCGGGGCGCAGGCAATCTTCGGTCCGGTCATCCCCCAGCAGCAGAGCAGGTTTGGTAATGAGTGGGTAATGAGAACCAGAGCCGGATAATGAGTCTTCTAGGATCCTGGATGTTGTTGAGAGTAGGGTAGGACAAAGCGCCGACGCTCGTAATAAGCAACAAGCTTGGAGGATGCCTCAGAACAGTCAGAGCTTGAGTGACAAGAGTCCATACCCTAGAGTACTGGCAGTGGTATCGATCGCACATTTATTCCAGAGACATTTCTGGGTGTTGGCGGCGTCGACTCGACGTTGGTTCCATGACATCCTCCTCGCTGTCTTGTCTGAGTAAAACATGACGCAGGGGGCCTGAGAGGTTAGCTGGCATTTTTACAGATCTTGGCCACAGACGCAAAGGAGTCCTAGAAAAATTGCCAGCCAGATCTGAGACGAAATGAGAGATGGTCATGGCATGGAATCTGAGATGGGCCGAGACGGTGAGCCGGTGAGACACGACTTCCATTCCGAATCCTGCTTTTACTGCGGTATCGTGGCCAATCATCATGGCATGCCGGGGAGATGAAGAGCAGATGCCAGCTCCAACACCCTATTCAAGTCGCACAGGCAGGGAGCAAGGGCCGAGGCCCATCTCGGCCGACTCGAATACACGGGAGAAAAAGGTGATTCTTGGAGGCGGCGGTGCAGTCTCCCTTTTCTGCTACCCCTCCTCGTGTTGTGTTGTCAAGTACCAAGACGGGAGGCCTGTGGTTGACGTGCGTGACATGAAGTAGCGCCGATTCACTTGTTGACTGATCAGGACAGACTATGCTGTGTGTCGCAGGTCAAGATGACAGGACTAGAGACTTTTTGAAAGTCTTCAGCGGCCAGACGAACTAGCGCAGTCTCGACTGAGAAAGATGCGGACGGATTTGACTGGGGGATAGGGGGGTCGACGAATGGGTGAATGGATGGATGGATGGAAACGGAGGAGTCGGGGTCGAAAGCTGCGGCTCGGGGGCACGCTTATCCATCTTTGGGAAGAAGGCCTTGGTGTCGTTAGTCGTTAGTGTAAGTGTCGCAGGCTGCTGGAAACGACCCTATTCGCGAGCCGCCGCTCCGGTGCAGGGTTTTGACGTGTGTCTTCTCCGCTGCCGCTCTCCAGTCGTCCACTGCCCAGTACCGACGGAGCGCACCTCGATGCACGATGTCTCCATCATGTTCTGTTCCCCGCCGTGCGGAGAAGTCGTCTAGAGCCAATCTGGTTTCCTTTCCGGCATGTTGCAGTTGGCAAGCATCAGATCGGTGGCGATGATGTCGAACTTTGGAAGGTCTCTCTTCCAAGAGGCAGCCGATGCGCTCGCTGCTCACTAATGCAAGGGGACCATGAACCTCCAAACTCGCCTTCCTTTTGTCGCGATGTTGGGTCATGTAACTCGATATTTGCCATCGTAGTACTGAGCGGAGGATCCTGGTAGATTCGGTATCGGAGAACGGAGCACGCCGGACAAAGGCTGGACCAAGAAGAATTTGCGACCGGGTTGTACGGGAGAACCTCAGGAATCAGGAATCCTTGAGAGGAAGAAATCGAAAGAAGCAAGAAAAAAGAAAGCCTCCGTATCTTTCCGGATTCGTAAGCTCGATGGACTGCTCGCTTGTGGAGGGGTTCATCACATGCGCAAGATGATGTCCGCGATTGGAAAAAGGTGCGCCCTCGGATCGAAGCCTCGCTCGTTGACGACTTGCACCGATTGGCAGTTGGAATCTTCACGGTGGTCGTGGTGCAGCGTGAGGGCTGTGCTTCTCTCGTAGAGGAGGAGGACCTGTCACAAGGCGAGCGAGCATTGCATGCATGGACCGCCGAGCGAAGCGAATAAGATAAGATGCACGACACCACCAGGCTCTGGCTGATGATGTAGCATCTGCGCGCCTTGCCTGCGAGTGCGACACGGACATGAGCGTGTGATGGATGGTCCAAGATGGTGGGGAGAACCTGAGGCAGATTGATAAAGCTCGACTGGGAAGCACCTTCCTTGAGTTGGAACCTCATCCCGTCTTGGTTTCATCCGTGCCTTCCGCGACTCCATCTCTTGCGGAGTTGTCATCATCATCGTCTCTGCCTGGCGGAGGCAAACACCAAAACATTGTTAATTCTCCGCCACGTCTTGGTTTGATATCGATCGCTGTCGCAGTCGTCACTTTAACCGCCGCCGTCTCTCCCCGGACATCGGAAGGCATCACCACTTGGCCGTGTCATTAACTGATCAGCATCATCACTGGCAGCCTGGCAACCCAACCAGGCACGCGTGCCTCTCGAGGCATCGACACTCGCAACTCTATTGCTGTCTCGCCTCTGTTCTGCGGTCGCTCATTCCAGCCTTGTTGACATTGTCGTCGCCTATAAACGTCGAGCCCTAGCAACGGGTGGGTTTCACACGACTGCCTTGCGACACCCAACCACTCACGAACTGACTCGGCTGGCGGCGCTACGACTGCTGGGTAGCCTTTGCCAGCCTCGCGTCGCACTTGTGTAGTCCAAGTCTATTAAGGGCCGGGCTTGAGTGAGTGTTTGCATGGGTTACGAGGGCCAGGGCCACAGACTCTAGAAGATCCGTGTCCCCAGGCCATCGCATCTCGTACCCTTGTTTTTATTGACGGTGCTGTTGCGTCAGCTCGTATTCCCGTGCGCACCTGTTATTCTTCCCTGAAAGCCACCGAAAAAATTCAACATCAACACATCTCGCAGAGGCAGGAGACTAACATCTCGCAGGCTAGGATTCCTACCAGGGGGTGTAACAACCTACCTACCGAGCGCCCTGTCTGGCTCTGAATCACACCGAGCCGCCTGTCCCCCGGCGCTGCTCCGTCTTCCGCCGTCCACCCCTGTTGGGTCTTGGGTCTGTTGCCGCCGGCGCGCGCCTAGAAGCCCAAGGAGAAGAAAAATTTTCACCGGAACAGACTTGCGGGCATCCGGGACCGCGGACGTTGGGATTTGGATCCAGGCCGTCAATCTCGCTTACTCCCCGCCGGTAAATTGACTGGCACTTCAGTGGAGTTCAGAAAAAGTCCATTGTTCCGCCCCAAGGTGACCTTTTCTGGCGAGGCGTCTGTTATTGAGAACCTCCCCTGGCTCGAGAAACGAAGCCCAGAGCAAGCCAGTTGAGGAAAAAGAAATCAATGGCCGGCACTCGACCCCGCCATCCACAAGTACGGTAATATTTTTTATTTTTTATATTATTTTTCTCAAAAACTTTTCTGTGGCCCTCGTCTGCTTTCTTTTTCTTAGTCGGAGGATCCGCTCAGTTCGCAGTTTTTTCCCTTGTCCATCCTTGCAGGTGTCTCTCCCTCGTTCAGATGGCTGGTTTCAATTCGTAAGAGAGAAGACGAAGCAAAAAAGAAGCATGAGGAAACAGCAGCAAAAAGTGACAGAAGAGAGGCGAAAATTTTTAATTGTGTGCGTTGTGGGTGTATGCTTCAGGGGACGGATGTGTTTGTTGTTGTCTGTTGAGAGACAATGAGCACCCTCCGGACATTGCAGCGTTATGCCCACCCCCATGATTCCCAGCTGAACCTTGAGCGAGTCGGATCCGTTGCTGCAATCAGTCACCATTTTTACCAGCTTCCATTTTTGCGCTGCCTCCTTTTCACGAGGCTGTCTCGTTCCCGTTGAGCCTATCGCTGGCTCTATCTGTTGATTCTATCTCTACCCCTTTTTCGCATCTCTTTTCGCCTCTCGCCATACAAGGCCTGAATTAGCTGACGAGTGATCCAAGGGCACTGACTCATAATTGCGCGTGGGATCTGGATGATTCACGAATTATCGAGCCCAACCAAAGAGATTGGGTTACGGAAACAATAGGGTGTCGAAAAGAAAAAACACAGCCATCCACAACAAATCCTGACTGAGAAAAAAGAGCCAACGAAACTTGGCCGCAGCACAGCGCCCTGCAGCGGACTCCCGGTACGCTACCTAGTACTGTACGGACTGCGTCACCGTCCACCGTCATTTCGCCAAACAAGCTCCGAGAGAGAAGACAGTGCGGCGCGAAAAAGAGACACGTTGCCAATCGTTTTGCTGGTGCTGATGAGAGGCTGCAGGATGTGACTAAGCCTTGCTCATTGCACACCCAGATTAGCAATACGCGCAATACGGAGGTTGACTCTATCTTGACACAGCCTCACTCAGGCACATTTACCAGTTCATTCTAGACATCACGAGAAACGAATTGCTCTTGTTCCTCAGACTTAGGAAAAGTCATACAAGACATCAGTCACCAAGAGACCAGGAAAAAGGATAAAAGGAGGGAGTGCAAGTGAAGAGCTTGCAAGAACCGGGCCCCCCTGCACCCCTGTCTCACAAACTCCCACCCCCGGGCGGCCCTTTGAGAGCATCCCTGCCCCTATTTAGCGCACACACCCTTGTCTGTCTCTCAGTCCCCCCCCTGCTGCATGCCGGCTAGGCCCCTCCCTCCATTACCGGATCCTGGTCGCCTTCCGCTAGGCAGGCTTGGGAGAAAAACGGTGCCCACAGAGGCCGCACACAATCTCCCACCACAGTGACAATATATATCTCGACCACCTCCCGCTCTACCCTCCTTTCCTCCTCTCTTTCCAGTATCTTGGCGCTTGCCAATCACCTAGATTTCCCCAAAGCAACATACCTCAGCCTCGCCAGCACATCGTGTGCCGACGTCATCGCTCTTTTTTCCCAACCAACCTCCAAGCTGGGGCTCTCGAAGCGTCCAGCACCTTCTCGACAAAACGACCAGGTTCTACGGGATTTGGTTTCGATTTCCTCGTTGGGGAAAGGATAAAACACCCATTGGTCATGTTCGCCGCAAGACACTACTCTAACCTCTTCTCTTCCGACTACATACCGAGGTGACGGGCTGGCCGATCACCTCCTCTCGGGCGTCTCTTCCCCGGCGCAACCTGAACGTTGATTACTGCTTGTATGCAGATTTGACGAACTTTGCACCGCATCTACCACTCACATACTAAAAGAAAAAGAATAAAAAAAACGCGAAAAAGAACCCGCGCATCGAAAAACCAATACACAAGACAACTGTGGGAGATTGGGAGGAGAGCAGCAGTTGTTCTATGCAAGTCTTGAAAGCGGATGTCAGTTGGGCATCGCCACACCACAAGATCATGAGTTACCCTTCTCCACGAACTCCTGGATCGACGCCGATCCACGACTACGACAGCGTCTACTCGAGGATGTCGTCCGCAACCCCCACTCCCTCGCCGAGGCCGACTTGGACCGCCGAGCAGACGCCACGGCGACCGGCTACTCGAGCGGCCCATGGACGCTTCAACAGCTACTCCCAGCAGGGTGACTTCAGTCCACGTCCCCCCAAGGACTCCCCTCGCTACAACAGCATCGGGCAATATAGCACGGCAGATGTGAGTCCCAAAACTACTTCTTCGTCGCGCAGGCCTTCCGGGTCATCTCCGCGCTCCAAGCGCGACCGCCGATTCTCGTTTACCTATGTCCGGGCTTCCACCCCATATGGAGAATCCGACGAGGACGAGATCATCGAGGCTCTGGGACACACCTATGTGCTTCCTGCACAGTCCCGTTCCAAGAACAATCATCACCGCAGATCCGCCTTCTACACACGAGAACTTGTTGATGATGAACGGGGATGGTACACTAATTACGACGACTACCTGCAGGGTGCCGCCTCCGCCGCCATCTACGACGAGTCTTACAACTCTCGTGATCAGATGCCTCCCATGTACCAGCAGTCGCCCCAACCTCGACCTCCTACTAGCTTCGGCCACAGCCGTCGCTCCTCCACCGCTGTCCCGCCGCCGCGTCCCCAGACCGTGCGCCCAGCCAGCTCCCACCGCGCCAAGCCTGCTGCCCCGGCCACCCCCAAGGCCACCGATGCCGATGCTCGGAAGCACCGCATCCCTGCTGGATACTCACTCAAGAACTGGGACCCCAGCGAGGAGCCCATCCTGCTGCTAGGCAGTGTCTTTGATGCCAACAGCCTTGGAAAGTGGATCTACGACTGGACTGTCTACCACCAGGGCCCTGCCACCCCCATCTCTGACATGGCCGGCGAGCTGTGGCTTCTTCTTATCCAGCTTGCCGGCAAGGTCAAGCGAGCTGAGGAGACTGTCGGTCGAGTTCGCAGCGCCGAAAACCGGGACCTCGTTGACGAGTTCATTGAGTCCGGAGAGCGCCTCACCGAGAAGCTCCGCGCCCTCCTCAAGGCCTGCGAGGCTCCCATGCTCAAGGCCGCCAAGAGGAAGCAGGCTGGCCTTGGCAAGAACGCCGGTGTCGAATTTGTCGAGACCCTCTTTGGCCGTGACCGTGAGCTTGACAAGACTGAGAAGTTCATGCAGAGCGTGAGACTCTTCAACCTCCGGTTCGACGCCAACTGCGAGGAGATTCTCCGGAACCCTACCAAATAAGCGGACCACACCACGCCCCCACAGGATTACCCAGGACTTGGCCCTGTTGTTTCCTGTTCTCACTTAACCATACACACATCTACTATACCCGAGGAGTCTTTTGACGCCGGCCAGTGATCACATCCCCATCATACTCGCCGGATTGGATGGCCCGCTCAAACTGTACCACTACCTCACATTCCTGGATCTCCAATGGACTCCCCGCCACATGGATTTCCGATTTTTTACTTTAACGTCTCTGCCTCGTCCCGGGGAAGCGATTTCTTTTCTCTTGACTTGTCTACCGGAACAATTCCAGAAAGAATCACGGGGCGACCTGTACTACCACCAATGCGAACGCGCGCGCGGAGGAGGGCATCGATATCACGGGGACTTTTTTCCAATTAGAGATACCCACAATGTTTTTTCCGTTTGGAAGGACGCGAGCAGTTGGAGAGGTGAAAAACGACATATTTTTTGTCACGGAGAAGAAGATGAAGGGATTTGATTTTTTGTTTTTGCTTTTGGAGCTTGGATCTTTTTTTACCTGGGATCAGCGCGTTGGGATATCAAAAGTGATTCGCACTTAGATCGGGATGGAACACGACATTACTACACGGTAATATGGAGGTTTCGTTGTCTTTACAAATGTTCCTCATTGATGGATAGGAAAGGGAAATGTATCATGCAACAATGTATGTGAGCATGAAGGAGTTGGGGGAGCCATTGGAATTGGCTTATTTTGTTTTTGATTGACTTGATTATACCATTTTCAGAGCTTGGATATTATGGGATGATTCTAATTACTTTGAAAAAAATTGCAAACTTATCTTAACCTTGTTGTGCCTCGTCTCTTCTGGCTTGTGACTGATTGTGATGTGACTTTCGTTTAATCCTTACCTTGATCATGACATGAAGCCTCGCCAACATTCGATGATCCCAATCGTCGGATCACGAAGAAAGCCGTCGACTCATTGAACGCATGGTTTAAACAACCTGATTTCTTCCTTGGTGATACCCCCTCTCGTTCCCGGTGGGAGAGCCCCGCGCGGCGCCGAGAAGGAACTAAAACCAGACCAGACCGGCAATGCACGCATCTGGCTTGGTTCGAGGCAAGCATCTCGGTCTTGCAGCGGCGTGCCGCTGGGGGTGACGATCCAACTTCTGTTTGCTAGGGGGGAAGGACAACCATGAGGTCATGCATGAGTGGACGGACGACCCCTGGAGGGCTGCGTCATGCAGGTCATGGGTCGCGGGGGCGGCCGCTGTCTCTCTTGAAAGGAAGCCCGTTTTTCATCTAGAGAGGCGTGATGTAATTGCAAACGCTTTGAGAAATGGTTTGCAAGAGAAGGGAGCTAAACTACATAATGTTGCGTTGCGTTGCGTTGTTTCACTTGCACGGCAGTCTAACGCCTCTGTTTTTTTTTTCCCTCGCGAGTCTCGAATTTGTCCTTGCGCGCGCGCTCGGCTGTACTGGAATGTAAACTTGTGGAACGGGTGAAACTTTAAGCATGTGGGTTTTTCGATGGGTAGGATTTGCGACGTTGAAGGGCAAAATGGAATTGGTTTCAGATGGCAAGAATTCTTCAGCGAGCCGTTGCAAAGTTGGTGAATGTCTGGATATATTAACATGTCGCGGTGCTGGCTCGTGTAGAGATTGATCTTGATTCCCTTGACAATTCACACCTTGACTCGATACAACGCCACCTTTCGGATATCTCGCTTCGTTAAGAACTGCCTCGCTTATTATCCTGCTTTGCTTTTTGTCTTCTATCCCGTGCATTGATTCAAAAACACACAGACAAGCCACGGGCCTTGCTCCCCGCCCTCTGTCGTTATTAGCTTTTCCTACGCACGGCCTGGGTTTGAGCGGGGGGATGATGTCCCGCCCGCCGGATTTAGAGGAGGTTGGGGAGGGGGAGGGGAGGACGGTGACACCGGGGGCGTTGTGACGGGATGGAGAGCCGACCCGGAGTGGGTGTGCAGCGAGCGGCTATTAGGGCCATCTATCCCACGTGTTGGGGGCTAGAAGGATCTCTCTTTCACAGTACAGTGAGAATGTCGTGCAGTTTTGGTGGACTACGCAAGGGGGTGAGAGAGATAACCCCATCTTGGAAGGGAGAGGCTGCAGTAGAGTTTCCAGGCTCAAACAACAATGCGTGATTTCTTTCCCCCAGCCTGACTCGAGAAGGATTGCACAGTATCACACTGGGAAGTACTGGAAGGAATAACGCAGGGCTGGGACGGTGGACTCGTTGGGCGTGCAAGAAAAGTTCCCGGATCCCAAGTACCCAATCCCAGACTCTGTGACCCCTCCTTAAGCCATGTCTGTGATGTGACAGCACACATTGCTGTCCATGTGCGTCGTCTACACGCCAATGTTCACACCAGAAAAGAAGAAGGGCTGAACGGGTACATCCTAGTCTCTCCCAACCCGGGCGCTTGCATGTTTCTTTTGCTTTTGTTTCTTGGGAGGCTGGCGTGTGATGATGGGCAGGGATATAGCCTCAACTCACAGTGTGTATCGGTTATTCTTTGCTAAAAAAGAATTCACGAACCCCGCGCGCTGACCTTTGGGTTGCACGTTGGGGTGGCTGTTCACATGTAACCGCCTGTATCCGTACCCAAGCTGCGAGAGGCTTGGCGTGCGGACCGAATCGTGAGGGAGGGGTCCCATCGCTGGATAACGTCAGCTGTGGTTGTGCAGGGACATGGATACCGTATATTATTAGATGGAAAAGATGTACAGGTTTTCTGGCCTCGAACTGTGGCTATTTGCAAGGTCTGAGTTTTGTGTGTCAGGGATGGTGTTGGGGTGACACGGATTCACAGCTGTTTGTGGTTTTGTTTGCTGGGCGTGTAACTTGAATTGATACTGAATAAGTCGGAAGGCTGGGGTAGATGGCTTTATTGGGAATTTGCCGGCGAACGACATGAATTTGTTTGAATCATGGGGGTTTCAGTTCGGGGGCATCGAGTTTGGTTGGGTTTGTGTAGGGTATGGAGGAGACCTGATATAGGCATGTTGTTTAATTGTCTTTGCAAGCCTACACTGATCAATAAATTACTCAAGCCAATACTCAGGTACTATACATGTTCCAATAACGGCACAATTTGTCCAAGAACTTCTAAAGAGTTAATGCTCGGGGGATTCAAAGCGAGTGACACTGTCTGATCCTCCCGTAGGTGGATCGTGTAAATCCCCTCTTTGGTTGCAGGCTCAACGTCTCGCTCCTTTGAGTCTCCAGCATATACAATATCACTAGGCTGAATTTCGAGATGTTTCAGAACTTTTCCAAAGAGCCCAGACGTTTTGGCCACGCCAAAATGATTGGTCGTTGCTAGGAAGTCGATGTAGTTGGTGATCCCCAGGTCCCGAACGGCCCGCTCTTGGGCGTCCTGCGGGCCTTCTGTGATGACGGTAATCTTTCTGCCGGACTCTTTGATGGCCCTGAGTAGGGAAAGTGCACCGGGTTTAAGAGTCAGGTTCTCGACTAGGACGCGTTCGTAGTCTCGCAACAACTTTTCGATCGAGTCAAGATTGAGTTTAAAATGACTCAGTGTTGCACTGAAGCGTTCCCGACGGTAGTCGTGAGAGGTCTTTCCATCAGTGAATGCGCTTGCAGTTCCTTGTTTGAGAACGATCTGATATTGCGCTTGAAGGTCTTCCACTTTGATGTGAGGGTTTTCGTTGGATATCCGCGTGAGACAGTGAGTTACAGCGGCTCGGCTGGCTCGGCGGAACTCGTGGAGGGTGTCGTCGAGATCAAAACCAAACCAGGTCTTGGTCTGTAGGGCTTCGAGGAGTTTCTTCTGATCTGGTTCCAAAGATAAAGTCATTGTATCCGTTGGTTGGATGGAAGTCTAGGGTGAGTTGATGTTGGGTCGAAGTTGAGGTATTAAGGCGAAGACGTGATCGTCGGGATAACTACCTCCACTTGTCAATTCCCCGCAACCTCTGGCCGTGTAGAATGTATAATGCCATCGCCTGAAGTAGGTCTGAAATAATCACAATCTTAGATCGACTATGAACGGTTTGTCTCGGAGTGTTTGAAGAGTCTGATTGGCACGACTCACAACCATGACTGGGACTATCATAACTCAGTTTCTATAAAAAGATACCGTTACTGGAACGTCTAGAATCGTGAACCTTGTTTACCCCATGAAACCGTTCTTGTCGTATCTCGGGAATGATTCTAGACGGTCGCTAGATGAACCTTGTAGAATGAGGTATTTGTCGACTCGTCGAACGAATCATTCCCATCAGCTTAGTATAGCCTATCTGCCTACCCCCATATGTCTTCCCCATTTATCCCAGATATCTCATCACTTCTATTCCCTCAATCACTTATTTCAGCCTTCTCCCCAAAACCAGCGACTTCACCAGCCTCCTCAGCTGAACAAGGATATGCAGCCAGCCAGATGACTAAGCACGCGTTGGCCGCTGCGCCAAAAATCCGATGATGCGTGACATCCAGCTTCACCTCACCTCGGCCAGACAAAACGAATCAGGGAAAAAAAAAACTGCTGTGAGCGACGCGTATCCCTTGAACCTTGGTGTTTTTACATCACATCGACGGAACAAAACTCTGTTCCGGACCGAGCTGAGCCCACACAGACTTGGCCAATCCCACGCGGCATCAGACCACAACAATGCACTACATCCGCTTCCTTCGGGCCCCAAAGGTCTTGAAGAATCGTCGTGGAACCTTGGTCCAGCTGCTCTTCACAATCACCACTGACCTTGGAGACTCGTTCCTCTTACCGGAGAGGTTTCTTGACCTGCAGGTCGTCGCTGTCGCTGCGTCACCTGAGGGTAGCTCAACATGGCTCCTCTCGGACCCCGGCCACTTGGACTGGGAGCCTGGCATGCGCGTTGCGAAGCCGGCTCTCGAGCTGCCTGTTGCTCTTGAGAGAGCTCTTGAGACGGGTATGAGGGTTCACATCTGCGTCAGGGCAGCAGAGTCTATTCACACCGCTGAAAGTGCCCCACGGGTTCTGGCGCTGGCTGCTGAGAAGATGCGGTATCGAAAAGAGGCTGCCGCAAAGGGCGCCGTCATGCCAGCTTGGGTCCCCTTGTTGGTTACCGAGCCTGGTTCAGAAGTGTCTATCCGAAGACTTCAACTGGGCGACTCACCCGATGGCCTGGGTACCATCGAACTTGAGGAAGAGATTGGGGAGAGCATCGCTCGCCACGTCTGGGATGCAGGCGTGGTAGCGACGTCGGCGATTGTGGGCATTGAGACGGCTCCCGATAGCGAGTCCAGCAATGACCCCTGCATGAGGACTCTCAAGAACATCTTTAGTCGCCAAAGGACGATCCGCGTGCTGGAATTGGGCTGCGGCGTGGGTATCCTGAGTGTCGGACTGGCTGCTGTGTACCCCCAGCTTCACGCACCCTCGCCGGGAGACTGCACCATCCTCATGACGGATCTCCCCGAGGCCGAGGAGCGGGCCAGATCCAACATGAAGAGGGTGGAAAACTCGCACGTCCGCTTCCAGGAGAAGCCTGTTCGAATGATGTACGAGAATCTGGACTGGGAGGAGGGTAGACAGGGTCGATTCGGTCCCCAGGCTCGATCGCAGCCTTGGGACGTGGTGATGCTGAGCGACTGCACTTACAATGTCGACATGCTCCCTGCTCTAGTGGAGACACTCTCGGCCATTCACGCCAACAACCTCACGCACTTCCCCGAGGGGGAGCCCTTTACCACAAAGGTCTTTTTGGCCACCAAGCCACGTCACGAATCGGAGGAGGTCTTGTTTGAGCTGATGGACAAGGACGGATGGTACAACGTCCACAGACAAGTGATGCCACTGCCTGTACTTGGAGGTGCGCCTCAGTCTGTCGAGCTTTACCTATTTGACAAGTCTGGCCTGAGCGAGGACAGGGACCATGGGAGGGGAGAGCGAGAGAGGGAGAGGGATTAGGCGTCGAGTGGATGTTCTGACCGAGTTTCAAGGCGGCCTCATTGATTGAGTGCAACACGGCTCCCACCATCGTACGAGGCAAGGCGAAGATACTGCCATTTCTCCGAGAAAACGACAGCCAATACTCTAGGCAATGCTTTCGCCGTGACGCCCGAGTAACGACAGACACGGTCAAGAGCCTTGACGACCTTGCTTTGTGGCTGCTGTGAAGCTTCACCATGCATGATAAGACTTCGCCTCTCTTTCACTGCTCAATGCCATTGGGGGGTTACCCCGCGTGTTGTGTAACAGCGTTGATGCGGTTCAGCCTGATTGCTCAGAAGCGACCACTAGGATGAGATGGCGGGGGAGATGACGGGCAGGGAGGTGGTGTGGTGATGAGTTGTCCTTCAAGCCCCATGAACGCAGTGAGGCTCTGCGATGGCCTCAAAATGGAGATTCCGATAATGTTGTATGTACCTTGGGCGATGAGATTTATTAAACGTGGACATGCCTAGCGATAATGGTAGATTGCTTTTTTCTTCATTGACACTTTTTCCGTGTCTATTGCAACATCATGGCTGACCCCAAGTCAAAGAACGCCAATGGCAACCATGCCAATGGTAATCACGTCTCTGATAAGACGTCCCCCAAGCAATCCAAGCTACGACAGCTCCTCATCCTAGCAAAGGAAGTGTCCAAGGATGCCGAGGCAATCCAGGACTATGAAAAGTCAGTCGAGGGGAGGAAGGCGTTGGAGCAGGAGCTCGAGGCCAAGCAGGGCGAGAACCAGCGCCTCCGTGAGCTCAATGACAAGGTGATGCGAGAAATGAAAGACCAAAAGAACCAGGCGAGTGCCGCAAGCGCCGCCAGCGAAACACTTGTTGCTACGTTTGAGCAAAAGTTCAAGACTTATGAGTCTAACAAGGCCGCGGTGGAGGCCATGGAGACAGAGGTTGCTGAAGTGAGGGAGAAGCTGGCTGCGTCGGACGCGGCACAGAAGGGGAGGGATGGGGAGTTGGAGAAGTTGAAGCAGAGGGTCAAGACTTTTGAAGAGGATGAGAAGAGTCATTTTGATGAGATGAGGGAGATGAATGCCGAGTGTGAGCTTCATCGGTCGAGGATGCAGGCTAGTGATGCCGAGCTTGAAGGGTGTAAGAAGAAGCTTGGTGAGGCTCAGAGTGATCTTGGAGAAGGCATCCTGAGAAAGTTTGGCCTGGAAGAGTTGAAGAAACTGTGAGTATTCACCACAGCTGTTTGTGTACTTGCTGACCAGAACAGACGTCTCGACCTTGCAGATCTCATGGAAAAGGTTCATGGCTTTGCCAATGAGTACTTTAACGACCACGACGGTGCAGAGGTAAGCGTTTTCCGCTTCATCAACGTCTGATACTAACTATCTGAAAGGACTCTGCCAGTGAGATCCTGGAGCTGAGCATTCGCTTCCCCAAGATCCCCCTCTCGACTCGCACGACCCGAGCCGCTGCCAAGATGCGCTGCGCTGTTGCTGACGCCGTCATCGCCGAGACGCTCCTGGCACACGTCTTTGTCCCATTCTACGTCCCCAACGAGATCAAGACCACGGCATCAGCCATGCTCGATTTCTTTGAAGGGGATGAAAGACGGCAGACTGTGTACCGGTGCCAGATCCTCGGGTCCGTGTCTGACTCGGAGCAAGGTGATCAGATTCGAGAGGACATTGTTCGTAAGGCGAGCAATGAAGTTCGAAGCACGCTGCATCCACTTGTTGTAGCGTACAAGCAGGCTGGCTTTTACAATGCTGTGCCATCTCTGTTTCGACAGGCTGTTGGGCTCTGGGCTGACGCGCAGTGTTCCCGTGATCTCATCACGGCCGATGTTCCGGATGACGAGGAAGCCGGTCAGCACAAGGACTATGACCCATCCAGCACCGACAAGCCGGCTACAAACAACACAAAGCCGTCAGCATTGGCGGTTCTGTTCCCCCAGGTCGTCACCCGAAGCGAGGTCATCTTTGAGGGCGTGGTCCTCAAGTCTGATCAGGGCACGGTGCTGGAAGCTCGGGAGGAGATGCGGGCCAATGGGACTCCCAAGAAGAAGACGGGAACGCGACGGAGGTCGTCTGCTGGACCCGATGCTCCGCCCCGGAGATAGTGTTTTGACAGGAGGAGTCGGCCGGAAGGCACGGGGACCTGTGATGTGAAGTCTATTTTAAGCTTATATCACCCGTTTTCGGGTCAGTTGCGAATACACGGAGGAACTCTACCATCTTGCTTCCATAATCTGCCTCAACACGGCAAAACGTTATGTCTCTGCCAAGCTCACTCGGCCGATGTGTATAAGCAACTTCGGCCGAAGACCGGACGACTACGCCGGTGTCCCGAAGGGAAGAGAAAGCCACGTGACATTTCCCGTCTATTCCCGGCTCGCTGGAACGGGGGTCGCTCTTTGCCAAGATTGCGAGCGATTGTTTTGATGGCCAGGGGCCTGGTCGACCCTTGCCCCTTGCCGGTGATGAAAGGACTCCATCGGCAATCTCTTCCCTTGCTAAGGAGGAGCGGATACGGGGGATTATTCACTGCCACCGTGAGAAAAAAAGATACGTTGTGAAGTGCGGTGAGAGAGACTGTGTCTGCTTACAATGCACGTAAAAGGTTGCCTGATGTCACCCTGACGCCTGTTTGTCTCTACCGAATACGCAGAAGAAACTTTGAGATGACACGCCCCAGAAGCGGTCTAGCTGGTTTGTTGGTTGAAAGGGCTTGCATACAGGTTTTCCCCACGTCGCTGAGATGGCTCCGAATAACAACAAAAAAACAAACCGGCTCTTGACGATTATTGGCGAGGTTTACCCGGTGGAGGCAACATTGTTTTGTCCCACACGGCTCCACAAGCTGAGATTGAGCCGTCGGCTCCAGGGTCCTTTTTTCGTGTTTTGATATTGCCCCCAGCTGAATCTGATACTCTAGGCGAGAGGCCTACGATAAGACCGAGACCTCTGAATAACGTTACTGTCGACCTCAACATCTCCGACATGTCCAATTGACTCAATTGCTTTAGGAAATAAAGTTCCGAACCGACAATGCGGGTGCTGCCGCAGTGCGTTGCCCCAATCACTTGATCCAATCTCTTATTCTCTCTCCACACCCTCTCAGCTTTTCTCCATGCGCTCAACGTTTGCCCTGTCTGGGCAATCTTTAGCACCCCTGACCCCGTAGCCAATCGGCCTGTGAGTAATCCTGTCTCTAGCCTCGACTAGGCTTGGGCTTGATACCGGATGACTCGAAATCTCTGAGCGTGACCCACTGCCTTGACACAAGGTCCCGCGGTGAACAAGGGTTTGCCTCGCGATTCGGCCGCATGTGCGAGAAAGAGCAGCTTCTTCTTTCTCTCTGGTAGAACTGCGGTTGATCGGTTCCCTTCTCGGGGTGGAGACTGACAACCTTCTCTCACTCCCGGTCTTAACGCCTAACCTCCGCCCGGGCTTGGCTTCCCTGGTGATTGGTAATGCTGCAGAAGGGAGTCAGGATGGATCCCCTGGTGTGTTCTCCATATTTTTTTTCTTGTTCAAGGTGGGATGGGATGAGTATGTAAACGCGGATATCGGCAAACTTTTAAGGTCCGCCCCTTTTGCCTCTTTCTTTGTTATTGAGCAAACGGCCAAGCCTTGGTTCATTGTGCCATATCCCTCTTTTAATATCTATTACCTATAATTCATCCTTACACTTCCTACAATCTCTTGGTTACACGTCTTTTTCAGTCTTTGGACTACGCGGTGGGTGACCTTGGGCTCCCAACACAGTCTCGTATAGAGCACTGTTAGTTATATACCAACAACCACTCAATTCCATCACCATCACGACATTGTCGATTCACAATGGCCGAGAGAGCTCTCGAAAAGGCCGAAGAGGCCATCGCGGCCAACCACCACACTGAGCAGGCCGACCCTGCCTACCGAGCGTCTATGGATACCGAGTCCACCACCCATGGTCCCGGCACTGAGCGACGTCACTCCAAGGCGCACCATGAAGGTGTCTCGGTCGAACAGGCTGAGGCTGAATTTGCTGAGCTTCAGCGCGAGTTTACTGGTGTCTCCCGAGCTAGTCGTCGCAAGAGCGTAAAGAGTGTCGACCCTGAAAAGGATGGCGCTGATGGCTCTGACCAAGTCTCCCTCTTTGATCTTGAGGCTGCTCTTCGAGGTGGTCTTGATGCTGAGAAGGAGGCTGGAATCCGATCCAAGCATATTGGTGCTTACTGGGATGGATTGACCGTCAAGGGTTACGGCGGCATGTCCAACTTTGTCCCGACTTTCCCTGATGCCTTTGTTGGCTTCTTCGACGTCATCACCCCCGTGATCCGCCTCCTTGGTCTTGGTCCTAAGCCTACTGAGGTTGCTCTGTTGGATAAGTTCCGCGGTGTCTGCAAGCCCGGTGAGATGGTTCTCGTCTTGGGCAAGCCTGGCTCCGGATGTACCACCTTCCTCAAGACCATTGCCAACCAGCGATATGGATACACTGGCGTCGAGGGAGAGGTCCTCTACGGACGGTGGACCAACAAGGAGTTTGACCAATACCGTGGCGAGGCCGTCTACAACGCCGAAGACGATATCCACCATCCCACCTTGACAGTCGAGCAGACCCTCGGTTTCGCCCTCGACACCAAGATGCCCGCCAAGCGACCCGGCAACATGTCCAAGGACGAGTTCAAGGAGAGCGTCATCTCCATGCTGCTCAAGATGTTCAACATTGAGCACACCCGCAAGACGGTCGTGGGTGACCACTTTGTCCGTGGTGTTTCTGGCGGAGAGCGCAAGCGAGTCAGTATCGCCGAGGGCATGATCACCAACGCTTGTATTCTGTCCTGGGATAACAGCACCCGTGGTCTCGATGCCAGTACTGCTCTTGACTTTGTCAAGTCTCTGCGTATCCAGACCAACCTGTACAAGACCACCACTTTCGTCTCTCTCTACCAGGCCTCCGAGAACATTTACAATCTTTTCGACAAGGTCATGGTCATCGATGAGGGTAAGCAGGTCTACTTTGGTCCTGCTGCTACTGCCCGAAGCTACTTTGAGGGTCTCGGCTTCGCTCCCCGTCCCCGACAGACCAGCGCCGATTATCTCACTGGTTGCACCGACGAATTCGAACGCGAGTATGCCCCTGGACGATCCCCCGACAATGCGCCTCACAACCCTCTCACTCTGGAGGAGGCCTTCAAGAAGTCGGACGCCAGCAAGGCGCTTGACACTGAGATGGCCGAGTACAAGGCTACTCTGCAGCAAGAGACCGCCAAGCACGACGACTTCCAGCTCGCTGTTAAGGAGAGCAAGCGCGGCACCTCGAAGCGCTCCGTCTACCAGACCGGTTTCCATCTTCAGGTGTGGGCCCTCATGAAACGACAGTTCACTCTTAAGCTTCAAGATCGTTTCAACTTGTTCCTCGGATGGTTCCGCAGCATTGTCATCGCAATTGTTCTCGGAACCCTGTACCTCAACCTCGGCAAGACCTCTGCCAGTGCTTTCAGCAAGGGTGGTCTTTTGTTCATTGCTCTCCTGTTCAACGCCTTCCAAGCTTTCTCCGAGCTCGCTTCCACAATGACGGGTCGGGCCATCGTCAACAAGCATAAGGCATATGCCTTCCACCGACCTTCCGCCCTATGGATTGCCCAGATTTTTGTGGACCAGGCTTTTGCCGCTAGTCAGATTCTGATCTTCTCTATCATTGTCTACTTTATGACTGGGCTGGTGCGTGACGCTGGCGCGTTCTTCACCTTCTACCTCATGATCCTCTCCGGAAACATCGCCATGACTCTCTTCTTCAGAATTCTCGGCTGTATCAGTCCTGATTTCGACTCGGCTATTAAATTGGCCGTAATTATTATAACGCTATTCGTTACAACGTCAGGATATATCATCCAGTATCAATCTGAGAAGGTTTGGTTGCGTTGGATCTACTGGATCAACGCCCTGGGACTGGCGTTTTCGTCGATGATGCAGAACGAATTTAGCCGAATCGACATGACATGTACGGCCGACTCGCTCATTCCTTCCGGTCCTGGCTACGACGATATCAACTACCAGGTCTGCACCCTTCCTGGTTCTCGCGGCGGCACCACCTTTGTTTCTGGAAGCGACTACATTGCCCAAGGTTTCTCCTACTTCCCCGGAGACCTCTGGCGTAACTGGGGAATAATTATGGCTCTCATTGTCTTCTTCCTCATCCTCAACGTTGTGCTGGGTGAATTCATCACCTTTGGCATGGGCGGTGTGGGAATCAAGATCTACAACAAGCCCAACAAGGAGCGTATCGCTCTCAACGAGAAGCTCCTCGAGAAGCGAGAGGCCAAGCGCAAGGACAAGTCCAATGAGAACGGTGCCGAGCTCAAGATTGAGTCTGAGAGCATCCTCACCTGGGAGAACCTCAACTACGATGTCCCTGTTCCTGGCGGCACTCGACGACTTCTCAACAATGTCTTTGGTTATGTTCGACCCGGTGAGCTGACTGCTCTTATGGGAGCCTCTGGTGCTGGAAAGACTACCCTTCTTGATGTGTTGGCTGCTCGAAAGAACATTGGCGTTATTACTGGAGATGTCCTCGTCGATGCCGTCAAGCCTGGCAAGCAGTTCCAGCGATCTACTTCGTATGCCGAGCAACTTGATCTTCACGAGCCTACCCAAACCGTCCGCGAAGCCCTCCGATTCTCTGCCGAGCTTCGTCAGCCATACCACGTTCCCATGTCCGAGCGCTACGCCTATGTCGAGGAGATCATCTCCCTGCTTGAGATGGAGACCATCGCCGACTGCATCATCGGAGCTGCTGAATTTGGTCTTACTGTTGAGCAGCGTAAGCGTGTGACTATCGGAGTCGAGCTTGCTGCCAAGCCTGAGCTACTTCTCTTCCTCGACGAGCCTACTTCAGGTCTTGACAGCCAGAGCGCCTTCAACATTGTCCGATTCCTCAAGAAGCTTGCTTCCTCTGGACAGGCTATTCTCTGCACCATCCATCAGCCCAACGCCGCCCTGTTTGAGAACTTTGACCGTCTGCTCCTTCTCCAGCGTGGAGGTCGCACCGTCTACTTCGGTGACATTGGCAAGGATGCCTGCGTCCTTCGAGACTATCTCCAGCGCCACGGAGCCGAGGCCGGACCTACTGACAACGTCGCTGAGTACATGCTCGAGGCTATTGGCGCTGGTAGCGCTCCTCGCGTTGGTAACCGTGACTGGGCCGATATCTGGGAGGAGAGCCCTGAGCTTGCCGAAACCAAGGAAGCCATCATCCGGATGAAGAGAGAGCGAGAGGCTGCTGGTAACCAGGCGAACCCCGAGCTTGAGAAGGAGTATGCCTCTCCTATGATTCACCAGCTCAAGGTTGTGTCTCGACGCATGTTCCGATCCTTCTGGCGCTCGCCCAACTATCTCTTCACCCGTGTTTTCAGTCACGTCGCTGTCGCTCTCATCACCGGTCTGACATACCTCAACCTGGACGACTCTCGATCTTCGCTTCAGTACAGGGTCTTTGTCATCTTCCAGGTGACTGTCCTGCCCGCTCTGATCATCACCCAGGTCGAGGTCATGTTCCACATCAAGCGCGCTCTCTTTTTCCGCGAGTCCTCGTCCAAGATGTACTCGCCTTTCAGCTTTGTCGTGTCTATCATCACCGCCGAGATGCCCTACTCGATTCTCTGCGCTGTCGCCTTCTTCCTGCCCCTGTACTACATGCCCGGTTTCCAGACCGACTCTTCCCGCGCTGGTTACCAGTTCTTCATGGTTCTCATCACTGAAGTCTTTGCTGTTACTCTCGGCCAAGGTCTCGCATCCATCACCCCTTCACCCTTCATCTCTGCCCAGTTTGACCCCTTCATCATCATCAACTTTGCCCTCTTCTGTGGTGTCACCATTCCTCCTCCTCAGATGCCCGGTTTCTGGCGTGCCTGGCTGTACCAGCTTGACCCTTTTACCCGTCTCATCGGTGGCATGGTGACAACTGCGCTGCACGACCTCCCCGTCGTCTGCAAGCAGGGTGAGCTGAACCCCTTCACAGCTCCCGAGAACACCACCTGCGGCGAGTACATGGAGCCCTTCTTCGCCAACGGCGGTTCTGGATACCTCATCAACAACAACACGCGCGAGTGTGAGTACTGCGCCTACAAGGTCGGCGACGAGTTTTACCGCACCTTCAACCTGTCCTTCGACAACCGCTGGAGAGATTTGGGAATTTACATCTGCTTCATCGCAAGCAACATAATTATTCTCCTCCTGGGTGTAAGTCTTACCTCTTGCACTGTCACAAGAATGATGCTAATCCTGCGCAGAGTCGATTCCTCAACTTTAACCGACGTTAACGTGTTTATATGGCGTACGGCAAAAATGCAGCCTTGGATAATGGGAAGGCTTGTAATGACATAGACAAAAGTTGGCCACCTAGCACTAAATATATAATATCGTGGACATATCCTGCATATATGAACAAGACTTGATGACTTGATACCGGCCTCGATAATCCTTTCAGCTCTGTGCATGCTGTGAATAAGATGCCTTCTCTAGAGGCATCGGAAGACTGGAAACATGCTCGACACATGACATTCGACCGTCCATCGTCTCGTTGGGAGCATCCCGCTAGTCGTTTAGGAAGTCGTTGGTAGCTTGGCCGGCCGTGACGATGTCTTCGGCCACCTTCTTCCTTAGCACCTGCACCATCCCAAGGCTTCCACTTCCCCCGACCCACTGCACCTTCCTCATGACAGTGCCTTCCCTTTGCCGAAACGCCCCGCCCTAGGACAAATGGTTCCCTGCCAAATCTTTTTGTCTTGTTCAAAGTCTTCCAACATCCCACAACGCACCTGGCATTCGAGATGAGCATCCGCAACAACAGTGCAACGACGAATGTACATGCTCTTTCCACGATAACAAGACTGTGATTGACCAACGTGAAGCACTCGTAATGGAGTTCAAGACTAAGCCGATCAAGACTTAGCCGGTCAAGCCCGAGCCATCGAAGGCAGAACCAGTCAAGGCAGAGCGGGCTATGAAGAAGGAGGAGTTCGTAGCACCCAAGCACGAGCTTCCCAGGCCGTCAAGACCGAGACAACCGCCGCATTTTCCAACGGTGAAAATGTAATTTTCCTCTTTGCCGCGCCTCGAACCTCTGCACTTCCCCTTGGGAGATGCTCCTGCGGAAGCTTGTGCAGCCACGCTGCTACCGCCATTGCCGCTCCCGATACCACTCTCGTCATCAAGGCAGATGATCCCTTCGCCTTAGGCTTAAGCTCCGGGCCTTCTAAGTCGCTGACCTTATCTCAGACGATGAAGATGACCTCGACTTTCCTTCGCCTCCCACTCGCAAGGGAAAAGAGGGAGCGCGAGTTCAACCAAACCTACCTACTCCTATCGTTATCGAGGACGATGATGATGAAGAGCTACCTTCGAGCAAAATCATCCTGAAACGGGCGAGAGCCCATAGCCCAGCTATTGCCACATCATCGAAGAGGCAGACCCTTTCGACTAGCTTCAACTACGGCTCCTCCTCCTCCTCCGCATCGTCTCGCCCGACCTCCTCATCTCCCACCTCTCACCAAGCCTCATCGTTGGCAGCCATGGCAGCATCTTCTGGAGTGAGCCGTGCGGTGCCAGAATGGCCCGAAAGGCGTCAACTGTGGCTCGAGAACCTCAAAGGGGTCTATGAATCAGACCCAAACGAGTTTTATCGACAAGTTGATACCGGGTTCGAACAGGTCGAGACGAGCGTCAGCATTGCGCGAGTGGATGATTATTCCCGTTGGATCTCATTGAACTATAACAAGTCCAGATGTTCCACTGGTGTCATCCACGCGTTTCCTTACACAAGTCTCACCGAGTGCTTGCAAGCTATCGACATGATAAGGGCCATCAAGGGCAGTCGGTCCTAGACCGAGCTCGATGAGAGGGAACGAGCATGACAGCAAAGATGAGGGCTCAGACGTCAAAGACGAGGTATGCATAGGCTAGTTAATGATAGAGAGAAGAGAATTACCAGACATTACTTGAATTGACAAGTCAAGGGGGAGCAAGTCAGCTGGGTTCGATTGTGCAGTGGACGAATCCGTCCCCGTCTACAGTCCAACCATGCCCCAGCGCGCGTTTGAAGACTACAAAGCCTGGGATCTGGAGGCTTGTAGTATTTCTCCAGTTCATTATAAGTTCTCCCAAAGGCCACTCACACTCGGCGTATTCAAGCCTTGATAGGCAGGCCGTGAAGTGTGTCAAAGCAATGCCGACTGTCTACGCCTCCTTGACTTCTCTGGAACAGAGCAACACCCGTCGCACCCAAACGTCTAGCAGTACGAGAAACTCGAGAATACCACCCATGGAGAGCTACATGCTCATTTCATACGGTGAAAAACACGCAGCACCTCTGTTTGAAGAGGACCCGAATGTCTTCGAGTTGAGCGAGGACAAACGATCAAGGTCCGAGATCTCAACACCCGTTAGGGAAGAGGTGACGGAGGGCCTCCCCATAGGACTCAAGCTTGAAGATGTATACACAGATAGATGCTTCATGGATCGCAAAATAAATCCAGGGTTGGAAAAGGTCTCTGAGTAGGCCCTGGCCAACTCAGCGTGCATTGCTGTTCCCCAATTCCACCCACGTATGAATGCACAAAGTAGTGAAAACAGTCGCTGGTGCCTTTTTGGCGCTTCCCGCGTGTCATCAAGTCCACAGTAAGATGGGAATGGCAGCAGTCGTCACGGTAGGCGGGCCTCACGACAGACGCTGGCAAGGGTGAGCGACGCTCACGAGAGAAACAAAGTTTCGGGGATGCCTTTAACCCCTTGTGGCGTTCTCCCCAACGACGTTGTTGTAGATAAGGTGAGGCTGCATATCAAGGCTTGACACCGCGTGGTCAAATGACGCCTGAGCATTTAGGCAACACTTGAGGTGGGTGTCGAGGACCAACCACGGAAGATGAACGAAGATCAATATGAATCATCTCGAATTTCAACCAAGAAACTGGAGGAAAAGGGCCATGTCCTGGGATGTGAAGCTGAAAATAGCTTCATGCATGTATCCCCTCGACGCTACCAATGATGGAGCGGGCCGCCGGGCAATGCCATATTCCGTCCATCTAATTCCATCTCCCCATGGGAAATCCCCACTCGGAAATGCATAGAAGCCTGTATAGAAAGTTTTTGGAACCTTTAGAGTTGTAAACGCCACCGTGCAGAGGAAACGGGTGTAAGTTTCAAGTCACGTGCGACCTCATCCCAACGACATGTTCACTGGCAGAATCACCACGGGCAACCACCAGATGAGGCCTGTACGAAAAAACCTAGTCTTAGCAGGAAGAGTAACTGGGGGATCATGCCAATCCACTATGACAAGCGAAATGATTTTGTTGGGGACATTCTCGTGAAAATTTCATCCGGCATCATCAAATCCACTCGGCCGAGAAATGTCATCTGGAAGCGGGTGTTCCGGACGAAAGCCTCAGCCGAGGTCTTGACAGCGCATATGGACTGACCCACGTGGGCATACGAGCGGACAGGGATGCCTTAATGAAGAAAATGGCGTTCTGGGGTGAGGAAATGGACGATGATGGTGGTCCTCCGCCATTGCTTGATAGGGACTGGGCCATGGAATTAATAGCAATACGCATCAACTCATCCAATGACTATCATAAATTTCAAATAATCAAGTTGGACATGTCATCAGCTAAACAAATTGCGTTCCCATTACCTTGACTTGCTTCAATTTCTAATCTTCGATGTGTGGTTGCTTCCCGCAGCGTTCATTTTCACCCCGACACCGGAGGGGGCGGCAGGCAACCATGAGCACAAGAATCTGACTCTCAATGGCTGAACTGATCCTCTCTCGATTTCACTCTAATTCCTAAATCCCCGAGGGCACCCCCCTTCGGTGCTCTCCCCGACACCCCTCCGACACCCCCCTCCGACACCCTCAGAGGATCACGACTCTATGTGTCAAATCTAATGCTGCACTCGCAAATCCTGCTGCTTCGCACGATGGCTGGTGAGACTTTCAGCTCCATGAGGCTTCTGGTGGAAATGGAATTGTTGATTGTCTCGTCCGCGAGTGACGCTCTCCCAATCCCTCAGGTGCCCGAGGAACCGAGGCCGATTGGACCAACTGCTTCACTGTGAGAAGAAAGAAACGAAGGACCCAGAAACATGGCTTCGTGGAGTCGTGTGCGCTGTTTTGGGTTCGGCGGATCCTGATTCAAGCGTACACCGAAATCTCAGTCCCTACCACACCAATCTGCGACACCCAAACTGCTCAATTGGGACCAAGTATAGAGCTAGATCAAATTTGAAACAATTTCAGTGCTCTATTGAATAAAATTGACCATTATTACTTGATGCTTTGTTTCCTATGAACAGATAGGATGAGTATGGGCGATAAAGCGGTGCGAACTGCTTCTTGGACGGGGACGTGTAAAACTTCTTCCCCGAAGAGTCATATTCAAGTCAAGAATATTAACTTCGCTGCGCCATGTTAGATTACTTCATGCATCCCCGAATTCTACCCCCTCTTTCGAAAAAGCCTCCCCGGTACGTCTCCTGAATATCGTCAAACTTCAGATTCTATCTGGTCATGCCCCTTCTGCCTCGTCGTGACCCTCAACAAAGTCAAATGGAATCCAGATATATAATCTCTCTGACCCTGAGGATTCTGATATTTTCTTTCTCTTCTCTTCAGCATCAGAAATCTCGATTACGACCATCCAGCTTTCTGATATTTAAACAACTCAACTTCTACATCAACTTCACTCAACTTCTGATAGTCAGATCACCCTACTTCTACTATCAAGATCACCCAACTTCTACCATCAACTTCACTCGACTCTTGATATCTAGGTCACTTGACTTCTTATATCAAGACACCTCAACCTTTAGACATTCAGATCACTCATACATCTGATATCAAGACAACCCAACTTTCGGATATCCAGATTACTCGTCTATCTGATTTCCACCTCACCTCACTTCTGATATTCAGATTACTTGACTTCTGATATCAAAACAACTCAACCTTTGGATATCCAGATAATTCTATCTGATATCTACTTTACTTCACCTCTGATATCTGATACCCAAGTATCTGATATCAAGACAACTCCACTTTCTCAACCTCGACGACCCTCCAATGTCAGATCAACAACTCCCCTCTCATTCTTCAGCTCCCCCCTCTGAAGAAATGACCCCCCGACCTCCTCTCGGCCGCTTCGACGTTATGATGCGAAACGGCCAACCAGTCTCCATCCTCGACCCCGTCCCGCCAGAACATAGCATCTGGACAGAGGAGCACAACCGCCTTTTTGCCTTGGCCGATGCTGCCTTGGCCGATGCTGCCTTCGCGATGGCAGACGCCGCGGTGGTGATGGGTGGGACAAGGGGGAGTGGCGACCCCACGAGTGACACTTGGGTCCGGAGACGCTCGCAGGAATACCTCAACGAGCACTACCCCGTGGACGATGTTCCACCGGGGACCCCTTCCCCTGAATCTAGGGGTCTCCCTGTTCGTCCCTCCTCGCGCCCCAATAGGGGTCGTTCTTCTTTGGATCTCTCCCGCCGTCGTTCTGAGGGTTCTGCTGCCGTTCTTGCCCCCGTCCCCGTCCCCGATGCCGCTCCCGCTCCCGCCTCCGCTCCCGCCTCTGCCCCCGTCCCCGTCCCCGTCCCCGCCCCCGCCGTTGGTCCTGCCCGTCCCCCCATGGTCAAGTGTAGTGATCCCGGTTGCGGCCGCATGTTCTCGTCAAAGAACATTGCGGACCACCAGAAGTGCCACAAGATGGCGGCTCCTGGTGGCTCTGAGAAAGCTCACCAGCCATGCAATTCTTGCGGTCCTGACAAGGATTGCATGGTGAGCACCAGCCCAACCGGCCGGGGGATAAACACCTTCGCCTGCCTGGCTTGCCTCAAGGCTCACCGGGGATGCAGCCACAAGGCGTTTGGTCGAGCCAATCCCCGGCCTCGACGCCACCCTGCTCTGGATTCTCCTTAGTAAGGAGATGCCGATTGAGCTGGTGGTTGGGGGTTAATCATTCATGGGGGGGTTAGGTGTTAGAGTCTGGGAGGTTTTGATATTTTGGGTTTCAAGGAGTTTAAAAGTTTTGGGATTTGTTACCGAGTGATGGAAATTCCACTCGAAGAAAAAGTCATTGCTCTCATTCTTGTTTTTCATTTTTGGTTTAGAGTTGAGCTTTTTGATTAATAAAGTGAGCCTTTGCGAGATGTTTTGATTATGCTATTGGCTCTTCTTACTTCTACGTTGCTTTCGACTCATCATTGCATCATGGTCGACTGGTTATTGGGAGTAGAGGTTGCTCATCAGAGCTGATTATTAAAAGGCACCTAAATTAGGTACGCCATTCATACTCCTGTGTTAATGCAAGTTAGATTTTGAGAAATCAACGCGGTTATTTTTCACTCTTGTTCTCTTATCGCTCTATGCCTTGTTGCCTTGACTTTCCTCTGTGACCTCCATCTCGCTACCATGTATCTTTCCTCCCAAAGGCTGCAGAACTAGGACTGGAAATGGTTTATCTTATGTATCCTACTACACAAACTTTCTCAAAATGCTCGTCTTACGCGTTTACGTTGATTTTCTTTTTGTTCGAGTCTTGAACTGCTTTTACTTGACGGAAGGTCCGTGACTGACACGTCCCGGATGGTCGTCGCCAGGAGACCACATTTCTCGGCGTTAAAAGTGGGATTCTTATGTAAATAGGTAGAAATTAATGAAATAGATGAATCAGATGCTCCGTAGCGTGAAATTAGGCCGGGTTTTCTCCGTCATGGTGCCTCGCGCCTTTGAATTTCTCTCGAGCCTCAGACAAGACCTTGGATAAAAAATGACACCCTTTGAGCAGCTGAAGAACACGTATCAATACAAGCCAATAAAGAAGAATAGTTACATACGAGTAAAGCATTATTTTCAATCTGATAATGCTCTGTTTCTTCACAGACGCTCGAAGCTTTTGCGAGCCGTTGATATGGAATCTTGTTTTTACAGCTACCAACCCAAGTGGCAGCAGCCTGGCACCTTGTGCTCGCCACTTGCTATTCCACAAGATGTTTTCGAACGAAAAGGTTGCACTAGTGCTTTATATAGAATTCACCTAACTAGATATCTTTTGATCCGAGATAGGTTGTTGGGTATTCAGTAGGTTGGGATTGGACTCTGGCTAACTATGCGTGATGTGCGACCGTACCTCAGACCGACAGCGTGCACACATCACGAGGACTAGAATTATGGCGTGTTCGATGAGGTTCAGCCTACAAAGGAAACCCTTCAATATCAAGCGACGCATAGAAAATCCTGTTCCTTTTGCTTGCTCATCATATAAACATGAGCGAGTTCAACATCAACATCCATCGTCATTCCTTTTGCCCACTATTCCCAAAGTGCGACCGTAGTGGCGCGGCAATCCCACACCGTCCCCCGCAACATGTGGAAGCCCCCCGGAAGCCGCCCGAAGCCGGATTGTAACATCAGATCATGCAATTCATGGGGCATTGCCAATGGCAAAGATGATCCAAGTCTGACAAGTGACAAGATGCCGAGGTCCCGGTCGCCGCTCTCGCTCGATCCGAACACACGTTTCTTTGAATGTATGATACATGGGCCGACAGAGAGATCTCGTGTTTTACTCATCCCCTGGTCATTCAAGGCATGAATAAGGCTGATTTCTTTGGGGGTCGTCATCTTTAAAAGACCAATTCCCCCCACTGTGTCAGGTGCCTGATCGCCACAATTCGCCAAAAGGTTAACAGAACGTCACTTCTACAACATAGCCGAGGACCCGAAAGAACTAGGGAAACACCAAAAAGCAAGCACCAAAGAAACTACGTCCGAATAGACACACACACTTGAAATCATGTGCATCGTTCTATTCACTACCGCGCATCCGGATTATGCGCTGATCGCCATCGACAATCGGGATGAGTACATCCTCCGCCCAACTTCACGGCCCAGCTGGTGGACCCACGCCACGTCTGGCCGTCCCGTCTTGTCTGCGCGAGACCTTCAGCGAGCGGAAAAGGGAACGTGGATGGGAATCACCAAGGATGGTCTTTTGGCTGTGCTCACCAACTATCGCGAGACCAATATTGAGGATGTGAAGCACCCTATTCACGCCGTCAAGAGCCGAGGCGGTATGGTTACCGCCTGGTTGGGAGCCCCACCTGAGGAGAGCATCACGGCCAGCGTCCACGATCTGGTCAAGGATGACGGCGTCAAGGGCGTCGGAGGTTTCTCCATGGTATGTGGAAAGCTGAGGAAGAAGAGTCAGGGTATCGCCATCGTCAGCAACCGGGCCGGCAACGTCGAGGAGGTGCCCATTGTTGGCAAGGAGCGCGGTGAGATTTGGGGCTTGAGCAACACGGCTTTCGACGACACAGGGAAGCGAGATGAGTGGCCCAAGATTGCCGACGGCAAGAGAATGTTGCGGGAAGCTATCGATGAAGCCGTCTCCAAGGGATCGAGCGAGGATGACTTTATTGCCAGCCTCTTTTCTATCCTTGACAGCGACACGCTGCCGCAGAACGAGAATGCCAGTCTCGTCGAATACATCAGCCAACTCAAGCACAGCATCTTTATCCCACTTATCGGCGACGAAAAACATCGGAAAGCGATGGAAGAAGCCATGTCAAAGGGAGCTGGTGAGTGGGCGTCTGACGACCAAGTGGCAGCAGAGGAGCTCATGGTCGAAGGCCGACCGGATCCATCCACCAGCACCATCATGGGCTTCGAGACGGGAATGTACGGAACCCAGAGACAGACTATCGTATTGGTCGACTGGGAAGGCAAGGTGACGATGGTCGAGAGAGCGCTCTGGGACGGCAACGGCCATGCTGTGCCTCGCGGCGAAGGCGATGTCAAGTTTGAGTTTACGATCGACGGATGGGAGGATGAGGCGTGCAACGGCAAAGCAGTCAACGGGGAGACCAACGGTCAATTGTAAAATGGATTCACTAGAGTCGGTTTTCGTGGAATCGGGGGCGGCGATAGACATGGCGGCCTGGCACTCGATGTAGAGGATATCACGGAATTAACGAGGCAACGATTGTTTTATCATGACATCCAATGGAAAACGACGGATAGAAATCTGATAGGTAGAAATTTGAGCAGAAAGAAGGAGACGGACGCTATTTGTCGCTCCTTCCTCATTGTCTGTCGTTGTTGGTGCTAGGACCGTTTTTGAGTGTCGGCCAGCTGGCAAACCTCCTCGCACTGCCAACCATCGACAACAACAACAAACAATAACAAAACCAACCGCAACAAAAAAACATACCGAGAAGAATTAACAAAATCTTCCGTCCGCGACCATTCCGACCAACCCGCGATTCGCGACTTGTAGATGCTTTTCAGCATCATGGTCAACGCCTCTCACAAGCCGGACCTCAACTAGAACTTGGCCGACCATTTCCGCCGCTGCATTGAACACTCCTCGGTCGCTGTCGCCTGCATCGCCTGCGTTGCCCTGGACCTCATTTTTCGGATCGGTTCGAGAATTGTTAGCACTGCAGCTCCGAGCGAGAGACGCTTACGGAAACAGCGCCGAGACGTTGCCGAGTTGGGTCATCGCATGCGGATGGCCTCGCGGCTGCTCCTCGTGGTTGGTCGCACTGTCTTGGGTGCGCTTCCTGTGTTGGTTCGTGTTGTCAACTTTCAGGTCGTCGATTAGTTGAGACGGCTGTTTCTGCTTGTTGACCAGGTCTCTCGACAACTAAGAGATCGTCTCAGCGCCATTCCACAGTTGAAGCTCAGCTAGGATGTCCAACAAGTCGACTCGACATTCCACGTCCAACGCCATGGAGTCTTTTCGAGCTGGACTAGAGAGCAGGATGGCATCTCGACCACGACTGTCAACCCCGGCCAAGGTCCTGGTCAGAGTCAAGAAGAAGCGTCCGACCATCTCGGCACCAATTGGTCCCATCAAGAACTCCCGCGGCCCCGATCTCACTCGCAGTGAGAACTTTATGATCGTCCCCGGTATCAAGGATTGTACCTCCGACGAGATCTTTTGCGACAACGACGACGTCGAAGCAAAAAAAGCTGCGAGACGCATCTCGGCCGGCTTCTCTGACCATGGGTCCCTGGCCAGTCCCCCGACGGTCGCCAAGTCGGCTTTCAACGCCACGAGGACATCCAGAATCCCCTCATCGAAGAACTCTCCTCCAAGTCTTGCGTCTTTGCGACAGACTTCCAATGGCTCGTTGATGACAAGCTTGAGCTATAGCGGCTTCCCGAGTCTCGAAACGATCGTCCAGGATGAGAATGACCCTCCCCTGGGCCACGAGGACTCGCCTCGCCTGAAGGAAACCCCCAAGCCGGCAAAGAGTCGTCTTCCCAAGTCTCGGACTATGAATGCTCTAAGCGAGCTCAAGAACTCCATCTCAAAGCCGTCATTGAACACAAGACAGACCGGTATTCGTCTCCCCGGCAACCAATCCCGTCAAGTGTCTTCATCATCGTCCATGTCGATCAAAATCTTCAGCTCGAGCTCCTCACGTCTTCGCCTGCCTCGCCCCTCCTTGACGTCTCTCTCCCGCCGATCCAGCGGCTCGAGCACTCTTACGAACCAGGAGCCCCCTGATCCTCGAAAGGTTAGCACAGCGCAGCCATCAGAGTACTGGTCTGGTCGCTTCGTTTCCCTCAACGATCGTTTCGCAGCCGAAGAATTTGAGAAGGACATGGCAGCTTTGCCCATCTTACCTCCATCTGAGCCTCCTCAGAAGCAACCCATCAAGCCTGACCGCGCTGCTGCCAATTATCGACCAACTCACCTCTCGCACTCCACAACCACATCGGCGCTGACTGCTTTGATGTCGTCAAAGACAGAAGAATCTCTCGAAGATGATGAAGACGCTCGATGTATACGAATTTTCCGACACCTTGATTGCCTCTGTTCGACTAATGAGGCTCGTCGTTCGCTGCGAGATTGGCAGCAAACATACGCCCGTCGGATGGGGAAGCCTGGACTGCTTCCCAAAGGAGGTCGAATGGAAGATCAAACTCTCATGGGAAAAATTCTCAGTAACTTACCTCGAAAGAACGATAGACGAGTCTTGTCTGCGATGCGCGAGGCTCCGAATGTGCAGGGTGCGAGAAAGCCCAACGCTACTGTCGCAGGACGCAAGAAGAGGTTGACCATCAGTTGAACGGTCGATGTTGGAGTACGAACCTGATTGTTGAATCAGCTAGCCTGTCTGTTTATGGGCACTGTTTTTGTTTGGACTAAAGAGGGAATTGTCGCAAGACATGCATGTGGTTTATCATCCAATGTGGGAAGGATTGAGCCGGGGGTAGGCGTTTTGGTTTGTTTTTTCATCGACTCGTTTGTTATCGTTTGCGAGGCGTTGGGGTGTGTATGCGATTGTTTGACTGTTAGCGGATGAGTTATGTACCTTGGACGAGTTCACGAGGGATGGAATAGGGCGGTATCGATAAGTAGACATAGACATTGTAGAGTGCACAAGACGCTCTCATCGGCTGTTAGAAGCCACTTAATAGTGACCTTATTAGGTTGTATATCAGCATTTGTCATGTTTGTGATGGATGACGTTCAACTACGTATACTTCACTTGACGACTTCAAACCGCAGATATTATGAATGCTTGGAGATTGACAGTCTAGTGGTATAAATACACCAACCTGACCCAATGAAATATTGGCATGACAACCCAAAAGTCATACTGTTGTGTACCAATTGTCCTTCCTTTTTGTGTGGTGCCCTGATCCTGTAAACGCAATCTCGGAGAGTTCATTCTAGATCTCCATACCAACGCCTTGAACTCCAATGCTGTTGATCACCCCACCCCTCCCATCGTGTATGATTCTGTTTTTCAATTCCCTGATATATCTCTCTACTCGGCCTTCTTGCGAATGCGAAGATAGTCACGAATCTGCTCGTGCTTGCTCGCAAAGAACATGCCCTTGACGTCGTTGCGCCAGACTAAAACGCCCACCTCCTCGGCAAAGCCTGCAACGGCCATGTATTCCTTGTGATCCTCGAAATCCTTGAATAGGAAGCCGCTCGTTGTCTTCATGCGCTCGTTTTCGAGCTGCCATAGACGGATCTGGTCAACGACCGTTGGAGGCAGGACGGGTTTATTGTTGAGGGCGGCGGTGCGGTGCATCTGGTCGTGCGCATGGGCAGCCAGGTATGAGATGATCTGATCGGCCGTGATGCCAAAGTTAATGGCTTGACGGATTGACTGGCGTGAGAGGCGGCCGGCGACCATGTCTGGGAAGCGCATTGAGAGCTTGGAGAAGAGGGCCAGGACAGCGATCTGGAGGGTCGACTGGGTATAGGCATAGATACGGTAGTTGGTCTCGATAATGACGCTGCCACGCTGCTCCTGGCCAGAACCTGTCGTGCTACCACCAGATCCACCGGATTGGCCTGGCTGGAGGGCGGCTGCTGTTGCGGCAGCTACACCGTCGCTGATGCTGCGCAAGCTGTTGCCGCTCGATGTGAGGGTCGTTGCCAGACGAGTCGGGAAGAACATGGAGCGCTTATGGTTAGGGATGTAGATGAGGCCAAAGTCGACAAGAGATGGAAGCATGTTCTTACGCTGCTCGGTCAGCGCGTTTGTGTCGTAGGCGCGACCTAGCTCCATGCTGGCGAGAACAAAGAGAAAGGACAGCATATCAGTGGCTTCGAGACCAGCGCCCTTGTTAACGTCCATGGCCTCGAGCCAGAGAAGAAGCAGCGTCCAGACCTGAGCATTGGCTTCTTGTAGCAAAAAGGTGAATCCAGCCTGCGTGATGCCCACCATGCCGTTGGGTTTGCGGTCGACCAGACGGCCCGCGATGAGGAGTTCCTTCACACTCTTATTAGGTCCGGAACTGTCACCCGTGCTCTTGTACCCGACACTGGACACGACAAAGTGTAGAATATCCTCCCATTTCCTCCTTGCGTAGCGGTCGAGGAAGATGATGTCGATCTCGGGGGGGACCTGGAGGGTCGAGGGCACACCAAATGAGTTGTGGGTGCCACCTCCGGAGAGGGCGAGTCGGAGGGAGGTCTTGAAGTTGGCAGTCAGCTGCATCTCCTGCGGCCTTTCTTTCGAAGGCGCCGTGATCTGGACGATGTAGAGGACGCGCAGGATGGAAAGGGCTTGGTCCTTTTGTCGCTTGGCGCTCGGCTTGACCCAGTCGTCGAGGTCTGTGAGGAGAATCGGTTTCGGAGAGTAGAGGATGCGCATGACAAATGTTTTTGCTATCCAAAGAAGAATACCGGAGTTAGTGACTTGCGCTCAGCGAACTGGAGCGATCAGAGGACACACCCAGATGCGGCAGCATGCGGCGGAAGATGGCAAAGGCTGTCGAGGGCTGCTGGTACAGCTTCCTGAACGTGGTACCAGGGAGCTTCTCCAGGTACTCGGCCAGCTGGAGCGACGGCGCTGGGCTGACTGACATGTTGGGCGACGGGGGGACGCGGCGCAATCAGTCAGTCAGGGTTGTCGTGGGGTGCTATCTCATGATAGATGGAGGTTGAGATGGCGAAGAAATTCGGGGGATGTCGGGCGTAGACTGGTATGCGTGTGACGGCCGAGATAAGTTCTACGGTCAAGAGGTGGCGGGACGTCTATCGGAGAGCACGTGTGCTTTGAGCTTCTCGTGTCCACGGTCAAAAAAGTTGAGATGGATCTCGAACTTCACGGTGGTGTTGAGCACGAGCTCTCCAGGCACCAAGGCCACTTAGGGCTTAGCGTGTTCACATGGAAGTCATCCTTCGGCAGAAGCCCGGCTAATTACGTCACCTACCGTCTGCGAGTCACAGTTCCCATTGTCAACCCTTCAGCGAACCAGGAAATGCGAGATGGTGAGAACACCTGCAAACAATGTGAGGCTTTGGAACATCCCAGGGCTTCTCGAACGTCTTATGGCCTGAGTTTCTGTCGGCATGGAACACCAAATACGGCTAGTTCACAGGTGATGATGCCCACCCCTACCATCACACACCATCGGGAAGCCTCCCGAGATTGTTTCCCAATACGGCATGTCTGCACGATCGACATCGCTCACCCCCTGTCGTCTCATGCTTAACACCAAACCCACATAAACCTACAAGAATCCTGCCTCGGACGTCCTTCGAGGTCATCTCATCCTTGGCTTCTTGGTCTTGACTGACCCTTGGACTTGAGTCGTGCGACGAGTACCCACACTGCGTCATTTCAGACTTACTGAATGAAACTCTGGGCGCTGACCGCTTCATTTGGAAACCTGAAGCTGTGATCTTGGCAAGGCTGTAAGCTGAGCCCGGCTAGCCCGAGGTTTCGGGGCTGAGCTGAGGTGAGGGAATTGGTCAAAACCCAGACGGGGTGATATGCCAAGTCTGGGGCTTGCTAGTCCATGTCAAAGGCCAGTGGAAGCATTCAGACTTGTTCCTGCATTGCTGGACGTTACCTTGTACTTCATTCTGTGCTGAAGTGTATGGCTAAACGGTCATTTTCCATTACAAGTCTGCCCACATCACCGGAAGCTGCCGTATTGATGATGAGGTTCATGCCGATCCAAATGTTAGCCGAAGCCTCTCTTCTAGAATGTAAAGTATGCGATAAGTCATTAGGTTCCTCTGTCCTAGCCTTGATAGTTCACTTGATGGATTGGTGGGATGCTCTCTGAGGTATGGTATCATTTGAGCGAGGTAAGCGCCGAAGGCTCCGATGAGCGTTATGCGTGGGCGGAATGGAGGGAAACCCTTACCATGACCGACACCCAAGGCCCCCGCGTTCTTGTCTTGGCCGGGGGATAAGAAGGTGAAGGTACTATCCCGGGAAAAGCGGTTTGCTAGTGGGGCCAATCGGGCTGAGTGTCATCTGGTAAAGGGTAACTTGGTTGGGCGCATAGTTTATCCATGTTGAACAGGTCTTTAAGCCTTCGGCTGGCAGTGACATGGTGAATCATGGGTCTACCTTATCTATTAACTTATAGAAGTTAGCCTCTGGCAAAACTGAAGTTCCGATCCTCTATGTTTGGGTCTGAAGATTTCATTCGTTACAAGAATTCATTTCTCCTTCATCTTTGACACGATCTTCTTTGTCTAGTGTCACAACTATCAATGCATGAGGGGCTCAATACATTGTTCGTTAAGTCTGAATGCCTAGAGGCTAGCATGGGGTAATGTGACTACATACACGAGTTAACTCTATCCTAATTATTGACTCTTTGCAAATCCGAGAGTTTTGGGTTGCCGAGAATTGACATGACTGGTTCAGCGGAGACCGCCACTCACTCGCGCACATCTATCTCGTTGATGCTAGTTTTATTAACTTGAGACTGACGAACGTGTAACTTGTTATGTGTTTTCGAAAAATACTTAATAGATAAAAAGGAGAGCAGCTGGACATTCTCCTTGAAAGAGTCTGCTTCACAATTTTCAGTGTGGCTGGAGCTGGGATACCCAGACAACTCAACTTGTAACCGATGCTAATTCTAAACCCACAGTTGGCATGGCTGGGTTGACACAACAGTCAGCGACGAGGATTCTTTAATAATACCCTTTATGATAGTGATGCGAGGCGTGACAGGGATTTTGAGTCCTTGGGACAAACCAACGTTCCTTATGACCTGACCCCCTGCGAAGGGCGTTCAAGGTAACATTTAACACGAACAATTATCCCATTTAACGGTTGGTGGTGTGCGTTCCCTCGGCTAAGCTCCATGCTAACATCTGGTACCCCAGATGCCTTCCGTCCGGGGTAGATGCTCTGCCATCCGTCACGACACTGCGTGTGTTGGTTGGCAACAAGTGGAGGCGACATATGCGGCAGGTAACCCAACGGTTCCATAGACAACCTTGTCCGTCGGACCAACCACCCCACAAATGAGGGAATACAACTGTGACTGAGACAACTGAGACAACTGCAGGGATGGCTGGGTCCAAATCAGCAGGAACTTGCAGACAACAGGCGACGAGTCTTGTCATGTATTCTTTGGTAGCAAGGTTGTCTCGCCTTTGCCGCTCGTTTTTAAAAGGGCAGGATGGACCAACTGCAGAAAACCCTCACCGTGAGCTCCTTCAGATCACTGAAATCAAAATATGTCTGGTCATAGCAGCCCAAAGTCGCGAGCCACGGGTTCGCCCAACCCGGGTGAGCAGACCATCGAGGTCGACGACAACCTGCGGTATGAGGAGGATGGTGATTCGGCT